GATTCCTTGCAAAACCATGTAGTTTATGAGGTGGTTTCCCTGCCCCTACCAGGTTTCTCTAAAGATCTCTGTAGCGGTTTTAGGAGGTCTTTCACAGGGGCTGGTGGCAGCCAGTGTCTCAAATATCAGCTAAGATCTGCTAGATTGAAGTTTGCTAATATTTAATGTATAAAATGAGTATCATGGTGGCACCTAAGTGACTCTAAGTGACCTGAGCTGCCCCAAGCTGGACAATGATGATAGAGCAAATGGCAGTCCTCCATCAGCCTTGGTATCCAAAATATATCCTGAAAGATGGAGCACATGGAAGGAGCAAGCCCAGATGTGATCTTGATCTGCTGATGGACTGTGGATGGAGGTGGGTGTTGAAGCAAGTGTCTGGAAGCTGCAGAGCAGCTCTTAGAATCATAGAATGGTTTGGGTTGGAAGGGACCTCAAAGATCATCGAGTTCCAACCCCCCTGCCATGGGCAGGGACACCTCCCACTAGAGCAGGTTGCTCAAGGCCACATCCAGCCTGGCCTTGAACACTTCCACGGATGGGGCAGCCACAACTTCCCTGAGCAACCTGTTCCAGTGTCTCACCACCCTCATAGTAAAGCGTATCTTCACCCTGATACGCTTCATGTTTCTTCATGCTGCTTCACACAGCATGGGCAACAAACAGGAGGAGCTGGAAGCCACCATGCTGCTCGGATGCTAAAATCTAGTTGCCATTACTGAAACCTGGTGGGACGAATCTTTTGTGAGACCCCCTTGCAGTGCTGCTTCAGCTCTGGGACCTCAGCACAGGAGAGACATGGACCTGGGAGGTGGTCACAAGGCAAGAGGTGGTCATGGTGATGATCCAAGGGCTGGAGCCCCTCTGCTGCCAGGACAGGCTGAGAGAGTTGGGGGGGTTCAGCCTGGAGAAGAGAAGGCTCCGGGGAGACCTTGGAGCCCCTTCCAGTCCCTCAAGGGGCTCCAGGAATGATGGGAAGGGACTCTTGATCAGGGAGGGGAGCCCTGGGAGGAGGGGGAAGGGTTTGACACTGAAAGAGGGGAGATGGAGATGAGATATGAGGAAGAACTTCTTTGCTGTGAGGGTGGTGAGAGCCTGGCCCAGGTTGGCCAGAGAAGCTGTGGCTGCCCCATCCCTGGAGGGGTTCAAGGCCAGGTTGGACAGGGCTCTGAGCAATCTGATCTAGTGAAGATGGCCCTGCCCAGGGCAGGTGGATTGGACTAGATGGCCTTTAAAGGTCTCTTCCAACCCAAACCATTCTATGATTCCATATACATGTCCCACACTGCCTTTTCTCACCTTGGGCTGGTATTTCATACCCAAGCGAACCTGTAAAGGCAGCGGAATTTTGGAAGGAATCAGGAAGGGGAAAAAAACAAGAAAGAAAACTACCCTTTTTCCTTTCTAAGAGAATAGTGCCCTTGAATTTGGGATCATCTATAATCTGGATGTGCTGCAGTCATCCATCAAGGACCCACGCTGGCAAGGCAGCAGCAGGAGTTGGGTGGGTTTTCACCCCTGAGTGAGCATTTGCAGCTCGCTGCTAGAAGACAGAGCACAGCTTTAAGTAAAACTTTAAAAATATAGGTAATAAAAATCAGAACTATTCAATATGTTCCAGAATTGAACACGTAAAAGTTCAGCGTGCCTGCACATGTGTATATATGAATTTTTGTCTGCCAGGAAATGTGTTTAGTTTGTGGCATCCGGGTTATGAAACCCTTTGGAATCCTTTTCCTCACCTTTGCAATGTGAATTCAAGGTGTGACTCTTCTGAGCTCCAGCCTTTCTACACCCCCAGGGTCTTTTGAGTTTTGTGAATGTTAACACTTGCTGGGGCTCACTGTGCTTTTTCTTTGCCTCTGCAGCCTTCTAGGATTTATTCCTTCTATGACTGTTTTCCCATTACTATGTTAATGTGCATTTTTTACTGTATTTGTTCTGTGCTGATGCATTAAACAACATCAGAGCTGGAGGAAAAAAAATAATAGAAGAATCATGTGTTAAACTTTTATCTGCAGAAATGTGCTTTGGCTTAGCTGCCCAAAATGACTGCAGATACTCCAACTTATTTTTTATTGTTTAGGTCTTTTTTATTATTATTATTTCCTGCATACATTTGAACTCATGCCCAAAATGACTGCAGATACTCCAACTTACTTTTTGTTGTTTAGGTCTTTTTTTATTATTATTATTGTTTCCTGCATATATGTGAACTCGGGTGAAAAATGCTGAAGATTCAGAGGTGCTTTTTTTTTTTTTAATGTCCTTTGCCCCTTGCCAGCTCCATTTCCCTCTCAAGGTACCACCATGGTGGTACGTACCCCTGCCCCATGGGTCAGGACTCTGGCCAGTGGTGCAAGGAAACCAGTGCTCTGGAGTAGACCTGCTGTAGGATGATGTGCCCTGTGATATCACACAGGTGTCTTGGACTCTCTTATTCTTGAAGCATAAACCAGTATTTCCTTGGAATTCCAAAGACGAATGGAGATTTCTGTTTGCATTTAGGCTTTTCCTGAATAATTTTTTTTTGCCATCCATTTTGAGCTCAGTCTATCCCAAGGGATCAAGCAGGAACAGAATTTCATCCTTGATATAGAGCAGGGCTGGAGAGGATGGGGTAGGAGAGGATAAAATAGCACATTTGGGAAGGCAGGAGGTATTATTTAGCTTGGGCCCAACATCAAGCCTCGTGTCTGAAGGTAGAAGCTACTTACAAACCTGTTCTGAAGGCAAGTTTGCAGCTTGTTAATTTACTGCCTGTCTTCTCTTAATTAGATGGGATGAATTGGTGACTGCCAAAGGCAATAAGGGCTGTGAGCACTGGTGGCCTCCAGGGATGGTGTGTGTGGCAGAGGACCTTGACACCACGCAGGACCCCATGGGGTGACACATGGTGGTGGACGTGCTATTGTGTCCTTTGCCCCAGGTACAGCACCAGGGATCCATAAGGCACTGATGAAAATCAGCATTTTGGAGGATCATCTTCTGTATCACAGAAACTGGGGAGCCTTCCCCATACAGACCAGTAAGATCATTAGGACAGGCTTCAGTGCCAGCTGTTGTGATGGACGTGTACTCTCGAAGGATCTACTTTAGCTGTCTCAGTACATATTATGTTGCATTTCTGGTGTTATTTTAGATATGGAAATTCTCAGAACAGTGCCTTGCATTTACTAGCCAAATTATCCTTCATTTTGATTTTATTTTGGGCAGGAGGAAGTGTAGAGGTGTGAATGATGGGAGAATGAGGAGAAGAGAGGATGGAAGGAGGCACTTTTTGAAAAACATCAAAATCAAGGTCTCTGCAGGAACATTTCTGGAGGGACATGTGTTTTTAATAATATTAACACAGAGCTCAGAAACCCAGTCAAAGGTTTTGCTGCCTTCTTGCTCCATGAGGGGTTTGTTATGGTCCAGGATGAACCCACAGAGCTGAGGGGAGGGAAAAGGGGATGCTGCCAGGTTGGCATTGCAAAAGTGCTGAGATCTGAGGGGCGATGGGGTGATCTTGCCAAAGCTGGTAACACAACTCTTCCAAAAGAAGAGGTGGTAAAACCTAGTTTTCTTAGGTCTCAGCTCTGCACTTCTCCTCCATTACTTGATTTTTTACAAGCTTATTTTCTTGTAGTGTTAAAAGCCTACATTGGCTTGTTTTGTTTTGGGTTTTTTTGGAGCAAAATTGTGGTTTTGCTCTGAAGCCATCTCCACAGCAACTAATGGCAGCACCACATAGAGGTTTTGACAAGAGTTAGGAAGGAAGGACACAGCAGAGATCTTGATTACATCCAAGTAGAATCATAGAATCATTCAGGTTGGAAGAGACCTTTGGGATCATCGAGTCCAACCATCTACCCTACTCTACAACGTCCTCCCCTACACCATATCCCTCAGTACCCCATCTAAATGTCCCTTAAACACATCCAGGGATGTACACCCAGCAATTAGCAGAAGAGAGAGGGAAAATAAGAAAGAGAAAACACATTAGGGGATCTTGAGCCCTGAGGGTCTCAGAGATGGTTGTAGCTACATGATGGGCAAGGTGACCACAGCCTTGGTGCCCCACGGTCTAGACGCACGCTGGGCTGCTCCAGACACTTGATCTTCATCTTGTTTGCTTGGGGATGCATTTAGGTGGGGTTATTCCAGGCTGTGCACAGGAACTCAGCCCTGTATTCCAAAAGGGATCTGATCTATAACGCAATGTGATTTTTTTGGAGACTGCATGTTGTTAACTGGAAGGAACAATCCAGCCCTGGCAAAGAGCTAGGCTGGATGAAGTCATAGAGCTCGTCTTTTCCACCCTGGAAGTGGTCCATGTCTCCCTGTGAAATCTGCTCGGCCTGAGACAAGCAGGTGGGGCTCAGAACAGGAGAAGAACTTTTTGTTGCCCGTTAAATGATAAAACCCCTTTTGGCGACCCCATGTCTGCTACAGTCGTTGCTTCATAGAGAGAAGTCCCTGCTTTGCAGAGGGAGACTTCTGTAGCAATTTTGGGGAGTTGCTAAACCATCCATAGGCAGTAACCAGAGCTTTCCACCTCCTTTGGCTGGTCCACGGTGGTGGGCTGGATCTCCAAGGGCAGCAAACTCAAGGCAGTTAATCCTGGATTTAGGAACCTGAAGATTAGTTGCAAAAAAGGCTAATAAAGGCTTGAGTGCAGGTGATTGCTGTCTGCAGTGATCTTCTTCTGATCTTTCCTCCCTGTGTAGCTGAGGGTAGCAGATGCTTCCCTCTGTCATCACACCACTAATGTTCACATTAGGCTTAATTGCCTAAGGTTGTTGTTGCCTGAAGAAGGGTGCTGTTAGGGAAAGGTGCTGGGGGAACAAAGCTGAGCTCTCCCCTGTAGCAAAGAGATGAAGGAATTAGTGGATTTGTGGACTTTAATGCCAATTGCCTAAGCCAAGATGAGCTTTTCTAGCTGGAGAAAAGCTTCTCTTGCCACTGTAGGCAGGTGGGAGCACCATACTGTCATTAAAGCCTCTTTCCTCCTGCAGATGAATGACTCTCCAGGCTGTGTGCTGACTCCAGGAACCAAGAAGGAGCTTCTTCCCAAGGAAAAGGAAGATGTTTTGTGCCCAGATCCTTGCCCTGGCAGTGGCTGTGGTGCAGCACAGAGCTGTGGCCGTTCATGAAGGTATGTGACAAGTGGGTTACCATGACTGCAGAGCAACCAGGGGAGATGCTGAGACACATGAGGGAGAAAAAGACCTTTTCCAAGCGGCTACTTCTGCTAATGTCATGAAAAACACGCAGATTCTGTCATGGTGGAGTTGTAGTGCTGATGCCTTTAACTTCTGCACAGGGTTCTTTTAGGCTGGGATCATCTCAGGTGGCCCCAAAAGGCAGGCAGCACCTGGCTTGCTACACTGAGGTTTATGGGGAAATTAGGGCTCTTCTCAGTGTTCTGCCCCTAGTACCACCTAGCTGCTCCAGAGGAAGGTGGGGAGAAGGGAAAAATGTGTCCCCTCCTGATTCCTCTTCTGATCTCCAAGAGCTGGGACAAGCCACCATAGAGAGAATATGAGAGAGAAGACCTCAAGGCAGCCTTGAAACCTCCAGCTGCTGTTCAGAGAGTTGAGATGGCACAAGGTTTCACCTCCTCCCTGACTCCCAATTGCCTGTGCAAGCCCACAAAGATCTTTTGGGGAGGAGGTGCTGGGCCCAAAAGGCAGGAGACAAAAGGACCCCAGAGAAGAGCCTCATGGAGTTACACCATGAACCACAGCATGTCTCTGTAGCCTCAGGGTCCTGCAGAAGGGGGGGGCTCCTTGAGAGCATCTGACAAAGCTAATCCAGAACTCCCAGGACTGTCATGGGGTTAGGTATGGTCCTGTGGGTCCTCTTTCTTCGAATTTTTCTGCAGCAACAAGCCCCCAGGCTTTGAAGGTGTAAATTCACCTGGACTAACTCCGATTCATTCAACAAGGAGTTAATGGAAGCTTTAGCATCAGCTACAAAATTAACTTGATTAAGTTCCTGTCCGTCAATTAAGCCAATATACTTGACTATAATGCTATTTAATTCAAAGCTGGGAACACTGCAATAAATCAACGTTTACAGATGTCTCTGGCAAACCCGTGATTGATGAAACGTGGTAATTTTGGAGGTGCATGGAAAATTTCAAATAAAATCATATCCCCCGGTGATTAATATAGCTGTCTGTGTTGGTATTTTCTCCAGAAGGTACCAATCCAAATATGCTTAATATCACATGTTTCTAATGACAGCTTCAGGTACCTGATCCAAGTAGCAAATGCTGTTGGGTTTCATTGCAAAGCTGGGGCCTTCTGGAAAGGTGCTGAGCTCCTGGCTCAGCATCTCAGAGAATGGGCTCTGGTTGCCCTAAAAGGGCAACCATCCTGGCACCATCCTGCCCTTTTTAATCCCATGGAGCTCTTGCTTGTTGTCTTTCTCCTCGTTATCCCTGGATAAAAATGAGGGGCAGGAGGATTGTGTGGGGAGTGAGCAAGACTCCCAGGGGCCAGGGATGGATGGAGGAGGTTCTCTAGGGATTTGGGATGTGGAGAGATAGGTAGCAAAGGTCCTTCTTCTCTCCAACAGCATTTTGAGAATGTTTTCCAGATCAGGGCCAAAACCACAGGTCTCTCAAGAAAAGCTGTCTGCACTGCCTTGAGTGATTCCAAGAGGTGGGTCATTTGGGGAGGGCTGGTGGATGGTCTTCTCCATCCTGTTGAACCTTTTTGGGGCTTTCTCATGGTTACCTTGGGAAGTAGTTGAATGATTTCCACCAATTCTGAAGTCAGAGCCAAGGACCAGCATTGCCTTCCCTCCCAGTCCTTCTAGGGGAAGAGGAACGTCAAGGTCAAAGCTATGGAAAAGGGGTAGATCCAAAATAGAAGTGGCAGCTGAGAAAAGAGCTTATGATGATCTGCTGTTAGCAGCTGAGCTGCCTCCAAGACACCCCTGACAGCTGAAAAGCACTTAGAGAGGTTTGAGAAGGGAAGGGAGATATCAACAGAGAGCTCTAGGAAGGAAATTTGAAATAATTGTCTCCCATTTTTGTCAAGGGAAAAGGGCTTTATATTCCCAGCTGGGTACGAGTAAAACCAAAAAGAGACAGTCATTATTCTTCTGCTGTAAACGGAGCTGTTAAGTCATGAAGAGCTCAGTGTCAGGACATGCAAAGAAAGATGAAGAAGCCAAAAGCCTTGGGTTAACAAAGACCCTTGGACTGCCATCCATCCACAGCTGGCAAATGACCCTCTGTCCTGCTGTGTGGCCAAAGGGGATTGATCAGGGACACAGCAATGAAGGAGAGCACAAAACCTGCATCTTCCCAAGCCCTTTGGAGAACCTGTTTATAGAAATGGGGTAAAAGTCAGCTCTGCCTCTTCAATTTACCTAAACCAGACTTTCCATTTGCAGCAGGAGCATGAGAAACCCACCTAGCACGTCTCCCCAGCAAACTGGAACAAATGCTGCAGCCCAGTTGGGTGCAGGTTGGGTCTCTAGACCTGCAGCTGAAAGTCAAGGCAGTGACTGGGTAAAATCCAAAGCAAAATGGAAAAAAAAAAAAAAAGTGAAGAGGTTGAGCTCGGTCCTGGTGAGCAAGACCTAAAATGCCCTCCTCCAGCAGTCAGCACGGTCTACTTTTTAGCAGCCCTACAGTAATAACTCAGCATCTATCTGCAAGGGGGAGAGAGACGCCAAAGAAAATACAAATTTTGAACATCCCTTGTAGAGCCTTCATTAATTTAAGGCATCTCTAAATTCATCAAATTTCTGTCCACGAAATATATTTATTGGATGCCTAAGGAAAATTAAATTCAATTGAGACTGAACACTGAATAGGGAGATATGCCTTGATGTTCGTTAAACAAATTCCCCTGTGCACCTGTCCCTTCCCAGCCAGATGTCATCAGATAGCTCTGGTTTGTACAGAAAAAACCTCAAATTGTTCATTCTTTGCACAAGATCCTTTCCGTGCTTGGGGCTGGTAAGGAAGAGGGGAGTGTTGCAAAGCTGAATGTCTCGAGAGCATCTTGAGCTCTCTCTGTGCAAGACTGGAAGACTCGGTTGGTTTAGGGCTGGCAAAGCCAGGTGGCCCCATGTCTGCATGAGTTTCTCATATTGGCTCTGGAGACCCTGATGCAAGAAGCCCAGGATGACTGGTGGGGTGGAAAGGCTGCCACATTCCCAAATTTCAGTTGTGTGTGGCTCAGGTGTCAACATCTGCCTCTGGGCATGTGAAACCACAGGCACCTCCTTGCTTCCAGCATGTCCTACAGACCTGCAATGCCTTAATAGATCTGGGTCTTGGTCTTTGTGCTTCAAATGACAAACTTCCCCTGAGGTAGAACAGCAAAATGGGGAATTAAGAGGTAATTAAGGAGAACAAAGCAGCCTGTTACTCTGGGAAGACCATGATTTACCCACTTCATTGGGCCTAAGCAATATTCCTTAACTGAAATATCTCAGGGGTTTACATGACTCAAGAGGGGTTTAGCTCCTGGCTGGCTCATTGCATGGTGGAGGATGAACCTTCTTGCCTTTCTTGTCCCTCAGCATGCAGGACGGCGGAGGTGGCCGACATTCTGTTCCTCGTGGGACAGTCACAGGGCACAGGAAGGGAGAGCTCCTGGCTGGTCAAGGACTTCATCAGCAGCATGGCTCGTTCCTTTGAGAACGTGGTGATGGGCAAAGGAGGCATCCGGCTGGCAGTGGCACTCTACGGGGAGAAACCAAGGTGGGTCAGTCCATCCCCTACCACCAGCACCCAGGTTTCCAGTGGCTCTAGATGGGCAACCATGTCCCCATGGTTAAGGAGCTCTTGCTGCTCTGCTGAACCATTGCAAGAGCAGAGCAAGAGCTCAACCCCCAGCAATGTCACCAGAGTCTAGAGGTGCTTGGTGATGGGGAACTCTTTCAGGGCAGGGAGGTTGGTATTTAATGCAGCCACAAAGAAATTCCCTGCCATCCAATTTTAGATAGTGTTTTATCATAACAGAGCTCTGTGGGACTCATACCCAAGGCTTCCTTGACCACTGTGAAGAGGACTCCTTGCCTACATATATGCCTTGTGTGACCAGCTAAATGTCAACATTATTGTTGGTCATTATTATTATCAATGCATCCTTGCTGTACCAACAGTGTTTTCTTGCCCCTTATTCCCCCATATTCTCCCCAGGATGAGTATTGAGCTTACGGATTACGTGACCATCGAAGAAATGTTGGTGGCAATTCAGGATCTCTCCTTCAAAGGTGGAAGCTTAAAAACAGGGTCAGCCTTGGCCTTTGCAGCTCGTGCCATGTCTCGTCTGGACACACTGCGAGAGGATGCAGCAAAGGTAAGTGACCTTCTGTGATGGCTTCCTTGGTGTCATCCTCAGTAGGGATCAGACCTCTAACTTCTTCCCCTGAAGACCTGCATGAGCCATTTGGGTTTTATTTATCCTGTCTGCTTTTTAGCTTGGGGTTGAGGTACCACATTTAGGAGCTCATTCAGCTTCAGGTCACTTTATTGGTGATAGAGGCACCTCCAGATTTTCAAAGGACTCATTTTTTAAAAATGCTCATGTTTCCCCATGGATTGCAGAGGTACCCGGCGTTCTGGTCTCAGATGCCTCCAGCTGAGTACCCAAATTTGGGGGCATAAGGACAAGGAGACGAGTTGTGGTGTTGGTGCACCTAGCTGTTGCTAGTAGCCTGCATCCATCCACTCTGGCTATAGACAGCAGCAGTACAATTAGCATCTTAATCAAAAAGTAGACATGCTCCTGTGTCTGTATCTTTCAGACATCAGTTCTGGGTCATTGGTTTCTTCAGATATTTTTTTTTTTTAATTATTATTTTGTCAATAACTTTTAAGGGGCTCTGAGGACGCTGAGGATGCTAAAGAGAAGGTGTTGCATTCTGGGTTGCGTGGCTGGCTGCGTGAAGCAGTTCAGTCTGCTCTACTCTGATGATAGACAGTCTTGAAATGGAGAAAGGGGGCAGCCCCATGGGGAGTGGATACACCCCACGCATTGAGTCTGAAATGGTCACGGCCAGCTTTTGCCTCCCGTGGGCCTCCCACATTTGCAGCTCGGTGCTGCACCTTCTCTTCTGCTTTGAGATCCTGCATGCCAAATGCAGTCTGCGTGACCCTGCTGCACCTTCTCTTCTGCTTTGAGATCCTGCATGCCAACCTGTGCTGTTGGTGTGGTCAATGAGACCTGTTTTGGGTCCCATAGCAGGAAGGAGAACATGACGATAGAGGTGGGACGTGTAAACCACTCTGTTTTGGGTCCCATAGCAGGAAGGAGAACGTGACGATAGAGGTGGGACATGTAGAGGTGGGACCACCTCAACTGCTTAATGGTGTTGCAGCAGGTTGTGAGTTCATTATATCATCCCATGTGCTGGCCGTATCTCCTGCTGCATGGTCTGACACGGGACTGCCCTCAAAACATTGCAAGGTTGGTTTGGGTTGCTGATTTGGCTGTCATTTAAACCCAGGCTGTGGCTGAGAGAGTTCTTTAGCACCTGATAGCACCATCCAGGTGCCAGTGGCCAAGTGTGTTGTCCAGGGTGCATGAGACCTCCTTTAAGAGCTGAAGAGCTGCTCTTGTGGACTTCTAGCCCAGTGGCCAAGTGTGTTGTCCAGGGTGCATCTGAGACCTCCTTTAAGAGCTGAAGAGATGCTCTTGTGGACTTCTAGGGGTGAATCCTCTGTGGTGGCATTAATCTCCTTCTGGACCCAAGCAGAGGTGAGAGACAGTTGGGCAGGAGGAGACACACAGAAGATGCTGACATGAGCAGCAGCACTTATCAGCTGTTTCCTTCCCAGCTCATGCTTATGAGAGCTTATTTCCTGAGTTATCCCAGATGTGTGGGTTATCAAAGGATTTATTTTCAAGTGCCCATGCTTTTAGAGAGGTGGACTTCCTCCAAAATCTGACTTCTTAGTGTGAAAATCCTCCAGCTGCCTCTGTGACCTCCTCATGTCGTGCTCCTTCATTCCCTGGCTCTGACACTGATTCTTCTAGGTGGTTGTTTTGATCACGGATGGAAAATCCAGCAACTCAGTTGAAGATGAAGCCCGGGTCCTGCAGGATTTGGGGGTGACGGTGTTTGCCGTAGGTACGTATGGACACGCTGAGTTACGTGGAGCATCTCCACCCCATACTGTGTGTGCACCCACACACAACCTACACACTGGGGAAAGTTCCTCTAAAAACAGCACCCATCCCCAGGCTCAACCACTAGAACTACTGCAAGGACAGGAAAATCACATCTGTGCTGTGCTTGGGTGTTTTTTTGTCGTTGTCGATAGCTGATTTATTCAGCAGAAATCTGCGGGTTTGCATCTGCGAAAACTACTTGCGAATTCAGGAGGAGTTCAATAAATAGTCCCATAGAAGTCAAAACGTTTTGATGTGACATTTTCAAAAATGAAATGTTTTCACTTTTTGAAGCTTTCTCTTAATGGGGTTCAGAGACCGCCTTCAGCTACGTTAAAAATGTCCATCAGAATAACTCCACGGGCGAGGAAAAGTTTCAGCACCTCCCTGCCCCCAAAAGCATTTATTATGAGTCAAATCTTTACCAAACATTTCAGGGGAGAAGGGGGGGATGGTGGTGGTGGTGTTTCGTTACAGAGAGAAACCAAGCTTATTTGGGCAAATCTGAGGTGAAAATTAAGCACAGTGGGGTTGTTGAGCTTTTTTTCCCCCCTTTGTTTTAAATTCAACCACAGGAAAACCCTCCAGTTTTCCCACAGTCTCTCTCCCAACATCCTGTTGGCTGCTCATCCATCAGAAGAGCATAAATGTCTCTGTATCCAATGGGAAGGATGAGGCCAGGTCCTGTCCTGCTCCTTTTCACTCTCCACCCCAAGAGAACTTTCCATCTCTTGGCCCATTAGCAGCCGAATTACCCTGATCAATCTCTAACATGCCTCTGGAGAAAACCTTGACCTCTTTTCTTTGATGGCTTCATCTGCTTCATCACTGCCCGTCCAACTTGAGTCTCTATTCCTTGTTTCATCCTTCCCCATGGGCAGAGTGACTGAAAAGCTGGTGTGAAACTCAAAAGGCCTTCACATTGCTCCTGCTTGCTCTTGACAGACCTTGCCAATCCCTGGCCTGCCTTGGGGATGATGTTTGATGTCCTTTTTTTCTTCTTCTTTTCTTCATCTAGGGATTAAGGGTGCTGACAAGAATGAATTGAACACAATAGCTTCAGAGCCCACTGCAGAGCATGTGCTTTATGTTGAAGATTTCCACCTCCTCCATAACGTGGCCCCCAAACTCTCTCGAAGGCTCTGTTTCACTGCCTCGGAGCCACCACGACCCATCAAACAGACTGTGCAAGGTACGTCAGGGCTCCCCTTTTATCCTCCTTTCCACTTGCTTGAACCAGTCCTTTCCCAGTCCCTGGATGTCCCAGCCACACCATGGAGATGGACCTCCCACGTCCCCTCTGCTCATCACAAGGGAGCTTTAGGGGTTGGATGACCCTAGAGGAACAGCCAGCTCATGGAGCATCAGTTTCTTGGGGGCAGTGGTCCTGTGTATTGTGCTTGTGTCTGCATCTCCACGTTTTCTCTGGTGATACTGGATCCTGAAGGTCTTGCTGCTGGTTCAAACAAAAGGAGCAGCAATGGGCTGTGGCAGCAGTTCTGCCCTGTGGGGGCTTTCATGATGGACCTCTCATGGTCAACTCCAGCAGCACAGCTCAGGGTTTTAGGAAGAACTTAATTCCTTGCAGAAGATGCTAAGAGCAGCCAAAGAGATTCTAAAAGACATCTAGATCTCTCCTCAAACAGATACTGATGTTTCAGCAAATCAGGTGGTGACAATCAATTCCTGCCCCACTCTTGGCACGCAAACTCATGAAATTAGTTAAAAGCGTAGGGCAGAGCTTGAGGGAACTTCGTCCAAGTCATTAGAGGATCTTATTTTTACCCTTTTCTGTGGTTCTGTAGCATTTCAGGGCTGCCTGTGATATTTCATGGAGAGTTCAAGATTTCTGGCCAAATATTCTGTGGTGGCAGTAAGGAGAAGGGCCAGAAGGACCCGATGCCCTGTGTGTTAAGCAGGTGCTCACAAGAGAAATGTAGCCAGAATGAGTTTTGTTTTTCCTTTCTTGTGGTGTCAAGCAGTTTGCCAAAAGAAAACCTGCTTGTGTGGCTCTAGCCTGGAAGCAGATCCCAGCTGCTCCTGCACTCTCAGTCCAAGCAGGTGCCATCTATACCCAAGGCTTCTTTTGCATTGGATGGGTTGACTCCATCAATGAACCAGCACTTGGTGCCACCACGGTCCAAACCAAAGGCCTCTCCTTTCTGTTTTTGCAGCTGAGAAGATCGTCGGCCCCCGGGATTTGTATGTCAGTGAGCACAGCCACAGCACGCTGAGACTCACCTGGATGCCAGCCACGGGGAAGGTGACGGGCTACCATGTCCATCTGCATCCCTTGCTGCCTTCAGGGCAGCCCGTTTCAGAAGACCAGCAGCAGGTAGAATGGCATTACCATTTTGCAGAGCACCAGTTTGCCCGTCCCGGTGTTAGGGTTTAGTCCTCTGCTGAGGCTGCTGGTGGCACAGCGTGGGCAGGAGATGGCACCGTGTCCCTCAGCCCTCCCGGTGGATTGGCATAAATTCCTGAAGCTGCTCGCATGGAGTGAAAGTCTATAGATGCACCATCAGATTTTCAGATGTCTTGATTGCTGATGCTAATTTTGGCATTGCTGTGGTGGTGAGATAGAGTTTCTGGTGACGGGTGGGGGAAGGTCCCCCACCTGTCCCATACCTGGAAGTATTCAAGCCTGGAAGTGTTCAAGGCCAGGCCTGGAAGTGTTCAAGGCTGCTAATTTTGGCATTGCTGTGGTGGTGAGATAGAGTTTCTGGTGACGGGTGGGGGAAGGTCCCCCACCTGTCCCATACCTGGAAGTATTCAAGCCTGGAAGTGTTCAAGGCCAGGCCTGGAAGTGTTCAAGGCCAGGTTCATGGGGCCTTGAGCAACCTGCTTTAGTGGGAGGTGTCCCTGCCCATGGCAGGGGGGTTGGAACTCGATGATCTTTGAGGTCCCTTCCAACCCAAACCATTCTATGATTCTAAGGTTGGGTGGAAGAAGGACATGGCACAAACTGGGACAAACTCCACTGGGATGGATAAGAACAGGTCAATGGGAAGCATTCTTTCTCCTCATAACCTCTACGATTCCACCTCTCAAGCCCATCCAGCCCCCTTAGCAACATCCCCTGTTCCTCTTGCTGCCAAGATTGTTCATCTTGGTAAGATCTCAGCGTGTTTTGGGTTTGGATTTGCCACGTCCTCGTGTGAGGGATGCTGCTGTGTGTGCCAGCTCGCTCTGGCTCAGCTCGGTCGCTGCACAAAGTCCGAGGGCAAGATTGAAGGGTAGACAATGTATGCCTAAAAGCTTTGATTTCTAATAATAGAACAAAGCTATGAAAGCATAAATTATTAAGGTTGAGATTATTAATTGTATTAATTATTAAGATTGTATTTAACAAGAATAATCATCCTTGGCTGCTTTAGAATCTCATAAGAACATAGTGAAAACACAGAAGTTGTCTCTGCTGCTTTTGCCCTCAGGTGATGTTGAAATCTCCCTCTATGAGCTTAAAAGAAACTGTCTTTGCCAAAGACCGTTGTTTTTCCTCCATTTTTTAAGGGAATTGAGAACCACCCTTACACTTATGCACACTCTTATTTTCATGGAGGTTTTTTCTGCCACCCTTGGCACTGTCCTGTGTCAATGCTATGTCCAGTGTGGAACCAGATATCAGTTGGGGATCACAGTGTTCTGAGTTAGTGTGTTTTAAGAGGCTTCTGCTCGTGGAGATCAAAGACATCACATATGAAACTTCATCTTCCTAATCTGTTGCAAACATGGGGGTCTTCTACTGTCATGGAGGTGTAACGGTGTCCTTTGTCCCCCTGTGTGACAGATTGTGGTGGACGGTGACAAAAGTACCGTGCTGGTGACTGATCTGAAACCCAACACCAAGTATGTCTTCACGGTGAGGGCCATCTATGCAGATACTGTTGGGGAGTCAGCGGTTGTCAAGGGGAAAACAAGTGAGTGTGTCTTCTGCAGTCATCCCTGTGTGTTCCTTGTCTGCGTGGGCACAGGAAAAAAACCCACCCAAAACCATACATGTAAGGAGTTGAGGGATGGGGAGGTAGGAATGGGGAGAAGGAACATCTGTGCAAATGTCCATGATGTGGGGCGCAGGGTCATGCGTGGGTGCAGAGTAATCCATGTGGTTAACCCACTTGAAAGCAGAGGGTGCAGCCTGTTGGAGAGCTCACATCGTCTGGTTTAATAACCAGCAGGATTTAACAACTCCAGGCTGGGATTCAGTTAATGTAACACTCATGTACCCGGGATGAGAAAGCTTTTGGAGACCATGGGCTGAGAAACATAGACATGTGTTGCACAGGAGGCCACAAAGATGATCGGAGGGCTGGAGCACCTTTCCTATGAAGACAGGGTGAGAGAGTTGGGGTTGTTCAGCCTGGAGAAGAGAAGGCTCTGGGGAGACCTTGGAGCCCCTTCCAGTCCCTAAAGGGGCTCCAGGAGAGACAGGGAGGGACTCTTGATGAGGGAGGGGAGCCATAGGAGGAGGGGGAAGGGTTTGACACTGAAAGAGGGGAGATTAAGATGAGATCTGGGGAAGAACTTCTTTGCTGTGAGGGTTGTGAGAGCCTGGGCCAGGTTGCCCAGAGAAGCTGTGGCTGCACCATCCCTGGAGGGGTTCAAGACCAGGTTGGAGGGGGCTTTGAGCAACCTGGTCTGGTGGGAGGTGTCCCTGCCCAGGGCAGGGGGTTTGCAACTGGATGATCTTTAAAGTCCCTTCCAACCCAAACCATTCTGTGATTCTATGATTCTGTGAGTTCTATGGTGAGATGTATACTCTAAACACCTTGTTTCAGAAGTGGGTGGCCCAAAAGGTTTTGTTTGGCACTATGCATGCAATTAGGGCTTCTTTTCATTCAAGGTGGTATGATCATGGCCTTAAGGAAGTGCCCCTAGTAGTGAACTCTGGTCCCATGAAATGATCTAGGCTTCTTCTGGATTTCAGCCTGCCCTGCCAAATTCCTTTGCTGTCCCATGGCTGGCTGTAATGACAAGGTTGTTGGAAACAAAGGAGCAAATTCAGTCTTGGCCAAACCCTGGAGTGCAAGGCACTAGGTCAGATGTGATGGATGGAACAGGTTTTGTCCCAGAAGTCTCTGCACTGCTTTAAGGGGCGTCAAGAGTTGGAGTGGTGCACTAATTCTGCTTCCCTCCCTGTTTTCCATGAAGTGCCATGTTTGCTTTGCCCAAGGTTTTTTGAAAAGAATTATTCCTTTCTTCCTTGTCTTTTGTTTCTTCCCCCACCCCCTGCAATGTCTTAAATTGTTTGTCTTCTTGAGGGAAGATCTCCAACAGGATGAATAAATTAAATGCCTCAATGAGGTTGATTCATATATACTTTCCAGAAATAAGATGGAATGTCTTCATAGGTGGAAATAAAGACATTTGATCTCTTCTTTTATTATTCTCAACATGAAGCCGGAGGCAGAAGCCATAAATCTGTCTGTCATGGCTGGATGGATCAAAATGGGCTCCTCTTTGTAGGAGCTGTGACCATAGGCCCAAGTAGCATTTGATTCATGTGTCCTTGCTCAGTCTCCATGAAGCCACTGTGGAGTTTTCTCTGCTCAGGAGGAAATGCCTTGTGGGTGGTTATTTCACAGTTCTCAACACTGTTCAAGGAGGAAGCCCATAAGCACTCTGCCCTGTGGGTTTTCAGCTCACTTTTCAAACAGACAAGGATTTGGTAGAGGGATCAGTGGCTTCTTTTGAGGATTCAGCTGAGAGAATAGGGAGAACTGGTGCTGCTCACTTTTGTGTCTCTTTGTCCTTGAAAACAGAAGATTTTTCCAAGGGTCTTTGCCACGGCACGTTATTCCAGCACTTTTCACACATCATTTTCTGCCCTGTTTTTGTGCCCCACAGCACCTGTGCCTCCAGTCACTAATTTCCGTGTGATAGAAGAAGGACTTTTTAGCTTGAAGGTGGCTTGGACACCTCCGCTTGGCAAGCTGGAGGGCTACAAGATCTACATCCCCAGAGGTAAGATTTTATCAATTTTTCTTGGAGTTTGCTTTAAAAGGAGCAGTGACCCGAGGACAGGAAAGAGGCCATTTTGTCCAAGGAACAAAGCACCACAGAGCTCATGGCATTACTGTGGAAGGAGGCCAAGTTAGCCTCTTCCAGACAGTTGGGTTTCCCCAGGACAGAGGAGGAGAGTCCTTTGAAGGACTTTCTTTTGAAGAAGATGGGGATGGTGCTGTGGATGCCTTGTACGCATTTGCACTGTCACATCCAGACCTACTATGGAGGTTTTTCATACTCAAATGCCTGCTTTGGTGTGGATGTGGGGTGAGTTCAAACCTTTGGTATTGTTCACACTCACCTCTGTGAGATCTGGAGGGCTGAGGCAGCTTTAGCTACAGATATAACTCTCATCAACATCACATGGGTTGGGGGATCTTCAACCATGCACTTGAAACAGCTCCTATCCATACTCTTCACCATGTTGTGAAGACATCACCATGGGACATAGATAGGCAGTTGGAAGGCTTCACCATCACTCTTCTTGATTTTGCAGCCAACAGACCAGGAATGACCTACGAGCAGGTTCTGCGGGGTGATGTCTCATCCCACGTGCTGGAGAACTTGCAGGAGGACAGAGAATACAGCATCAGCATCTACGCCGTGTACCCCCAGGGCCCCAGCCAGCCTGTGGCTGCTGTGGGGAGAACATGTAAGAGGTTTGACTTGATCACTGGTCCCTTTTTGCCCCGGGGCACTGTGTTCCACACCCTTTGTTGTTGATAAGCACCTCACAGTTGGTGAGTGCTGCAGTGTTATATTTTGAGGAACCCACAACAATTTATTGTTGTTTAGACAATTATTCTATCACCTGATGAGCCCTCCCCACCCGGGAAGGGGAATGAGGAGAAAACAAGGAAACCTGAGGGTTGAAATATGAACAGATTTAGTAGAATAAGACTAGATAATTAACATTGATAGTACTAAAGAACCAGTATTGATCCCAATATTAATATAAAATATACAAGGACTATCCATCACAGAAAGCTGGGCACTTCCAGCAGGGACAGCCAATGTGGGACACTGCAAGTGCTGCAGCTCTGGGAGGAAAGGAAGGGCTCAGAGGTCCAGCACTGGGGCAAGAAGTTCTCAGGATGGCAGCCATCAAGGGAGAGAGGGCGAGACTTTCTAATTTATATTGAATGTGATGGTCATGCTCTGAAATTATCCTGTTGGCCAACTGGGGTCAAATGCCCAGGTCTCGCTCCTCCTCATCCCTGCACCTGACTAACTCAAAAACACTGGGACCTTGGAACCCACATACCATAACTGGCTAGAAAGTAAATATTTTCAGAAATTCAGACACTAGAGTCTTCTAAAAGTGCAGTTTTCCCAAGCATTAGAGGAGACCTCACTGACAAGTAAAATTACTGAAAGAGTAATTAATCCCGTGTTTCTCAGGATGGCAGCCATCAAGGGAGAGAGAGCGAGAACTCTTCAGTGAACTTTCTAATTCTTCTCAGGATGGCAGCCATCAAGGGAGAGAGGGCGAGACTTTCTAATTTATATTGAATGTGATGGTCATGCTCTGAAATTATCCTGTTGGCCAACTGGGGTCAAATGCCCAGGTCTCGCTCCTCCTCATCCCTGCACCTGACTAACTCAAAAACACTGGGACCTTGGAACCCACATACCATAACTGGCTAGAAAGTAAATATTTTCAGAAATTCAGACACTAGAGTCTTCTAAAAGTGCAGTTTTCCCAAGCATTAGAGGAGACCTCACTGACAAGTAAAATTACTGAAAGAGTAATTAATCCCGTGTTGCTCAAACCAGGACATGCAGCTCCATGGGCATCAAAGGGGCAGGGTTCAGCAGGTCCCTCCTAACTCCAACCTTGAGCCCTGCTCTTCCTCCGTCACGTGCATGGGCATGGACACCCTCGAACATCATCATGCTGCTTGGGAGGAGGGGTGGGAGATCTACCAAAGCCTCTCATCCCAATATTAATATAAAATATACAAGGACTATCCATCACAGGAAGCTGGGCACTCCCAGCAGGGACAGCCAATGTGGGACACTGCAAGTGCTGCAGCTCTGGGAGGAAAGGAAGGGCTCAGAGGTCCAGCACTGGGGCAAGAAGTTCTCAGGATGGCAGCCATCAAGGGAGAGAGGGCGAGACTTTCTAATTTATATTGAATGTGATGGTCATGCTCTGAAATTATCCTGTTGGCCAACTGGGGTCAAATGCCCAGGTCTCGCTCCTCCTCATCCCTGCACCTGACTAACTCAAAAACACTGGGACCTTGGAACCCACATACCATAACTGGCTAGAAAGTAAATATTTTCAGAAATTCAGACACTAGAGTCTTCTAAAAGTGCAGTTTTCCCAAGCATTAGAGGAGACCTCACTGACAAGTAAAATTACTGAAAGAGTAATTAATCCCATGTTGCTCAAACCAGGACATGCAGCTCCATGGACATCAAAGGGGCAGGGTTCAGCAGGTCCTTCCTAACTCCAACCTTGAGCCCTGCTCTTTCCCCATCATGTGCATGGGCATGGACACCCTTGAACACCATCATGCTGCTTGGGAGGAGGGGTAGGAGATCTACCAAAGCCTCTTCTGCCCTCCTGTTTTGCGCCAACGTTGCATAAAGCAAGCGAGGTGGTGCAGTAGAGGTGTTGGTCCTGGAAAGCAATGGTCACAGATATGTTTTATGAGATGCCTTGAGCCTGTCAGGGAGGACAGGAGCCCTTGTAAGTCCCTCTTCTGGTGGCAGGCAGGCTGGAGGGAGAGCAAGGCAGGGAGGGCAGCCAGCAAAGTCCTCCACTGGCAAGTAGGTGCTCTGAAAGGTTTGTCCCTTGTCCTCCTTCCAGTGAAGCTCCTGCCCGTGAAAAGCATCTTGCTGCAGAATGAGACCACCAACACGCTCCAGGCAAGGTGGACACCCATCCGGGGAGCAACGGGGTACAGGCTCACCTGGACATCAGCAGGTAGAGACTCAGGAATGGGGTGTGTGTGTTAGTGAGCAGGGACATGGAGGAAGAGAAGCTGTGAGGTCCCCAAGGCATTGGGTGCACTCACACCTTCTGTGTCCATACCTGCAACAAGAAGCTGGAGGAAAACAAGTTTTGTGGATGTTGGAGTTTTCTGCACGTGGGGATAAATCAGCAGCTCGCAACAGAGATCCATCCTATGGGTTGGTTGATGGTGAACTCCACCATGGATGCAAAAATACCTGCTCTGGCTCTACATAAAGCAGGTTTAAAAGTATCCAGCCTTGTTAACGTGGGATTAATGCCAGATTTACTGGACCTGGGTAGCTCTGAAAAGCATTAATAGCTGGAGAGAAGCTGGTGAAGCCCCTGAGCATCTGGGGTACCCCCTTTTTTGGGGTGACAAGTACAGACTGGAATTGCTCATGCTCGTTGCGTTCCTCTCTGCAGTGCCAAGGCCTGGCTTCATCCCCCAGCTTCCCATCCCATAATGCTTCCTTGTTCTCAGAAAAATTTTGGTGTCTGAAGACAAATCTGCATTTGCAGCTGGAGCCTCCTCCCTGCCCCGAACCCAAACATATTTTCATTGCTGGTGTGGGGGAGCAGACGTTAGAAATTCAGGTTTGGTGGCATATTTTGGCCTTGGGAGATGGATGTTTCTGTGGTTCAAAGACAAGGTGGGATGTCAGGACACCTGGGCTCCATCACAGCCTTTGAATAAATAGCACACTCTCCTCAGGCTCATTTCCCCTGGTTATGAAATTAAGAGACATCTCCCACCAGGGGAGGGGGGGCTGTTAGCTGGAGAACACCTCTGAAGGTCATCAGAAAGGAAAATTCTTTACAGGCAAGATAGAAAACTGTTTTTATTGCTTTTTAATGAATGTCTCTCCAGAAAGGTCATCAGAAAGGAAAATTCTTTACAGGGAAGATATAAAACCGTTTTTATTGCTTTGTAATGAATGGCTCTCCAGAAAAAAAATCATGGCACACCCCAAAACTCAGCTGTTTGCCCAGTCCTTGCTCGATACCCCAGCTAGAAATGGGTCAGGCACATCCTCAGCCTGCCAGGTCTTTGAAGTGGGGACACCCCTTCTTGAGGGGACAGTGCAGGAGACCCTCAGGCAAAGCAGCACCTCATCTCTGCTCCAGCTTTGCTCTTTCCAAGCAGCTCTTTCACCTGATACAGGTTCACCCCAAGTCCAAGGGTGGCCAAAATCCCAAGGGGCAGCCCACCCTCACCGCTGGGCCCTGTGAGGTCCTCCTCCCACATTCCATCCCATCCCAGGGCCATGCCTTATGGATGAGCTCCAGCTTTGCTCTTTCCAAGCAGCTCTTTCACCTGATACAGGTTCACCCCAAGTCCAAGGGTGGCAAAAATCCCAAGGGGCAGCCCACCCTCACGGCTGCGCCCTATTGGGGTCCTCCTCCCACATTCTGTCCCATCCCAGGGCCATGCCTTATGGATGCAGTGGCGTTGGGATGGAGACACCTTCTGCCCATCCCCGTGCAGCCGTCGCAGGCACTGGAAGGGTTTGATTTTTCTTCTCTGACTTCCAAGACGGAGAATGGAGAAACACAAACGAGCAGCTGAGGTGGAAAGTCCTTGGAGGGGGGTGGGAGAAGGGGGATGGGGCTCAGGGTGCTGGTGGAGCAGAAGATGGGGACATGGCACCCTCCAGTGACCAAACTGCAAACGGCAGCTTCTCCTCCCCAAACCCCAAACATACTGCTGCCTACACCTCTCTGCCCCTCTGAAACAGGGTGTGATCCCTAGGGATTAGGTTTTAACTCTTCTCCTGCCACGTCAAGAGGTTTAGCTGAGCAGTTTGTGGTCCACAACAAGGATACTGAAAGGAGAAAACATCTTTCGTGACATCTGTTGGCTTCAGTGTCCTGCAGGGAAGGCAAGATGACTCCAGTACCGAGTCACCCTGGGCTGGGCAGAGCGTGGACCTTCTTACAGGATTGCTCATTGACCAATATGTGGCCATTTGTGGGTTGTTACCTGATTTATTTTCTTTGGCCTGCAAAGCCATGAGTTGCCTTGACCTTCTGGTGATCACTGAGGTCTACCTGAGTGGCTGTGGGTTATTTCTACCTGTATATACGTTAGCTCCTCAACCAAGACTTGTTGTCCTATCCCATCTTCAGCCTGGGGACCATGCTGGCACATGTGCAAGCCACGAGGATGAAATGCCATTCAATCTCACCCATCTGTGTGGTTCTCATGTGGTTGTTTGCGTGATTGCCCACCGCCCTCCCAGACAAGGACACCCAAGGAGGGTGCTCCTCCTTGGTTTGACCCAGAGGAGCCCTGGCATTGTTTCCTTTTGCAGAGGGCAGCATCCAAGATGTGAACCTCAGCAACACCTACAGCTACTACATGATCCAGGGGCTGCAGCCTGGCACGGAGTACACTGTTACCATCAACCCCATCTTTGGGGACGTCGAGGGACCAGTGGTGAGCAGCAAAGCAACGACGGGTGAGTGCCCTGCAGCAAAGATGGAAGCCAACCAAAGCAGACATGGATGAGGGCCGGGTTGTGCTGGCAGCACAGAGCTGGTGTTATTTGTAGTCACCACCTTGCTCTGTCATCAGGTGCAGAAAGAATTCTGGGTCATTACAGTTTTTGGGAGCCACTTAGAAGCTGTTTGGATCTTGATGTCATTGGTCAACTTTGCTGTCTTGCAGTGGCATCGAGCACCGTCCAGATGCTGAAAGTGACTGAGATATCTACCAACAGTGCTCTGGTCTCCTGGGACTCAGTTGCTGGGGCCACTGGGTATCGAGTGGCTTGGGGTCCTACACCAGGTGAGATCCAGCCTGCATCACCTCCACCTCCTTTTGTAGCATGGGAGATAAGGCACAGGGAACCTCAGGGTTGGTGGACATTGGAGCAGGTTCAGCTCATTAATTGGCCTGAGCAGCCTCTCCCACAACTTCAGAACATGAACTGAAACCAGAAATTATTCCTGGACCTGGCCTGAAGTTCCAGCAGGCAGGGTCCCTGCAGTGACTACGTTCAGCCTGACCCCAGCCCAACACGTATCCCAGTGGGTGCATCAGTCTTACACCACCTTTCCTGGTCATCCAGACAGGGGCTTTGCAACTCCCTGGAGATGCTGGGGAAGGGCAGAGCACATGTTGGAGTCACTCCTGGACTGCACCACATTACTGTGGGCCCTGGATGTGAGACCTGGTTTGGTTGCTTCAGTTCTTCTCAGCTGGTTTGGATCCTTTAGTCATCCAAAATACCAAATAAATAACCACTGGAGAAGTCTCTCTTGCCCCAGCTCCCACAAGGGTGTCCCTCAGCAGAGGTTCAGCTGGGTCAGAGATGGACTGCCAAGGAAAACATGATGTCTTTCCCAGTATGCAACAAAGCTGCTCTCCAGAGAGTTTTTAGCCTCTTCTATTTTATTTTCTCCCTTTGAAAGAGTTCTTTGGCAAAGACCGTCCTCGCCAGCTGGCCCTCAACAGGTCAATCACAGCCTACCAGCTCCGCAACCTGGCCCATGACACCGAGTACGTGATTTCCCTCTACGTGCTCTTTGGCTCCGTGGAAGGACCAGGGATCACAACCTCAGCCAGGACATGTGAGTACAGGCAAGATGTTCAAGTAGCTACCACAGCACACAACCCTCGTGTGGCTGGTTCAGTCTTGTCTATCCCTACAGCGCCCTTACACCGTGCTTCCTGCACCCCACTCCCATCACCTCATGTCAGGGGCACCATGGTGGTGGTCCTTTGTCCTGCTGACCTGTTGTGAATCCCAAAGGCTGTGGGTTTTCTGCCTGGGAGTCTTCAGATGCAAACTGGAGCCAACATGCTCTGCAGTTCATGTGCCATGGGCTTGGGCAGAACTTCAGATATCAACTGGCTGATCCGAGCACACAGAGCTTCCAGGCATCCCAAAATCCAGATCAGTGGCCAAAGTCTTCAACATTGTTAAAGAGTCCAGCTGGAAAAGAGATGAGACTTGTGTAAATTCTGCTGTAGGGAGCCATAGGGAGATAAAGAGAGAGGAACTTCCTAATGTGGTCCTTCCTGCCTGGTGACAAGGGCTGTCCCCTGCCTCAATGAAGGGGGGAGTCCAAAGGGCTGTGCTGGAACATCAGGTTACCCAGAAAAGAGGCAGCAGATGCAAATGGGGAAAGACGATGGTCTGGTTGATGGCCAGAGCTTGTCCTCCTATGGAAAACTTCAAAGTTGCTGCATCTTGGAGGAGTCAAGGGCAGCAATGGTGAGCGTGGTGATCAGAAAGCAGAGGTGAGATTTGTACAGTACTAGATGTATCCTCAGAGAGGTTTAAAAGTGGCAGAAGGTGATTAGCAACCCCGGGATACAGTATGGAGATGATGGGCTGACCCTTGTGAAGAGTGGGCATGGACTGACACTGGTGTTCAGCATCTGTGGGAGCTCTGGAAAGAGGCAGCAGATGCAAATGGGGAAAGACAATGGTCTAGTTGATGGCCACAGCTTGTCCTTCTATGGACAACTTCAAACTTGCCGCATCTTGGAGGAGTCAGAGGCAGCAATGCTGAGCGTGGTGATCAGAAAGCAGAGGTGAGATTTGTACAGTACTAGATGTATCCTCAGAGAGGTTTAAAAGTGGCAGAAGGTGATTAGCAACCCCGGGATACAGTATGGAGATGATGGGCTGACCCTTGTGAAGAGTGGGCATGGACTGACACTGGTGTTCAGCATCTGTGGGAGCTCTGGGTGGATTTTTCATCCTGCAGGCAGTGTGGCAGCACTGGGACCTAGATTCCACAACTCCCTGGATCCCTGTCCTGGACTTGCAGAGATGCTCCCACCTGGATCTAGTGCAGAATACACTCCTCAGTACTAAGAGAAGTACAATGTACCCACGGGGCCCAGACCTCAGACAATCACGGAATGATATGGGGTTTTTTCAGTGGTGCCCAGTGACAGGACAAGAGGAAACGAGCACAAGCATGAACATAAGAAGTTCCACCTAAATGTGAGGAGGAACTTCTTTACTGTGAGAGTGGTAGAGCACTAGAACAAGCTGCCCGGAGAGGTGGTGGAGTCTCCTTCTCTGGAGACATTCAAAACCCACCTGGACAAGTTCTTGTGCAACCTGCTCTGGGTGGACCTGCTTTGGCGGGGAGGTTGGACTAGATGATCTCCAGAGGTCCTTCCAACCCCATGTGATTCTGTGGAAGGGACCTCTGGAGATTATCTATTCCAACCCCCTGGCAGAGCAGGGTCACCCAGAGAAGGTCACATGGGAACATGTCCAGGTGGGTTTTGAATGTCTCCAGAGACAGAGATTCCACCACCTCAAGCAGTGCAAAGTGGTGTCTCACAAGATGAGGGCAATCAGATACTGAGGATAAGCAGAGATACAACTTCTAACTCTTCTACATAATTTTGGCCTTATTATAGTGGTGTCTCACAAGATGAGGGCAATCAGACACTGAGGATAAGCAGAGATACAACTTTTAACTCTTTTACATAATTTTGGCCTTATTATTACACTGACAACAATTAGCCCTGTTGGACAGTAGTCTGATGCTGTCTTCACCTTGCAGCTCCTCTTGGCTACGTCTCCAATTTCAAGGTGATGTCCTACACCAGCACAAGCCTGTCTCTGGTGTGGAGTGCCACAGCAGCTGCCACCAAATTCAAAGTCACCTGGAGCCCTGTGGGAGCAGAAAAAGGTGAGGAGACAAAGGGTGCACATATTTGTTCCTGGCACAGACTCGTGCCATGGCCATGGGAGCCATCTTTCCAAACTTCTCATCTACTGCCTGGGGTAGGAAAGAGATCTATTGAGAAACATGCTCCTCAGCCCACGTCTGTTTGTGATGGCTCTTTCCCTGTTTGTATTTGTGCACTTCTATTTATGAAGGTAATCCCCAAAGATCTGAAAGAGTAGTAGAGAAAGGAATGGCTATTTCCTTTGGAGGGGGATGCCACCAGCCTCACTGGTGAGCTGCAGGCTCTCAAACTTTCCCTTTTTTTTTTACAGAAAAACAGGTTGCCAAGACTCAGTACCTGGGCAGTAGGGTGCTGGCTTACCAGATTGACCAGTTACTGCCCAACACCCTGTATAAAGTCAGCGTTCGGGCTGTCTTCAACAAGACTGAGGGACCAGAGGTGACTCTGACTCACCGCACAGGTATGTCCCAGCGGAACAACCCTCTTTCTGTTGGGAAGCAAAAGCTGAATTCGTGGTCCTGTGCCTTGCACGTTGATGGTGGGATGACATGAGTAGCCCTCACTTTTTTTTTACAGAAAAACAGGTTGCCAAGACTCAGTACCTGGGCAGTAGGGTGCTGGCTTACCAGATTGACCAGTTACTGCCCAACACCCTGTATAAAGTCAGCGTTCAGGCTGTCTTCAACAAGACTGAGGGACCAGAGGTGACTCTGACTCACCGCACAGGTATGTCCCGGCAGAACGACCCTCTTTCTGTTGGGAAGCAAAGGCTGAATTCATGGTCCTGTGCCTTGCACGTTGGTGGTGGGGTGACATGAGTAGCTGGTAGCAATAATCCAGGGCTGTTTGCATGAGCAGAATCATAGAATCATAGAATGGTTTGGGTTGGAAGGGACGTCAAAGATCATCGAGTTCCAACCCCCTTGCCATGGACAGGGACATCTCCCACTAGAGAAGGTTGCTCAAGGCCCCATCCAGCCTGGCCTTGTAGGCTGGATGAAGGTAGGTAGGAGTGAACACGTCCTTCTGGCATGTTAAACTTGGCTTGGCATAGGTAGGCAACCCTGGATGTATTAACGTGCTCCCCAAAGCATGTTATCATGTATTTATCAGTGCCATCTCAGGAAGGTAGGAGCCTCTCTGCCAACACCACTCAGGAACAACTCAGCAGCATGCACTCTTGAGGTCTGCCATTCCTTGATTTGTGGCTCTTCCTCTTCAAACTTGGGGTCCTGGGTACTTTCAATGTCTTTCTCATGTGAGTTCATTTGAACCACAGGTTCCTGTGGTGTTTGAAGATGCATCTGGATGATAGACATTAGGAAGAAGTTCTTTAAAATGCTCAAGGCCCCATCCAGCCTGGCCTTGTAGGCTGGATGAAGGTAGGTAGGAGTGAACACGTCCTTCTGGCATGTTAAACTTGGCTTGGCATAGGTAGGCAACCCTGGATGTATTAACGTGCTCCCCAAAGCATGTTATCATGTATTTATCAGTGCCATCTCAGGAAGGTAGGAGCCTCTCTGCCAACACCACTCAGGAACAACTCAGCAGCATGCACTCTTGAGGTCTGCCATTCCTTGATTTGTGGCTCTTCCTCTTCAAACTTGGGGTCCTGGGTACTTTCAATGTCTTTCTCATGTGAGTTCATTTGAACCACAGGTTCCTGTGGTGTTTGAAGATGCATCTGGATGATAGACATTAGGAAGAAGTTCTTTAGGGTGGTAAGACACTGGAACAGATTGCCCAGAGGGGTGGTGGAGGCCCCGTCCCTGGAGACATTCAAGGTCAGGCTTGATGAGGCTCTGAGCAATCTGGTCTGGTTAAAGATGTCCCTGCTTAATGCAGAGGGGTTGGACTAGATGACCTTTAAAGGTCCCTTCCGACACAAAACATTCTATGTTTCTATGATCTGTCCCCTCTTGGTCACCTCCCTGTGTTGTGTCACCAGAGTTTGGTGCAGGTGGTAAGAGATGTGGATGAGATCCCTCGTCTTAACTGCACAGTGCTCCTTTCCATGGATTCATTAGGAAATGCAGCCTGGCATCCCTGGATAATGTCTGGAAAGTAGATATTGCATAAATACCCAAATCTTTCTTCAGTGCCATAGCTTAGAGCCATGAACTCTGCGTAATTTGGGCTGTTACTTCAGACATCTCATCCTGGTGAATTTTCGCAGCGCCTCTTGCAGACTCCAACCCCATCCAGGCCGTTGAAGATCTGAGGATTACTGACACCGGCGTAAATAGCTTGAAGCTGTCTTGGAGGAGACTTCCTGGGGTAACTCATTATAAGATATCCTGGGCGCCGTTCAATGGTAAGAGTCCTGTTCTCTTGGTGAGGTGCAGTATGAGGAGAGAGCACAAGGAACCCCAAAAAATAGGAGGTCATCCCTTTTTCCCTCACACAATCAGGGTAGATGGGTTCTGTAATGTCTATGGGAGAAGGTTGAAGCCCTGTAACTGAGCCATGTTTTAGTCATTCACAAAGAGATCTGTTGGATAGAGGCACAGCTGGGATTTGGGAAATCAGAGAAGTTGTTCTCTTCCAGCAGTGTATGTGATGCCTTTGTGACCAGATCTCTCACCTGCCTGTGCCTCAGTTTCCCCACGTGCAAAGTTAGCACGTAACACTCCTCCCTGGGGCTGGGATTTGGGAAATCAGAGAAGTTGTTCCCTTCCAGCAGTGTATGTGATGTCTTTGTGACCAGATCTCTCACCTGCCCGTGCCTCAGTTTCCCAACATGCAAAGTTGGCACGTAACACTCCTCCCTGGTGAGATCTCGTAAGGTATATGGGAGGAAAGTGCTGTAACAATAATTAATAGCAATTTCCCTGCCCTTTCTAAGTAACACTGGTTGCTTTTTTGAATGGCTTCTCTCAGGTGGCTTGGAAACCTCCCAGGTGGTTGCAGCAGAGACGGTCTCCTTCACGATCTCCAACCTGAAGGAGAGCACCACCTACACCATCTGCATGTCTGCAATGATCGGGGGACAGGAGGGAAGCCCCACACTCCTCACAGCCAAAACTTGTGAGTACAGAACCACTGGGTGAGGACAAGAGCCACCTCCACGTTAGTGCTGGAGGCCATCTCTTCTTGGGGGCTCTGATGGGAGGTGAGGATGGAAAAAGGGCAGTATTGCCTGTTGGACACCTTACTACTTCTCAGGTCCCACCAGCCAGAATACCAGAAATCATACATTGGTCCTTTCTACTTATTTCTAAGAAATGTTGGGACTTTGCCTGTCTTCCCAGGCCAATAATCATCACGAGATGCCATTTTTGTGACACATTATCTTGGAATTACCTCTGTAGTTACAATATCTTGACCACTTTCAGTAGATAAAGGCAAACATCACTCATGACGTTGTGGTGTCGTGCGACTTGATTGATGCTGCAGAATAGGCAGATTTGGAGATAAGATGCGGGGTGTGGAGTCAGCATGAGCATCTGGCCCAAGCGAGCAGGCAAAAGCTTTATTGCCCAACTTAACAACTCAAATTTCACAATCAGTTTAGAGAAACACCTCACAGTCCAGGCTGAAGACCTGCCAACAGTTATTTGCTAAAACTCCATGAATTCCCACCAGCTGAGGATCTGATCTGCTTCAGCTTTCTGGAAAATCCCTAAAGTGCTGCAGGGACTCCTTAGGAGGCAGAAGGTCTCCAAAGCCATTTGCTGATGTATTTCCTGGCACACACATCTTTGCATCCTGGAGTAGATGTCATCTGAAAGATTCACCAGCAGCTGGAGCTGTGGACAAGCATAGCAGAGATGTGCTTCGTGTTCATCATTTCTATCTGGACTTTTTGCCTTTGATTTGAGGATTTGAGCCTCCCAAAGGATGCATCAGCTTCTTTTCAGCTCAGTCAAGCTCTCAGTGGTAGCTTCTGCCCACCCTAAGCTTTGTTTCTTTCTTCTCTAACAGTGGATTTACCCAAAGTGACTGAGTTCATGGTGCAGGAGGCTGCGGAGACCAGCGTTTTGCTGACATGGACAGCTGTTCCTGGGGCATCCACTTATCTATTAACATGGCGCCTGTCCTCAGGTAATGTCTTTTTTGGTGGGAGAAGGAAGGGTGGTTTGTAATTTGGTCTTCTCCTGTCCTGAGCTGCCCCATCACCCAAAGAGATTTGGGGATGGAGCTTGGACATGCTCCTGTGGTCTGTCTGATTCAGTACCTGGTCTTAGAGCCGGCTGATGCTGCAGAAGATGCAAAAAGGAAGATTTTAAAGGGGAAATTTCTTTCCACCACCAGCCTTAAGTGTCTACTGTTTCCTTCAAGTGTTATGGCTTGTTTCTCCAAGTGCTGCCTAGTTTCACCTGGGGTAAACGATGCCATCACTGGTGGCACCAACACTGTTCCTTCTTTTGAACCCATCTGGACCTTTTATGGCAAGAGAATGGAGTGTTGACCCTGGGGGCTTCCATACATCATGTCCCTTCATCTCAGCTTCTTCGTTTGGGGGAAAAAGAGGGGGGAAAATGGCAGCTGGCCCACTGAGGAGGCTGACGAGGTGACCCATTTGGCCATTGCAAAATTCTCAGGGGAAGAACAAGGAGATGTGAAAATTGCTTAGGAAAGAAACCCACTGGTTGGCATTATCAGTCTCTCTTCCTCTGGAGTCACTATCACCCGTCCATCAGGGATAGACACAGTGAACTAAAAAAAAAGGTTGTTTTTTCTCATCTGTACAGCTTTAATTCTTACCTGTTTAAAAGCTTTGCTATATAGAATCACAGAATCTTCTAGGTTGGAAGGGACCTTAAAGATCATCTTGTCCAACCGTCAACCTAACTGACAATATAGTAAAGAGCTTTTAAAACTTTCTCATTCCTTGCTCACAATTTCTAGCGTCTATTTCTTTTTCCAGTTGATTTGGCCTTACAGGGTTTGCCCTTTGAAAGCACCAGGTTTTTTATGATTTTTTTTTTTCCTGGAGCGGGCCTTAAACCCCTTTGAATATAGCAAGTCTCCTGCCGTTGTTGCTTCAGCCACTAACTTTTTGCTAGGGATCAGTTCATCTTCACAAATCAATAAAGAAAACGAATCTGACACAATTCCCCTGCACTCCCTGCAGTGCTTTTTTGAGTTACCAGCCCGTCAGCTTTAATTTTTTTTAATTCCAAGGACATTTTGGTATTGGCAGCTTAAGACTAGCAGCATATGTCACTCAGGATGAAGTCTCCTGTGGTAGCATCATTATTTTTTTTTTGCTCTACATATTATGGATAAGTGATTAGGTAACTGAACATTGGGTTCTCTAGGGTGATTTAAGTGATCTAATGCAACTGTTCCCCTCCTGTGCCATGCTGTTAAAATATCGATCTGTAAGTATTCAAAAATCATTGGTTTCAGGGTTGTCAGGGGCTCAGAAATGGATAATACCATGTCTGACAGTCCCCCTGTGCCCTCACTCCATCGATCCTTCTGAAATAGGTTTATAACTATTGATTTAACATTCCAATCAGATGAATCTTGCCACCGTCTTTCCCTAGTACCAATGAGGTCAAATTTATGCTCATAGGTGAGTAATTCCAATTTCTCTTGTTTAATTATCCAGGCTGCCAGCTTTAGTGTATAAAGGCAATTAAGAATTTTGCCTTTTTTTTTTTTTTTGTCTCTTGGTGCCTTGATTAATTTTCTTCTCTGCAACTTGATTTTTTTTCTAAATGAGTACTCATTCATTACCCATTTTCCTTGCCCCCCTTTTAAGCTCATTGAATGTCCTCCTCCCTGCTGGCTGACTCCAGCCACCCAGGGTTGGGTCCCCTTCTACGCAACTTGAGTTTGTCCCAGCTGTAGACCTCCTCTGTCCAATGTTACACAAAATCAACCCCATTAATTTTCTTCTCTGCAACTTGATTTTTTTTTCTTTCTAAATGAGTACTCATTCATTACCCATTTTCCTTGCCCCCCTTTTAAGCTCATTTAATGTCCTCCTCCCTGCTGGCTGACTCCAGCCACCCAGGGTTGGGTCCCCTTCTACGCAACTTGAGTTTGTCCCAGCTGTAGACCTCCTCTGTCCACTGTTACACAAAATCAACCCCATGTGAGTAACATGCTCTGACAAGCTCTAGGCAATCCTGCTTTAGCAGGGGAGTTGACTAGATGATCTCTATGGTCCCTTCCAACTCTAAAAATTCAGTGAAATTCAGTATGTCCACAGGGCTTCCTCCAGAGCTCATGCCACAAGAAGGACCTTGGAGAAGTTCAGCTGGACGTTGTTCTCCTCTCTCTTCTTTCTACCTTCTCTTGACTGTTCTTGGAGCACCACAGTCATGGGTTTCTTATCCATCTAATCAATAGTAGCTCATTTAATTTTCATTTGCACCTTGAGCCTCACAGTCTCTTGTCCCTTGCTTCATTCTTTGTAGAAAATTGTCCCCAACAAAGACCATCTTCCTTCTCCAAAGGTTGCAGACTTCTTCTTGCGTGTGCATCCCTCTCTGGGTATGATCCAGGTACCTCCTGCCTCAGTCCACCATCTAAGTCTTGTTTCTGTCCCAGGGTACGAGTGTGGTAACCATGTACCATGTTTCTCATTGTGTGAAAGACCCATTATGTGGGGAAAAAAGAAAAAAGTGGGGGTTTAGTGCTACACAATGGCCTGAACTGCAAAGGAAAAGTAGCTGAACTTGCCTGTTTGAGGGCCTGGGCAGGCAGGATGGGTGGTGGGCTACCATAGAGCTGGGTTTTAGCAGAGCTGTCAACTTGTGGTTCCTACAGCAAATCCCTTCAGACAATGTACCCTAACCCAGTATTATTTTGACTTGCCTACCCAGAGAGAGGGGAGTAGAAGAGTTTGAGTCAAACTGCAAGAGGGATTTTTCATTTTTTTATTAAAGAAGGAAAACCCCCCTTCCAAATTTTTTTGGGGGTAAATGAGAACATCTAATGAAAATGAAACAGATTGTTTACACTGATTTAATTTCTTCCTGTAGAAACTAAGCTCTTTTTTAATTATTTTTTAATGGCAAAATGCTATTTCAGAATGAAAAGGTGCAACTTTCACTTTGAACACTGTCAAAACTCATCATTCAGTATTCCCAAAACAAGACACAAATAAAATGTCAAAACATTATTATGACTTTTTTTTCAGATCAAAACTATTATATGCAACCAAATTTTCCAGGTTTGATTCTACTTTTCAGCAAACTTTCCATTCATTAACAGAAAAGAATCCTGTTTTGATGCATGCTGACCACTGCAAACCATCGGTTGACCACAGAGCTCAGTCTTGGCCATCACCTGGACCAAATGCCCTCTGTAAACAGTTGCACAAATTCCCATTTTCTTTTCCTAGTCGTGTACTCAAGAACTCCCTTGTCACTTGTAAACAACCTTATTTCATCTGGTTTAGGACCTGACCATTGCAGTTTGCAAACATGTCTTACCAAGAATCTCCACTTCAGAGCCCAAGATTCATCTTATCCCCGACCTCCGAAGGTGGTGTCAGTAGAAGACGGGATGCTACAAAATGGGAGTAATTTTGAGTTTCTTTGGCTTTCAGTCAATGCAAGTTTCTTCCTTTTTCACAGCTTCTGATCTTTCCCAGGAACTGCTGTCAGCAGCTTCTAGATCGTATCGAGTGACAGGACTGAGCACCAAAGAAATGTATGTGTTTTCCATAAGACCAGTCTTTGGAGATACGGAGGGACCAGAGACAACACTCCTTGGGCAAACAGGTATGGAGGCTGGAGACTTGTGTTGGGGTTTTACCTGGGCAACTGCTATTGAGGATAATTTCTTGGCTTCTCTACCCTTCTGACGCTTTGCTAGATAGCAGCATGGTAACTAAAAGAGGTTTGAAAAACACCTTTTTTGTTTGTCTCTTACAGCGGGACCTCACAGAGAGTCACCCACACCCATCACTCCAGTGACTTCTACAAAACTGGGTACGATGAGATTCCCATCCTTATCTCCTAGCAAGGTGGGGACCACTCCTCTTCCACTGGCCACCACCACAACAGTACCACCAACTCCAGCAACCCTACTGTCGACCACTGCAGTGTCCACACTGCTGACAACTCTCCCTGGGCCAAGTGAGTGTGTATCCATGTGTGATTTGATGATGATGATGTAGCAGTAGGTCAAAAGCACCAGGGACGTGGTCTTCTCTGATCTCAGGAGCCAAAACTAGTCTTCATTCACTGGGTAGTGACAGTGGCCAATGTCAGGGAAGGGGAAGAAGCAAACCCCATAAAAATGGAGTAAGTTCTCAGCACTACCCTGTGGGCTGAAGGTGCTGCCTGCTCACTCACCAACACTTGGCATCGCAAGAGGTATTTGTGCTTGGGTTTTTCCTGTGGTCCTGAACATGATTTAGGACCCCACAGCTTACAGAGATCCTCTCTTCCCTCTGCAGTCTGTGGCAAGTTCAAAGCAGACATTGGGTTCCTGGTGGACGAGTCCTCGAGTATTGGCCAGAGCAATTTCAACAAAGTGAAGGATTTCCTCTTCCGGATCATTTCCTATTTCCCGAAGATTGGGCCTGAAGGGACACAGGCAAGATTTTGTTATTCTGCTTCCTAAAGGTGCTTTTCCTTCCAAGTGTTCACCTTTTGCTCACCCCCGTGATGACAGCAGCCTGCTCACTCACGTGTTGTGGCTCAGAAGAGGCTGACGCGTACGTGTGTGTCCAACAAAGACATGAACAAAAGTCTCCTACATCTCAGCCTACCCGCTTGAATATATTTCCATTTCTTGGCTATTTTTCCAAGAGCAAGTCATCAGGAATAAAGCAAATCCCAGACCTACTGAAATGCTGTCTAGGTTATGGAGCTCAGGGGTGTGTCAGGTGCAGGTACCCATCTAGGACCCTTTTGTGGACCCCCCACATCCAGACTGCTGATGGTTAGAGACCCAGGAGAGGGTCCCACCAGATGGGAGATGCAGCACATGCCAGCAGCTGGATCCTCCAAACAAACAGAGGCCCAGATTCCCAGGCTGTGCTGTGAGACACCTCAAGGGCAAATAAAGCCTACAGCATTAAAAGCCAATTGGAAGACTCAGAAGATAATCTGGGGGGAGTCATTTGTGTTTAATTAATGTAATATCTGAACTAGGCCTTTGAAAGAGAGACCTGCAGAGCTTAAAGCAGCGTAGTTCTGTTGATCAGGGGAGCTTCTTGCACTCTTTACTTACAGGTAGTCTTGAAGGTGTAGGCACATGATTTTTTACCCTAGGGTAAAAAATAATTCTGGGGAAACAGAGACATTTCATAGAATCATAGTTGGAAGGGACCTCAAAGATCATCTAGTTCCAACCCCCCTGCCATGGGCAGGGGTACCTTCGACTAGACCTGGTTGCTCAAAGACCCATCCAACCAGGCCTCCTCAAGTTGCACGAGGGGAGGTTTAGATTGGATATTAGGAAATATTTCTTCACGGAAAGGGTTATCCAGCATTGGAATAGGCTGTCCAGGGAAGTGGTTGAGGCACCATCCTTGGAGGTGTTCAAAAGACAGGTTGACATGGTCCTCAGGAATATGGCTTAGTGGGTTGGTTTTTTTCTTATTTTTTTTGTCAGAGTTAGGTTGATGGTTGGACTAGATGATCTTTAAGGTCCCTTCCAACCTAGACAATTCTATGATTCTCTTTACAGGGATGGGGCCTCTACAACTTCCCTGTTGTAGAGGAACAGGGAAAATTCCAGGGAATTTCCAGGGAACCAGGAAATTTAGGTTTAGATGGCTATAGTATGAGCTGAGTAGTTGGCCTCCTTTTGCACTCATCATCTAGTTCCAACTCCCTGCCCTGGGCAGGGACACCTCCCACTAGACCAGGTTGCTCAGAGCCCCGTCCAACCTGGCCCTGAACACTTCCATACCTTGCCCACGCCCCGTCCAACCTGGCCTTGAACACTTCCATACCTTGCCCATGCTTAAGCATATGGATTATGCCCTGTGTACCTGCCAACTTTATGGCCATTTTTTCTTGGGCCAGTTTTCAGTCTGCAAGAAACACAACTGCTTTCCACTCCTGTTGCACCGCAACTGGTTGTATCGTCTAACTCAAGGCAGTTTATTGAGTGATGGCACATCTGTTGTGTGCCTGAGCCCTCCATGTTTTTTCACCTCCTTTTTCTTTGGCAGGTTGCTGTTGCTCAGTACAGCGAGGAGCCCAGGGCAGCCTTCTACTTCAACCAGCACCGGGACCGCAACAGTGCCCTGAAAGCCGTCAAGGGACTGAGCTACGCTGGGGGCAACACAAAAACAGGTCTGGATGGGTGAGATCCACACATGGGGTGGACTTTCTGGACCAAGACAGAGGGTGGAGCCCAGGGATGGCATTTGTCTGCGTGTTTTGAACCCATTTGCCTGGTTAGAGAGTTATGGCCCAAAGCTGGAGTATGGCCCATAAATTATGGCCTAAAAGTTGAGAATGGAGGATTGAATTTAGTTTTAGTTCTAGGGATACTCTTTCCAGCTTAGCCTGATGTCTTTTATCCATGTCCTGGTGTTACTACTGGGTTTCTCTTTGCTGTTTCATAACCTTGCCTGCACTTGAGGGAGGTTTTTATACCTGGCTTGGAGATAAAGCCCATAAACATTAGGGAAGGATAGTTGATGCTGAAGCATCCTTATTGCCCACTGTATGCACATTTTAATCCACAAATTCCAACAGTTGTTGCCTTGTTACCCCTAACAACAAAACAGCGCGCCCCGTCCTATTTTCATGGTGTGTCACCATGTAGCTGTCCTTTGTTGACCTCTCTTGTACAAAGAATAGAGCTCTTCATCAGCAAAGTGCCTCCGAAAATCATAAACTTTTGTCTCGTGTAGTTAAATGCTCTGAGACAGACACGACTTTCCACTTACTCATTCCCAGCAGGACAGTAGGGTACACCTGGTTCCCTGAAGGTACCTGAGCAGTAATATTAAATTGAAGGTAATTATTTTTAACTTTACCCTTCTTAAACGGCCCAATTAATGTCTTCCAATCAGTCAATGTGAAGAGAAACCTTGAGGCACCCATGTTTGTTAATTGAAGGCTTATATACCTCATCCTGGCTCAGTTGTGTTGGGCAGGAACACAAAAAAATGGGCCTGATCAAAATATGAGGATTTTGATGGGACTGCTTAGGGAAAGCAGGTGTGAAACTGGTCAGACTACAGACTCCTAGGCAACCTTGCCTCCAGTCCTTCTTTTTATGGAAGTTGTATCAGTAGAGGCATTTTACCCATCATAGGGGTCTTTCCATACTGGTTTGGGGCTTCTTAACCATTTCAGTTTGGGGGAGAATTCTTTGCAAAACTTTCCTGGTCTTTCTAAAGAAATTTGGAAATGGGGTTTTTTTCCTAAAATGCAAGGAAAGCGCTTTAAATCTCCCAAATTTATTATTTTTAGCTTTCCAAAACTATGTGCTGAATTCAGCCTGAACTGTTTCAGCCGACCTGTTTTACTGCTGTCTTCCCTCAAAAGAATTGCCCTATGTTAGGGGCTACGGTCCATTTATGGACACTGAATGCCCTTTTTTCTCCATTTGTGGAAGGGAACCCCCAGTTCCCACCTGCAGACGCAACAGACAGATTTACACCGCCCCTCTCTGTGTTTGCCCAGGTCGTGGCATAACCTACATGCTCAAGGAGTTATTTCAGTCCTCCAGAGGGATGAGGCCAGATTTCCCTCACGTGCTGGTGCTGGTGACCGATGGGCGATCCCAGGATGATGTGTTGCTACCAGCCAGAGCAGCCCATGAGTTGGGTAAGAGTTGCCCTTTTGCGTTTCCCTGAGGCCTTGGTTCTCCATGAATTTCCAGGAGGTTGAGGGTGGTACGTTATGTGATGGGTGCTCTTTGAGTGAACTGCTGGCTTCCTTCACTCCTTTATCCTTTCTTCTTTTCTGTTCCTACTTTGAGTGTCTTGGTTTGCTGTAACTCACACGCTCTGCTCCAGGTGAGTCCTTGCGTGGCTACTGGAGCACCTAATCCCAGCAGAGGTTATTAACAGGAAGGTTGTGACTGACACGAGGGGTTTGGAAACTCTGATCTCAAACAATTTTGCTTCTGTTGAGTGAGCGATGTCTTTCAGGGATCCGCGTCATTGCTGTGGGTGTCTCAGGAGCTGACCCCGTTGAGCTCAACAGCATCTTGCTGCAGCAGAACCTCCAGAATGTTTTCTACGTCAGCACGTTTGATGACTTCCCCCAGATCCTCCGAGAGCTGATAGAGGTCATCTGTTCTGACCCCGAGCCTTCAGGGCCTCAACTACCATCTGGGGAGGTGAGCTTGCTTCACAGCCCTGTGAATATAAACCAGCTTTCTTGGTGCAAGTCATGCACAAGGGCAGTCTTCTTCCCTAAACAAAGTTTTAAAGCAAAGTCAGAACAGGTTGAGGACACGGGGTCCAATTGTGACCTCACTTACTGTCCAGCCCTAGAGATAAGGAACAAAATCTTGGAACTCAAGGAAGTGGAACTGGGGAAACCAGAAAAGAACTTTGAAAGTTTCATTGCATAAGGCCACTTCAGGGACAGAGGACTCGAATGTATTATAAATTCATTGCCCTTTTCTAGCTCTGGCAGATGGGTCATTGATACCATTATGAGCTCATCTGTGGAGTATCTCCAACGGTGATATTTTATGGCTGTTTTAATGAAAAGGTTGGTGATATTAAAGTGCAGTGACCTCTTGACACCCAGCTCTGAACAGTCTATCTTAGTTTCACTGGGGAAAATTACAGTCTCTGTAGTAGTTGCCGGACAGCTGGTCACTCTGGTCATGCTTGACCTCATAGGTAGGTGTCCACACTTGGCAGAATAGCTCATGGAGTGATGTTTGTGCTATGGCAGTCTAAAATTAGGTGAGATGAATGTTGTCCATGGATGGCTGAATTAGGGTCTTTATTTCATCTCTGCCAAGCTCCTTTCCATAGTTTCCCCCACGGGGGAGAAGAATTGCATTGACAGTACCCTGAAGCCTTGCAGATATGTAACCAAGAATATTTAGAGTCTCTCTGAGCCAAAAAGAAGACACTTGAATTGTAGGTGTAACATCGGCCGAGACTTCCTGAGTTATGGATACACTCCTTGACTGCATTTTGTCTCGCAGAACTCTATGTTCTCCATCCTGTTCTCCCAATTTCAAGGCACAAGCTGGAGACACAATAAATAATGCATGACCTCCAAGGGACTTAGACAGTCTGAGGATACGAATAGGTCTCCTGGGTGGTCAACCTTGCTTCTTTCTTCTGGTGCACAAGTCAAGGGGTGTGCTAGTCTGCGTTTCATGGTGACTCTGGTTTGGGTTTATTTGCCATCCTTTTGCACATAATAATTTCATTATCATTTGTTCTGTTTTCCTTTTCCTTTCAAGAGCTTCAGGAGTTCACCAGCTCCTCATGGAGGCTATGACCCATACAGCTTTACTACAAAGGGAGAGAAAGGAGAGAGGGTGAGTCCACCAGCATGAACCATCCACTCGGGTAATTAGTATGCAACTAAATGAGTAGAATGAAGGAAGAGATCTAGCAAAGAATCATCTTCAGATCCTTTTTGTTGGTGTTTTGATACATCCTGCTCCATGCTGGCTTTGGAAATCAGGCAAAAGAGAACTAATGTGTGTGTGTGTGTACTGGTAATTGGGGCTTCCCTCAAGTGGTACAGAAGGTTAGTGCTGCATGAAGCTGTTTGGGTTTGCAGGTCTGGAGCCATAACCTGCCTGCTCCTACTTTCCATATGTTTAGGGTCTACCTGGGAAGGATGGAATTCCCGGGCTGCCGGGCAGACCGGGGCGGACAGGTCCTCCTGGTCCCCCTGGACTCATGGTAAATATATTATTTTTTTTTTTTAACAAACCTTGTCAAAGTGCCATTTAAGAGAAAAGTGAACGTGGCTCTCAAATCTCTCTCCTGTTTTGCAGGGTCTCCCTGGCATCCAAGGTGATACTGTGAGTATTTTGAACGCAGCAAAGATTATCAGTTCAGCAGGACTCTTAAGCTTTGCTTTTCAAGCCTTTCAAAGGCCAGTTGTGCTCAGCAGGACACCATGGAGAACCAAGTGACCTGTTTTTCCTTTATGAGGGGTTATTGCTGTCACGAAATAGCTCCAAATAAGTTTCCTTCTATTCAGAGATCTGGCAAATAATGCAATGCAACATGGGCACGTTTCTAGCCAAGTAAACTTCAATGAACCAGAGCGGTCGAGAAGAAGACCAAGGACTCTGAACTCTACCTTCACTCATGTCTATCACCAGCAGCATTGTTTGCTCACAGCCTTCCCACACAAAAATTGTTCATGCAACAGTCCATAGCATTGCTTGGAAAATGTGCATCTAGTGAGACTAGCCAAGCCTCATGTGCCCTTGTTTTTGCTGTACTAATTGCTCTGTGCTGTTGATGTCATTGGTGATGGCACAACTTTGCACACTAGATCAGCAGTCATGAGTGTCCCTCCTCCTCTGCTTTTACCAGGGCTTTATTAGTAGGCAACTGTGTTTGACCAGCTAAATCACCCTTGGTTCCGAGGGCTAAAGTGACAAGGGGATGGTACCAAGGTGCCCAGGTCATTTGAGATGCCCTAGGACTTCTAAGGCAACCATGAAGGGCTGATAAAATATGGGACTTGATGAACGTTTCTGAAGTGAGAGCTGGAGGCCAGGCAGGTATCAGAGAGCATCACAAATGGCACAAGACACCAGTGCATGTGTAATTAAACTGAGCCCCTGACCTCCATTGGCTGCAGTGGGGTGTAAACAGCCAGCTCATGTGCAGAGGCATTTCAGGGGCACCTTCTTGAACTTAACTCCATCTTTTAGGCTCGATTCAGTTGCTTAAAGAGTCCTCTCATGTGATTTGAGATGTCCCGTTATCCCACCCATCCTGCAGATGATGCTTCAGAAGGACACAGGTCTCCTATAAATCCTGCATCACGTCCACCAGCTCCATGCCATGAGATGATGCTTCAGAAGGACACAGGTCTCCTGCATCACGTCCACCAGCTCCATGCTGGTGCCTGATGGTATCACCCATCTTTGGGCATCTGGGTCAAACTGCCACTGTCTGTGAAGGGGTAGCACCTATAACAAGAGTTATGATACTTGTGAGCCATGGTTTGTACAGGTCTCTGACACAAACCACTGCAGCCACTGAATGCCCCTTCTGCCTCATTTACCTTCTCCTGGTGGATTAAATGAGCCATAACCCCTCATTCCTCACAGCTTCCCATGGTGCTTGAATGGACTACACTGTCACTACATCAAGTGTCCATCCTATATGCACCCATCACTAGAGAGGGACACATAACACACCCATGGGTGACACATATGTATTTCTCATCAATGTTTGGCCCAAAATCCAATTCTGGGAACCCTTTTTTTCATGATAACTTTAAAAGTGAAATGAAATTTTATTAGAGACAGGTCTGTGGCTTGAACATCCCACAGTGATGGTCTTACCAGTGCTTTCCTGTTTAATGCTGCAGGATCTATTTTTAATTCCAGGGCTCTCCTGGCTATCCTGGACCAGCGGGGCCAAAAGGAGAGAGAGTGAGTTTCATTCCTGGGTTTCATTGGGCAAAAGCTGTTGTATTGCTCTGATCTGCAATTTCTAAGCATTTGTACAGTGGTGACCTGTGGTGAATATGAACTTCTGAGCTATATGTAACTGGTCCTACATTGCTAGTCTTCAGTTTGGGGAGTTGTCCTTCAGCTTTGCTAGGAGGAATCTAACATCTTTATGGAGAAGAATGCTCAGTCCTTGTCTTGGAGCACAAGTCTTATGAGGAGAGGCTGAGGGAGCTGGGGTTATTCAGCCTGGAGAAGAGGAGGCTGAGGGGAGACCTTATTGCTCTCTACAACTACCTGAAAGGCAGGTGTAGAGAGGTGGGGGTCAGTCTCTTCTCCCAAGTCACAGGCAACAGGATGAGAGGAAATGGCCTCAAGTTACACCAGGGGAGGTTCAGGCTGGATATTAGGAAATTTTTTTTCACGGAAAGGGTTATCAGGCATTGGAATGGGCTGCCCAGGGAGGTGGTTGAGGCACCATCCCTGGAGGTGGTCAAAAGACGGGTTGATGTAGTGCTGGGAGGGATGGTTTAGTGATGGTGATGCTTCTTGTTTGTTGTGGGGGTGTCTATTTTTGTCAGTTAGGTTGACGGTTGGACAAGATGATCTTTAAGGTCCCTTCCAACATAGAATATTCTGTGATCTGTATGGCTACAGGTCAGGGAGTAGATCCTGCTGAAAGCCAACCTCCATTTTTTTCCCCCTGGGATTAATTTTCTGCCATTCCAGTAAGAAGACCTCATGCCATGGTCATGGGCTTTCTGGTGCCTCTGCAAAAGACTTGCTGCAAGGAGATAGTTTGGGTTTGCAGTGTACAGATGGCCTGTTTGGTTTTAAAGTCACTTATGCCAATCATGAAATTGCCCCTAAATTATGAAACTGCCTGATTTCACCTGGACCTCCCTATGCAGCTAAGCACATATCATCCTCTCTTTGTGTGCAGGGCGAACCAGGCTATGTCCTGGGAGGAGTAGAGGTGATTCCTGGCCGAAATGGGCAGCCTGGCCCCCCTGTGAGTATCATACCCAGGATTGGTGGACCCTTCAACCTCTCAAGAGCTGGCAGAGAAGAGAAGGGAGCTGGAAGAGAGCCCATGTCCTTCCCTTTCTTGGTTTTTGTTGTTGCAGGGACAGAAAGGGCAGCCGGGGGTTCCTGGGGTAGCAGGACCACCAGGTTTACCAGGGCCACAGGGGCCACCAGGCATCTCCATCAAGGTGAGCATGGTTCTGTGATGTTGTACTACAGAGAGAGGAGACTCAGCGTAGTCCAGGGTCCTCTGGATACTCTGTTCATTCAAGAGCCCTGGGAACATTCATTTCTTCTCTCCATCATGGGATTTTCCCATTGAGGCAAAAAACCACAAAGAACTCTGCAAAATGTTCTTGTCATTGGGGCCCTGATGTTCCACACAGTGGGAATAGATGATGGAGCTTGAAAAGGATACGGTCAGCCTTGCTTGACCCTGGGACCAGATTCAGTGGCCACTCTAAGACTTTTTCAGCTCCAGGTCCTTAGGAGGGTTGTTCAGTGGCTGGAGTGAAACAGCCAGGATCACTTGTGCTAAAACTGACTGATGGTTGTCACCAAATGTCCCCTTGCACCATCAGAAAGTCTCAGCCAAGATCTAAACTCCCCTCTTCTACCCTAAGGGGAGGTTGTCATCAGATTTTGCAGGTTAAAGTGTCTGGAGCACACAGGATAGGAGAAACCTCTACTAAAGCTCTGTTTTCCCTTTGGGGTGGGAGTTTTGGTCTCTGGGGTTGTCAGCCTGCAGGAGCTTTTTGCTGGGACTGTGTTTAGAGAGGACTGGACCCCCTCCCTAGGTTACCACCTCATGGTAATGCTCCTTGTCCTTTATGTTTCAGGGTGAACGTGGGGATTCAGGTACCAGGGTAAGTACCTGAGATTGGCTTTCACTCCTGCATGTGTTGAGAAGCCCTTTTTTTTTTTTTTTTTAAAGTATTTCTAAGCTGCCCAATAGGCTGTGTCTCCTCTGGAGACATCCAAAACTCGCCTGGACAAGTTCCTGTACAACCTGTTCTAGGTAGACCTGCTTTGGTGGGGCGGGTTGGACTAGATGATCTCCAGAGGTCCCTTCCAACCCCATATGATTCTATGATTCCATACTAACCATATGTCCATCAGGACCCAAAAGGGCTGCTGGGACACTCAGTAAGACTGTCCTGTGCTTCTTGCAGGGCCCTCGTGGGAGGAATGGCCTCAAGGGTGACAGAGGAGGAATGGGAGAGCCGGTGAGTGGTCCATCAATGGCCAGTGGCTAAGGAAGAGCTGCTGGCTGTGGTGGGAAGGGACCATTGGCCTCAAGGTGCCCACTGCCATGCGGGGTGGGTGTAGAGGGACAGTGTCTACTGCCAGGTCTCATCAGCTATCTCATCTCACTTTGGGGTGCTTCGCTGCTGCTGAGGGCCGGCAGATTAAGCAGGGGCAATTAAGTGTTTCTCACTTTGTCAGCTTCATCCTGTTGACCTGTCACTCAGGAACTGCTGAAAGGGAAATGTTAGAAACCCAGCGAAGACACAGGGTAACAGCCATTGCTTTTGCCAAAAGCAAGGGCATGCTCTTCCTCATGGCATGGAGCAAAGCTGTGACAAATGCATCCATCACGGTGTTCAACCATGACGATAAACCCTCTGGCATAGTCAATCACATTGGCAGATGATAACAAATGTCACCTGATGAAGGTCACTCCAAAGCAACAATGAGTCACCCTTGAGCTCCCACTGTCTCTTGCACCCATGGAGCAGCTGAGTGCAACCCTCCTTCTTCTTGCATCCCATCCCTCTGGTCTCAGCAGAAGAGAGGAGAACTGGGGCAGGTCCAGAGGAGGGCAAGAACGTGGGTCAAAAGAATGGTATAGCAAATGGACCAACCTGGCAGCAGGTTCAAAACAAAGAAAAGGTGGTGGATCTTCACAGAAGTCCCACAAGGATGTTTGGGGTGTAGGAAGTTCAAGTTCAAGGGGAGATAAGAGAAAGGAAAAAGTCTATGGTGGACTACTAGGAATAAAAGAAACCTGATTAGTTTGGGAAGTCCCTGCATTACAAATGGCTCAAACCTGAAAGATGACTGAAGGACTATATGCATATTGCTGTTCTTGCACCCTTCCCAAGATGCCTCTTACTGTCCATCATCATAAATGGGTCCCTTTTTTGTTACCTTTGTCATACTGTAGAGCTATATCCCATAGACCAGCCATTTTCATCTGTCAGTCTTCACCATTTCTACACCAGCAGCGTTACTGTGGTCACCCTCTTACACAACCATGAAAAGCAACTGCAGAAGACAGCATGGGTACCCAGGCTCTAACAAGCAAACACATCTTTATTTTCCCTTCCTGAGTAAAACCAGTGATCCATAGCTTATTTGGAGGGGGGGGAAGAAATTTGGGAATACATAGACATCTCTATAAATCCTCCATTGTAAAGGAACTGTTCAGATACATACATCAGTATCTATGTTTCTCTACTTGTGTTTCTGCACCCTTAAAAATCAACCTTTTCTTTAGGATGATTGACAACAAAAAGTTTGGAAGAAAAAGACCTGATGATGTGTCTTCCTTTTCAGGGGAAACCTGGGTTGCCAGGCCCAGTAGGGCTAGATGGTGTTCCTGGATTGCCTGGACCAAGGGGAGAAAAGGTCAGTATTCAGATGCTTGCAGGATCCATCAGCCCAAGTGGGAGCTGAGAATGGCTGAGACAAAGTAATAGCAGGGTAGACATGTGGGGAGGCACGTTGGGATCTCCCACCATTCCCCTTCACTCCCTGCTTGTATGGGTTTGAGTTTGTACGTGTTGGAATAGATGCTCCATCTCCATCCAAGTCCATTTTCCTCTCAGTCCTCTTGTTTCCACCCAGTGGAAGATCTCCTCTGTAGTTCCTGCTATCAAGAGCAGTTTTTTCTCCCAAACGTGGCCCAAGCCCTGCATGCTCCTTTCCCTGAATCCCCCACCCTGCTTCAAATGGTCACTGGAAACATCTAAAGAAGTGGTCGCTGGAAACACCTACAGACCCTTCTTTTTTAATTCTGTCCTCCACCTAATTTTTTGCACCTTACCTGAAGGTTACTGGCTGGGCATATGTCTTACCCAGCTATTTACAGAGCAAATTTCTCCCCTCTCTTCACCATTTCTACACCAGCAGCGTTACTGTGGTCACCCTCTTACACAACCATGAAAAGCAACTGCAGAAGACAGCATGGGTACCCAGGCTCTAACAAGCAAACACATCTTTATTTTCCCTTCCTGAGTAAAACCAGTGATCCATAGCTTATTTGGAGGGGGGGGAAGAAATTTGGGAATACATAGACATCTCTATAAATCCTCCATTGTAAAGGAACTGTTCAGATACATACATCAGTATCTATGTTTCTCTACTTGTGTTTCTGCACCCTTAAAAATCAACCTTTTCTTTAGGATGATTGACAACAAAAAGTTTGGAAGAAAAAGACCTGATGATGTGTCTTCCTTTTCAGGGGAAACCTGGGTTGCCAGGCCCAGTAGGGCTAGATGGTGTTCCTGGATTGCCTGGACCAAGGGGAGAAAAGGTCAGTATTCAGATGCTTGCAGGATCCATCAGCCCAAGTGGGAGCTGAGAATGGCTGAGACAAAGTAATAGCAGGGTAGACATGTGGGGAGGCACGTTGGGATCTCCCACCATTCCCCTTCACTCCCTGCTTGTATGGGTTTGAGTTTGTACGTGTTGGAATAGATGCTCCATCTCCATCCAAGTCCATTTTCCTCTCAGTCCTCTTGTTTCCACCCAGTGGAAGATCTCCTCTGTAGTTCCTGCTATCAAGAGCAGTTTTTTCTCCCAAACGTGGCCCAAGCCCTGCATGCTCCTTTCCCTGAATCCCCCACCCTGCTTCAAATGGTCACTGGAAACATCTACAGAAGTGGTCGCTGGAAACACCTACAGACCCTTGTTTTTTAATTCTCTTCTCCACCTCATTTTTTGCACCTTGCCTGAAGGTTACTGGCTGGGCATATGTCTTACCCAACTATTTACAGAGCAAATTTCTCCCCTCCTACTTTGCAGGGTGGCTAAGGGTAGAGCTCTGAAGCAGATATCTGGGTAGGACATCTCATGCTCTTCCCTCACTTCTCCAAGGGCAATGCTGTGCTTACCTTGCACGGGATGGCAGGAACCGGTGTTCCTGGCACCACTGGCTTGAAGAGGGAGGAAGGAAAACAGGTGGTTTGGCAATTTTGGGGTGAGAGTTGCAGCTGAAGTCCCCTGGGAGGGTCCAGTTTCTCCAGAGTCTCCTCCAATATCTCTTATCTGTGTTTTCCTCAGAGGGCACGTCCTGTAGTTACAAATGGGTGAGAGAAGGGAAGACACTGAATTTTAAAGTTTGAGCTTTCACTGTTGGTTTGGTTTCTTTTCTGCTTTTTTCAGGGTGTGATGGGACCTCCAGGAGCACCAGGACCAAAGGTGGGTACTGAAAGGTTGAACCTGAGTCTCCATGCGTGGTACTCAGGTGCCAAGGAAAGCATCTAGCTCTAACCATCATCTTAGGCTGCAGGAATGTTGACCCCTTACTCAAAATCAATGAAAGGGAATAATTTTACACATCAGCAGTCACTGACCTGTGGAAGGGTGCTGCAGAGACCTGGAATTGGTAGCAAGATGTGATACTTTAATAAAATAATAAATGGCATTTTGGGGGGCAGTGAGACTCTGCAGGACTGTAGTAATTCACATGAAATGTGTTTTGGGAGGAAGATGTAAGGAGCAGATTGTCTCACGTCTGCATTTTGGACACCTTCCTCTGAACCATCCAGGTTTCCCACGTTTCCAGTGGAGAAAGGTCACCCCTATGAGAGGTGATATAGCCCATACTGAAGTCAGAGTTTTCTTCTGGAAGTGTCCATTTTTTTCCAATTGTTGAGGGAAGAGGAAACCTTGACTTGACAATTCTCTCACCTTGCTTAAGAGGTTGGGGTTGGTGGGGTTTGTGGAGGAATGGTTTTGGGGCCTTGGTGCTGCCAGAGGAAAGGGACCAGACAAATGTAGCTCCAACCCAAATCTGGCATCTCTGCCAGGAACCCAGGGAAGATGAGGCAATCACAATTGCTCATTTTCATTTAGGTTAAACGAGGACCACCTGGGGAAGAAGAATTGATTGGGCCATGGGTGTGCCTCCAAATTAATCAAATTAGAACAAAGTTTTAAAAATTAAGATTTAAAACCAATATGTAAATATACAACCCACAGTAACTGGGCCCTGGACCAATATTTCACTTTGCTTCTCTTGGTTGTGCTTAGTCTCTGAGCTAAGCCTGGACCTACCCCACAACCCCAAACCTGCACATTATCTGTTGTAAATTCAACTTTTCCAAGAGACTCTCATCTTCAGCTCTCAGGCTTCTGGGAGGAACTAGTCTAATCAAGCTCAGGATAGTCCATATATACATATAGTAGTATACGTAAATTATATAGTAGATGATTATGTATAGTACATTTATATAGTATATATATAGCAATGGTATAGTAACTATCTATTATAACATGCATGCAATTTAATATTAGGCATAAAGTATGTATAGTAATATGTTTGATTATACAAGATGTCTTAGTATGTTATAGATACTTGACAGGTAATTAATATATATCTATATAATATACAATACATAAACACATGCAATATATATATGTAATGTGCTATATACTATGTATGATATATATGTAAAAAGCTTTTTTTTTAAATTTTTTTTTAATTTTTAATTTGTTGTCCTCTGGGCTTTCACAATCTCCAGTGGAGGGAACATGCTCAGCATGATCTTCTGTAGCATGTGAGCCTTCAGGCTCATCCTGCTGTGCCAGCGGAGCCTTGTCTTAACTGAAGCATCTTCTGTTTTCCAGGGTAACAAAGGGCAAGGTGGTGTGAAAGGGGAAAAGGTGAGACTGAAGAGCACTCAAAGCAGGAGGGGAAGAAGTGCTGGCTCTGTTTTTGGGTTCAGGACACACTAGTTGAGGTGTCTGGTTGGAGATCCAGAGGGAGGGAGTTTGATATCCCTCCTAAAGGCTTCTCCCAGTCTGGCCAGATACAACAGGCCGACGTAGCTACCTTGAATACTCCTTGCCAGCCCGTGCTGAGTATTCACCGGTTGCTTTTATTGAGCTGTATTTCAGGTTTGCTGTTTTTACAGCTCCCCCAGCTGCACTCGCTCTGCACGTGCATTTGATTATAGCCTCAAAGATCAAAAGAAACGGCAGCATTTTTTCCTAAGAACAGCTACAGCAGTGAAAAATGGAAATAGGCTGTCAGTCCTCCTCATGCCAGTGCACTTTGTGGGAGCGAGGCCCTGCAAGCACAGAAGGTACGAGTTAGAGTCATAGAGTTGTCCAGGCCGGAAGGGACCTCCAAAGGTCATCTAGTCCGACCTCCCCGCAGTCAGCAGGGACACCCCCAACTAGACCAGGTTGCCCAGGGCCTCGTCGAGCCTCTCCTTGAATATCTCCAGGGATGGGGCCTCAACCACCTCCCTGGGCAACCTGTTCCAGTGCTCCACCACCCTCACAGTGAAGAACCCTCTCCTCATCTCCAGTCTAAATCTGTTCCCCTCCAGCTTGAAGCCATTGCCCCTCGTCCTGTCACTGCAGGCCTTTCTAAACAGACTCTCCCCAGCCTTCCTGTAGGCCCCCTTCAGGTACTGGAAGGCTGCTATTAGGTCTCCCCGGAGCCTCCTCTTCTCCAGGCTGAACAACCCCAGCTCCCTCAGCCTGTCCTCATAGCAGAGGTGCTCCATCCCCCTGATCATCCTTGTGGCCCTCCTCTGGACCTGCTCCATCAGGTCCATGTCCTTCTTATATTGAGGGCTCCAGACCTGCACACAATACTCCAGGTGAGGTCTCACCAGAGCAAAGTGGAAGAATTACCTCTCTGGACCTGCTGGCAATGCATCTTTTGATGCAGCCCAGGATGTGATTGGCCTTCTGGGCTGCAACTGCCCACTGCCTGCTCATGTCCAGCTTCTCATCCACCAGCACCCCCAAGTCCCTTTCCTCAGGACTGCTTTCTAATACCTCACCCCCCAGTCTGTACTGATGGTGAGGATTGTTCCGGCCCAGGTGCAGTTCTTGCAGCTTCCAGCTCTGAGCAGAGTCCTGGGACTGGGTTAGACAAAGCACTGACCTGGTCTGGTAGCTCCCATGCATCTCATGGCCATCTTCGTACCTTTTCTTGCTTGCAAAGGAGGGTTTTTGAGAGCTTTACCTGGAATGAGAGCTTGCTGCTGTGCAGTTGGTCTCCCAGTAGGTGGCAACCAGGTGTGCTAGAGATAGTCACGGGGATTTCCATCTCTAGCCCAATACCCTGGTAGCTGCCTGGCAGAGATGTCTTGTAGGTGGTAAAAAATTGGGCTGGAAAGCTTCTTCCTTCCTCTCCTCCCTCCTGGCTGGGATCTTCTCACTACAGCAGGGACTCTGTTTTCAGTCTGGTGGAAATCCTCTTTTGATGTCTGTCTTACAGGGACTCCCAGGACCTCCAGGGCAGAAGGGAGACCAGGTAAGTCAAACAGGAAGAGAGCACCAGGTTTGACTAGCTCAGGAGAAGGTATCCTGACTTTGCCCAGCCTGTTCCACGTGTGCAGCTCTTGCAGGTGCAGTTGAGTGTGTTTATGGGGGGCGTACGCAGAGATGTTCTCGAGCTCTGTGTCTCCTCTCTGTTTTGCTCTGGTGCTTCTGAGAGGAGTTTTGAGCTGTTTTAAAGAATGGATGAGGGAAAGCGATGAGCATAATTTTTTTATTTCCCCAGATTGTTCATTTTATGTCCTTTTGTCTTGCAGGGGAACCCAGGATTTCCAGGTGCTCCAGCTATGGGGGTAACTATGAGTGGATTTACAACCCTTCTTGTGTTATAGCTATGCACCATCACCAGTAGTGGTGCCAGTAGACCAAGGGCCAGGAGAGAAGTGTCCCACTGAACTGCAGGAAGAACTAACAGAGCTTTTGCCTCACCCTGCAGCCAACTATGTCTTCTGCTCTCTTGCTCCACTTGTATTCCCAGCCCTGCACCACAGTTGCCCACTGTCTCCTCAAAGGAGCTTCACTGCTGTGCAGGAAACATAAGGATAAAGTGTCCCCACAACTGAAGCCCAGTGCTTCAGCCCTGAAGTGGCACTGCTCTTCATGTCCCTCCAAGTGCTAGGGCAGCCTTGAGGAGAAACCTTGGTGGTGGCCACCTCTGCAGGCCCTGTGGCATTGCTCTAAGAGCTGTGGGAGCAGCTGAAGGTTGCATTAAGGACTGAGACCCACCACCAGGACAGACTGATGTGTCCTGGAGGAAGGTTGAATGAGCAGGGACATTGCTGTCTGAAGGTCGGCCCTTGGCATCTGTTAGCGAAGGCTACAGCAGCTACCTGCCGATAACACCTTGCATGTGAGTGACCATTCAGTCCCATTCCTGGAGCCAAAACCTACCTAAGTTGATGGGATTCCTCACCAGCTTCACTGGGTTTGGGATTTGGCTTGTAGCCCTTTCCAGCCATTGGTGAAGGTCATGGTTTTCCTGTCCCATAGCAAGGCTGAGATTCTCTTGCTTTGGAAAAGGTAACATGAATAGACCGTACTTTGAGAGGGAGATACTTTTTCCCAAGTAAGAGTGTGTTTCTGTGATTTCTTTTTATCCTCAGGTTTTGGGACCTCCAGGCAAGAAAGGTGTCAGGGTAAGTCCATTAATTAGCACTGCTTGAAACTTAGATGAGGTCTCTGCCTGAAAAAGTGAAGGCTGTACCACGTTTCATCATCTTAATCACACCTCCCTTGTGATTGACTGAAGAGGAGAGGTTAGAAAAGTAGCAACAGTCTTGCCCTGCTGATATTTCTTTTGCTTTTATTAACATTTTGTATCTGTCATTCTCTTTCTAGCCCTAGTCCGTGGGGTACTTTGGGATTACCGTGTGCTAGTTTTAGAAGGGAGAGATCACTGAAGTGCAGATCCAGCCCACCCACAAAAGCTAATTTCCAGCCAAGGGAGTCATTGACAAAAAATCAAAGTACAACTGGGGCTGGAAGGGACTTCTGGAGGTCTCTAGTTCCACTTCCAGCTCAAAATAGAACCAACTTTGAAGCTGGGTCAGGTTCCTCAGAACCTTGTGTGCTGAACATCTCCACGGATGGAGATTCCCCCATGTCTTCAGGCCTCTGACCCAGCATTTGCACTTCCCATGACTGGAGGAAGTTGAATTTCTCAAACCAAGGAGATGTTTGAGACAGAGCTGTTCCCTGGCTATGCCATCCATGTTGTACATCTGCTGTGTAGCCCAGCGGATACAGCTCACTTTTGCAGTGGCCTCGAGGTGGAATGTGGCCTGGAATATCTTATCTTTTTTTATTCTTGATGGATCATTGTCCATGTTGTACATCTGCTGTGTAGCCCAGCAGATACAGCCCACTTTTGCAGTGGCCTCATGGTGGAACGTGGCCTGGAATATCTTACATTTTTTTTATTCTTGATGGATCATTACCAACCTGCAAATAAATAAAAGATCTCCCTTATCCCTGTAAGAGGTATTTACTGCAGGACTAAGTCCTCTTGGTTTTTTGATTCCTGACATTCATGAAACACTCTACAGTGCTTCATACCTCCCTCAGCCCTTAAAGAAAAATTAGTTTTGTCCTTTTTACTGGGCTCGGATAGTGGAGCCACTTCCCTTCGTTGGTCTTATTGTCTGGATTGCTTAACATTGGATAGCAAAAATGTCTCTCTTCTTTTGGGCTGGATGCATTTTTAGGTAGTGGCCTGAGACCAACCTGTGTCTTTTATTCACAGGGTGATATTGGACCAACAGGGGCCCTGGGACCACAAGGAGACAAAGGAATACAAGGAGACAAAGGAGAGAAGGTAATGTATTTGCTTTTCTTGGCACATCCTTTATGGGTAGAAGGGTTTATTTTGTTTGTGTCCGCAAAGGAAACGCTGAAGCAGATGGAGTTCCTTCCCAAGGCACACTGGCAAGGAACACCCACGTGCTGAAAGCTGAGGGGGGTCTTGTCACAAGGAGAAGTCAAAAGCTCCTTGAAAGGAAGTCAGAGAGAGATGCAGTTACCAATGCTCAGCTCGCCTGGCTGCCCATGGTTGATGGAAATGCCTGGGATCTGCTCTGTCCTTTCCTGCAAGCTTCAGATGTGGGCATTTATGTCCTGAGCTTGGAAGCTGCTCTGGGAAGATGCTGCATCGTCCTCTGCCTCTTGCTTAGCACCAAAAACAGCATTGACAATTAACTCCCAGTAGTTATAGCGAGGACAGGAAGCAGGTGACTCTTGAGGGGGCTACAGAGTGGTGGTGGAGTGGAGACTGCCAACATTGAGCATGGCACCGAACATGTTCCCAAGACTGGCAAGGTTGTGTCACCACAGCTTTTGCGTGGCAGTGGAAGAATTGTGGCCAAGATCTGGAATATTGGGATGGGGAAACTGAGGCACGTGCTGGGTTCCCCAAATAGCACTTCAGTGAAAGCTGGCTCTCCACAACAGCATCCCTCACAGGTGGCAAGGAGAGGAGAGGGACAATAAGGAAAAACTGAGAGGTGGTACCACCACAGGGTTTAGTCCTGGCTGTGTCTCTGTCATACATAGAGGTGCAGAGAGGAAAAACTGTCCCAGAATTACACTGATCATCATTGATTTTTGCAGGGAAGCCCAGGTTTCGGGATTCCTGGTCAACCTGGGCTGAAGGGAGATCCAGGCGACAGGGTGAGTGGGGCAACACACTGGCTTTGGGAAGGGGAGGGCTGAGAAGGCAAATCAGAAGAGTCAAAGCCAAAATCTCTGTCACCTCCATGCACATGAATTTGCTGGTCTCCACCCTGTCATCAAGAAATTAAGACTGGGATGGTGAGAAGGAGCCAGGCTGTCATGCTGTGGTTGGTGATCCCATGGTGGGTGGTACCACCACAGGGTTTAGTCCTGGCTGTGTCTCTGTCATACATAGAGGTGCAGAGAGGAAAAACTGTCCCAGAATTACACTGATCATCATTGATTTTTGCAGGGAAGCCCAGGTTTCGGGATTCCTGGTCAACCTGGGCTGAAGGGAGATCCAGGCGACAGGGTGAGTGGGGCAACACACTGGCTTTGGGAAGGGGAGGGCTGAGAAGGCAAATCAGAAGAGTCAAAGCCAAAATCTCTGTCACCTCCATGCACATGAATTTGCTGGTCTCCACCCTGTCATCAAGAAATTAAGACTGGGATGGTGAGAAGGAGCCAGGCTGTCATGCTGTGGTTGGTGATCCCATGGTGGTCTTGTGTGGTGGGGCCATTTGCACCTGACTGTGGAAGACTGCTCTCTGCTGAAATGCAGAGAGAGGATCACTTGTGAGTCTGGAAGAAAGCACAGATGGTCAATGCTCAACTGGTAATTCAACAGCAAAGCCAAGGAAGCCCCATTTCCAATGGCTTTGTGTCCTGAAGGTGTACTTGACCTTTATCTTCCTGATTTTTGTATCTTAAGAAGGTGCAAGTTTCTGGTGGGCCCAGCGTGAGGTCACTGATGTCTAGTAAAGGTTGCGTCAACACATTGGTGTTCCCTTCTGTGGGGATATTAGTAGTCCCTTCCATTTTAAAGCAGCAAAAGCTTGAAAAACCTAACATCTTTGAGGTCCCCACCTCTTTATCAAAGCTTGTCATCAAAGCATTAATGGTTTCAAGGTGGGGAAGATGGATGTATCTAGACAGTGGGTGCTTCCAGCAGGACCTCTTAGGACACCATCTGTTTTCCCCTTCTCTGCATTTTACTTGACTGTTTCAGCTGCTAAAACCTAAAATCAAAGAGCAGCTTTGCAGCCTTGAGTATGATGTTTATGCCCTTTAGATACAACAGAGGACCCTCACCTGCAACTATTCTACTTGTATTGTTCTTGCCATGAGTCTTGCCCCTTGACTAACCGTCTGTTTTTCTGCAGGGAAATGTAGGTTTGTCGGGCAAACCAGGTCAGAAGGTGAGTCCATGGCAGTGCTTGCAACGTGGAAAGTGTTGTCTTGTGACCATGGCTTTGGGTGGCATTGTCTGTGCCACCCAAAGCAACTTGAGTCAGTGGGGTTTTGTCTTTGCCATGGTGGCAAAAGGTGGGGAGGTGTTCAAAAGCCGAAAGGTCCAAACAAATCCTACTTTGCTGGACTCTCCAGCAGAGAAGAGCAATGACAAGATGCTCTTGCATCCTTGTGAGGCCTTAAAAAAAAAATATCTACAAATCCTGGCCTGTAGGATTCCTCCTGACAAAGGCTCAAAACTGGTCGAGGGAGGTCTGGAAAACATCCCAAATGAGGTGTTTGTTGAGCAAATCTGTCTCGCTGTGTACATTTCTTAAGCAGTGTTGCTCCCCAGGCTTGGCTGAAGGAACATATGGATTTGGGAAATGTTACAGCACGACAGGGAGCCCAGTGAATGGAGTATTTAGGCTGGATCAGCTTCATTGGCATGGAGAAATTACATGTCAAAAGAGATAAATGAGATGCAGCCAAGACAGGATGCGTTAACAAGATGTGTTAATGCAGCTGCAAAGTGGATAAGGGGTGTTTTGGGCTGGGAGAAGACATTGTTTGTTGAGCAAATCTGTCTCGCTGTGTACATTTCTTAAGCAGTGTTGCTCCCCAGGCTTGGCTGAAGGAACATATGGATTTGGGAAATGTTACAGCACGACAGGGAGCCCAGTGAATGGAGTATTTAGGCTGGATCAGCTTCATTGGCATGGAGAAATTACATGTCAAAAGAGATAAATGAGATGCAGCCAAGACAGGATGCGTTAACAAGATGTGTTAATGCAGCTGCAAAGTGGAGAAGGCAGCAAGGGGTGTTTTGGGCTGGGAGAAGACACGGTGAGGTGGTTGAGTGATGAGGAAGGTCTGTGTTGTATAAACCTAAAGCAGAATAAATGCCTTAAGTACCCATCCATGACAGCTCAACTGATTTTACATGGGAATGGAAGTTAAAATATGGAGGGGGAACTGATCCTGAGTCCACACCGTTCTCTCAAGACAGGACCCATCTTCTGGGTCTCTGCTAATGGGCCACCTCACTTGCGCTGCAAAGGTTCCTGGAGGTGGAGAACTTCCAAAGTGTCTATTCTGCAGTGCCTGCCAAGGCTGATTGTGGAGTCTGGATTAAATTAGAGTGGACTAAATTAGAGATGGGTACTTTCCAACCCAGCCCTCTAAGCAAATACTATAAGCACAGCCCTTCCTAGCACAAGGTAGATGTTCTGAGCCCAAGCTTGAGCCCGGTGTGTGGGATGAATTGCATCTCCATTGGGGCCTGCCATGCTGTCTGATAAAGTGAGGATTATGAAACTCAGGAGGAGGAACGTAACAATGGCTTCCTTTTCTTTAGGGGGATAGAGGTCTGAAGGGAGAGAAAGGTGAACCAGGACTACCTGGGAAACCAGGCGAGACCGGACTAAGAGGTAAAGATGTAAGTAGAAGCTAACAATCCAGTCAGATGGTCATCCTGGCCCCCTTGGTACACCACTCTGTACCAAGCTGACAACCCCAGGTTATGCCCTTGCAAGAGAAAGTAGGAAAAAGGGACAAGATGGGACCAGTCAGAAGCATGCATGTTATACTGGTTGGGGAAAAGACAGGTCTCAGCACAAGAGTGGTCAACAAACAAGACTGGACAAACTAATTTTAATTAGGCACGATGGTTTGCTCATCAAGGGGTCTATGTTCTCATTGGTTCTGTCCACTCTTCCATTGCAAGTGAGAAGGTAGATCCTTTGCAGGTCATCAGTAGGGCATGCTTTTGGCTATATTTCAGGACAGAGTCTCTTTACCCTTAGTCCAGGGTATGTGGCACCATGGTGTTTGTGTTACAAAGCCTGGATGCCACATTTCTTGTTGCTCAACATCATGCTGCTTTGTGCTCGAGTCCCATAGAATCGTATGGGGTTGGAAGGGGACCTCTGGAGATCGTCTAGTCCAACCCAATCCCATCTGTCTGACATGCAGGGAACTAGCACAGTGTGCAGCCAGGACAGCAGTCTCTTTACCCTTAGTCCAGGGTATGTGGCACCATGGTGTTTGTGTTACAAAGCCTGGATGCCACATTTCTTGTTGCTCAACATCATGCTGCTTTGTGCTCGAGTCCCATAGAATCGTATGGGGTTGGAAGGGGACCTCTGGAGATCATCTAGTCCAACCCAATCCCTTCTGTCTGACATGCAGGGAACTAGCATAGTGTGCAGCCAGGACAACCCTGAAGGGCTTGTTTTTGGTTTTAGGGCATAATAGTTCCTTCTTGCGATCAAACAAAGCAGCTCCTCACAAAAATATCATAACTGGTGTTTCGGGAAAGCCTCTCCTAACCACAGTCAGTGAAGATCTTTCTTCAGTTCAATGGGTTGAGTGTTGAGTTGATCCCTGAACATCAAGTGGAATAGGGTCACCAAAGGAAGGCTTGAAAAAAAAAAGCAGCAGCTGTGCTTCTGATCCTGGGGCACTGCTGCCCAACAGCCCTGGCTTCAGAGTCACCAATGATTTCATAGAATGGTTAGAGTTGGAAGGGACCTTAAAGACCATCCAGTTCCAACCCCCCTGCCCTGGGCAGAGACACCTCTCACCAGACCAGATTGCTCAAAAGCCCCCTCCAACCTGGTCTTGAACCTCTCCAGGGATGGGGCAGCCACAGCTTTTTTGAGCAACCTGGGCCAGGGTCTCACCATCCTCACAGTCAAGAACTTCTTCCTAATATCTAATCTAAATCTCCTTTTTTTTTCAGTTTAAAACTGTTACCCCTATGGCTCACCTCCCTGATCAAGAGTCCCTCCTCAGCTTTCCTTTAGGGACTGGAAGGGGCTCTAAGGTCTCCCCAGATCCTTCTCTTCTCCAGGATGAACACCTCCAACTCTCTCAGCCTTGTTTCAAAATAAGACCTCTTAACCCAAGTAGGAAATTAGGGTAAAATTACTTGGTCATAAGTGGAAATGTAACCTAGTGCTTCTGCATTGTGTTGTAGGGAGAACCAGGGGAGAAAGGCACCTCTGGGACCAAGGTAATCAATGGAAAGCCCACACCTTCCAGAATTATGTAGCTACCAAACACAGCAGGCTCACAGCTGGAGGACTGTGTACAGTGCTGTAGGAGAAGAGCTGCACTGAGTTAAAGTGAAGGTCTATCCGTCCCACCATGTCACCTCCAAGAGTGGCCAACTTCCCTGGGGGTCCCAGGAGAAGTGCAGAAGTGGGATGTCCTGTGTGAGAAGTGGTGTCTTAAGGGTTTGATAGTTCTTGGTAGATTTTTCTGCCATGAATTTAGTCACCCCACATAAATCTTTAACACTCTTGGTTCCCTGGGCAAGGCATTGCACAGGTTAGTTCAGCAGCAGCTGGACAAACACCCCCTTTGACTTGTTTTGAAGCTGACCCCTGCTCATTTAATTTCCTGTTGACTTGTCCTTGGGTTAGAGAAGATGACAAAGAATCCTCTTCATCTCACCCTTTGCTTTTATTTCTTTCATTTTAGCTCTGGCTTCATCTTCCAGAGCTGAAAAACACTGAAAAAGAAAGGCCAGAAAAGAACTAAACTATGGGGGTTTTGTGAGATCTTTCTTTATTGCTCTTCAGCAGATGCAGAAAAGAGATTGCCACAAATAATAGTGGGGTTTGGTGGAAATAACCTCATTTTCTTCCTGAATCTGAATACTCTACTGTCACCCTGCTCCTTCTGCCCCATTTAATTCATTTATGGGACTGTTCTAAAACACCACCCCTACTTTGAGATATTTCAAACCACCATAAGACTGCCTTAGTACTGGCTTTCCAAATGCTACACAATGCCAAAGAGGAGATCTTAACTGCTTTAGAGCCACTGGAATTTTAGGTGGGCTTGATTCTCTTCCTTTAAACTGGTTCCTCCAGGTGGAAGTGCAATAAAACTAGTGTCATCAATGAAGGTTCAACCTGATGGAAGCAAGCTTTTAAAAGCTCCTCCTTCTCTCTTCTAGGGAGAAGCTGGTGTCCCTGGAGAACCAGGAGAGAGAGGAATCAGGGTAATAACCGCTATTATTATAATTTTTCTGCCCAGATGAGTGGTGGGGTAGCAGGAGATGCTGCTCTGCTGCTGCCCAGGCATCTCTAGTCTGTGCAGGAGGAGAGGACTTCCTTCTCCATCCCAACCAGAGTGTCCACTTAAAAACGTCCATGTGCATTTATTTCCTGGGTGAAAAATCATAGGATGGGGGAAACTCTTTTTTTTTTTTTTTTTTTTTTTGCTTTATTTTTTTTGAGCTGCTGGACATGCTGTGTTTCTGATTGCTTCTCCAAACCCTTTCTTTCAGGGGCCACCTGGACTCCCAGGACGGCCTGGAGAGCAAGGGATAAAAGGCGATACAGGACCACCTGGAAAGGATGTAAGGCAATCCCAAAAGGAGCAGTGGAGAGAGGGAGAACTTGGGGCAGTGTAATACCAATCAAAGAAACAGCCATCTTTTCTTCTGCCTCACAGCCTGCGAGGCACAGAAAAGTCCCTCCCTCTCTCCTGGGGAGGAGGGGGGTCTTCTCTTCAAAGGGAAGATTAAGGCTGTGTCTCCCTTCTTCTTTGATTAGCCAGAGCAGGGGATTAGCAGGACTGTGACCTGGGGGGTTCTGAGTGTGCAAACCTTCCCCAGCCCCACACTGCTGGAAGTGAAAGGCTTCATACTGTCTCTGTCTGGTGAGGAAGGAAGGAAAATGATGTTTTTAGGTTCTACCTCTCTGATCTCCCTCTAACGGCTTTGGAAAACACTGGCTAAGACCAGCTGTATCATCAGATGCCTCAAAGACATGCTGTTGCTACAGACTTGGTGGAAATGAGCAGCTGGCTAGGGGAAAGTCCCTAACGAGCCCACCTGCTGAGGAAGAGGCTAATCATCTCACCCCTTATTAAATATCAGAGAACTCCCCCACAGGAGAGAAGTTGAAATCCAGATTTCATTAGCTCAGCTGCTTGAAGATGGGCTTGTTAGTCCGTCGGATGCTGAGCTGGCAAGAAGAGGGGGTGGACTGCTGAGACCCCCTTCCCTTACCATGGCTTGTTCTCATCCTGCCTCTCTCTCCATCTCCTAGGGAATCACTGGAGAGAAGGGAGACAAGGGCGAAGCTGTAGGTTTGCACATTCCCCTTTATAACCTTGCATGAGGGAAAGCCTGTTTGGGGGCTAAAATGTTGAATTGTGCCACTCACTATTTCTTTTTTTTCTGGGGGGGTGGGGGTATGGTGGTGTTTTATCTTCACAGGGTGAGCCTGGGCTGCCTGGGACTCCTGGAAGCCTTGTGAGTAATGCCTGGTTCTGTTGTCTTATACATTTGGGGAAGGGATATGCTGAGATTTATCATGAATCTCATGATAAATTGTCGTGAAGAGGACACATTGCCAGAGCTTACTGCTTTGAACAGTGCATGTTGTAGTGTGGATTTCTCTCCTAGTCTTATCAAAGGTGCAAAGCAGTGTGTGTATCTAGCTCCTCTACAGATATACACATGAAGCCATCCCTAAATGGCTTATCACTGATGATGCAAAAAGACTGTAACAGCTAGCTATGAACCATCCAATACCTTTAATCACTAGCTATTGGGTAATCAAGGCATCCAGGCTCCTTCTATCATGAAGGCAGAGAGATGGATGCCTCCTAGGTACATGGGAGAACTCATGCTTGGGATTGTCCTGTGCCTTTGCAGAGTTTTCCTTTGGATAAGAGGCCTAACACCAAGTTGTGTCAGATTAAGAGAGAGAAACCCAACTCAGGTTCATCAAAAATAGGGCTGGAAGAGATTTTGAAGAGTCATTTAGGTGCTCGGGAAAGGTGATTTAGTACATGAATGTGCAAGGAGGCATTTTTTCACTTCATTTGCTTCAGTGGAGGTAAAGCCACCCCAATGCAAAAGCAAACGACTGCCTTAGGACCAGGAGCCACAGCCTCTTGGGAGAGCTGTGCTAGGCTTCATCTTCCATTCCCAGGGATGAGGCATGGGCAAGATCTGAGTAAGAGACTACTTCAAAGTAGGCAAAATGCTACTTACCACCTTCAGCAGTATCATCCCTGTACAAGACAGTAGTTTCTGCTGACTTTGGAACTCAGGACAAGCCAGGAGCCAATTGTCTTCTGGTGATGCCTCTCTCAATATATCGCAGCCCTCCACTCCCAACCCTGCCAACATGCTGTTTGAAACTACCCCATTTTGTGGTCCCTGCCTCATTTTCCATTGTTGTTATCTACTGGGGTTCCTGTTCACTTGTCTCTCATACATCCTGCATTATTTGAACTCTGGTGAGTTCGGGAGTGGGAGATGGGGATGCCAATTCAAAATTCCTTTCAATGTTCCCTTCAAAACTGGGAAGAGCCTTGTTGCTTCAGGGTATGGCAAGATCCTTCTCTGCTAATCCACAACCATCTTTCCCTATCACCCAGCCATGTCTTCTTAGTGTTCAAAAGGCTTATTTTCACTCATGCAGTTACCCAACTGGCTACTAAAACATCCCACTAAATGCCTGTATCAGAGAGGCCCTTTGAGAGGGTTCTTCATTAGAAATGCAGATGTGGACACCAACGTCATAGCCACCCCAGATCTCTTTCCTGTGAGAACAAAGCTGCTGCTCCAGCTCCCTGTCTGAGTCCAGACATAGCAGGGTCAGGTCCCTGGCTGATTTGGGAGGCAGCAGCTGGCTCTGTGCCCATGGATAAGGGCTAATGGGGATAAAAGGCACATGGAGGTGAGAGCTTGTGCCAAAGACGTCGTCCTTCACTTTGTGAGCAAGATTTCTTCCTTTTGCAGGTGTCTTCACTGGAGAGCACCATCACCCTGAAAGGCGACAAGGTAAGATCTCCTCTCTTTGCTGGAGATGTGTGTTGAAGCAGAATATGTGATTATCTTGAACATGTTGTGTATTTTGTAGCTTCATTCCTTTCATAAGTCAAAGTCTGCAAACAGAGCCCAAAACTCGGAAGTTTCCCTTAATTCTTGCTCTTCCCACCTAAAACAACAAAGGTTCTCCCAACGCAGTGCCTCATTGTTGATCATGCTGAGGCAAGGTGAGTTTCAGTTGTCCTTCCAAGTCTTCACGTTTCTGCAGAGCCAACTAGAGTGAACATTTCAGCCCAGAAATCAGAGATGCTGAAGAAATTCAGATGCTGAAGTTCACTGAGAGCCTGACTGCTTTGCTGAGAGGGAATAAGATGACCTGGATGCTGGAGTAACTCCAGTAGTTTGTCCAGACCAGTTTGTCTGTGGCTGTTACAGAAGCTATTATTGTTACAGCAATAGCTCTGATTGTGGGTGGGTTTGGAAGAGCTTTTATTTAGTGCCAGCGCTCGGATGGATCACAGTAGCGTGGATCCAGCACAGATGGGAATTCCAGTGATAGGAAACAGCAGAGACATGTTCATCCATCCTTTTTTCAGCCCTGTGAGAAAGATCACAGACGATACTACCGAGCCCCCTCATGACTTTGACACGGTCCCCCACAACATCCTGTTTGCCAAACTGGAGGGGTACGGATTTGATGGGTGGACTGTTCAGTGGATAAGGAACTGGCTGGCTGGTCGCATCCAGAGGGTGATACTCAATGGCTCGAAGTCCAGATGGAGAGCAGTGACAAGTGGTGTCCCTCAAGGGTCTGTGCTGGGACCGATACTGTTTAACGTTTTTATCAATGATATAGACAGGGGGATTAAAGGCACCATCAGCAAGTTTGCAGATGACACCAAGCTGTGTGGTGTTGTCGATGCACCAGAGGGATGGGATGTCATCCAGAAGGACCTGGACAGGCTGGAGAGGTGGGCCCAGGTGAACCTCATGAGGTTCAACAAGAACAAGTGCAGGGTTCTGCATCTGGGCCGGAACAATCCTCGCCACCAATACACACTAGGGGGTGAGGTATTGGAAAGCAGCCCTGAGGAAAGGGACTTGGGGGTGCTGGTGGACGAGAAGCTGGACATGAGCAGGCAGTGGGCAGCTGCAGCCCGGAAGGCCAATCCCATCCTGGGCTGCATCAAAAGAAGTGTTGCCAGCAGGTCCAGAGAGGTGATTCTGCCACTTTGCTCTGGTGAGACCTCACCTGGAGTATTGTGTGAGTATTTCCTCAGTATAGGAAAGATATGGACGTGATGGAGAGGGTCCAGAGGAGGGCCACAAGGATGATCAGGGGGATGGAGCACCTCTGCTACGAGGACAGGCTGAGGGAGCTGGGGTTGTTCAGCCTGGAGAAGAGGAGGCTCTGGGGAGACCTAATAGCAGCCTTTCAGTACCTGAAGGGGCCTACAGGAAGGCTGGGGAGAGCCTGTTTAGAAAGGCCTGTAGTGACAGGACGAGGGGCAATGGCTTCAAGCTGGAGGGGAACAGATTTAGACTGGAGATGAGGAGAGGGTTCTTCACTGTGAGGGTGGTGGAGCACTGGAACAGGTTGCCCAGGGGGGTGGTTGAGGCCCCTTCCCTGGAGATATTCAAGGTGAGGCTTGATGAGGCCCTGGGCAACCTGGTCTAGTTGGGGGTGTCCCTGCTGACTGCGGGGGGGGTTGGACTAGATGACCTTTGGAGGTCCCTTCCGGCCTGGGCAATTCTATGATGATTCTGTGATTCTATGACTTCATGCCAGTCTGCCTAAATCCTGTCTGAGGGATGCCCAAGGACTGATCAATATCAAAGCAGCTCCTTATCCTCTCCCACCCCCCTTTCTCTGGTCTGTTCAGCAAAGCAAATGGCAAAGAAATGCAGGTTTGGCTTCATGTGAACCACAGGGCCACACGCAGCACCAGAGCCGACCCAGTGCAGGAACAGAGGTGGAGCCACAGAGTAATTTGAGTGATCAAAGAGCCCAATAAGATGAAAAATGTATTTAATTGCCTTCCCCCACCTCCTTCAGTTTAACAAGGTGTTTGAGTTGGCCATTTATTTTGTGCAGCTGGGGACGGGGAAGGACATGAGGAAGACCTGGAGAGGGCAGACCAACCACAGCATCAATTTCTACTACATTTTGCTGTGCTGGGAGGAAAGGCTCGATGTGAGAGGGGCAGAGTGTCTATCTAGATGGGTCCTTTGCGGGCAGACCTGGGCTTGCCCTGCCTGTTTTCTGACTTACCTGCAGGACTCATGGGTCCTGAGTCTCAGCCAAGGCACGTGATGGACTCTGGGAGAGCGAGAGCTGCAAGCTTAATCACCATGGGTCTGTTGCCTCCCCAAGCCCTGCTTAAAGCATCCAATCTCAAGCTTTACTAAAAAAATGGTGTTGCTTCACCAGCCGAGCTGTGACTGCAGGAAAATAGTGGCAAAGTTTGGTTTACAAGGAGAGGTAATACCATTAATTAGCCCAGATGAGGTAGCAAGAGAAAAAGGAAAGGCAGAAAAGCCCTCAGGAACAAGATCCCATCTTTATGTCTGAAGCAGAAGCAGCCAAAACCACGTCACAAGTGAAGAGCAGAGTTGCTCCAGATTTAGCTTAATTATGTGAATCAATGATATCGTTACAAGAAAGGTAGGTTGGTCCATCTGGAAAAGATGATGTTAGTCTGGGGCCAGCAGGGGACAGTGCATGAGAAATGCCACAATGCATGATGAAGCCATCATCTCCACTGGGAATTCTGGAGGGGACAAAGAACTAACATGTTCCTGCTGCCTTGCAGGGGGATCGTGGGAAGGATGGCTTGAAAGGCGAAAGAGGTCCTCCAGGCCCAAAGGTAGGTCCTGAATGCGTGGAGGGGTCTTTGTGTTGGTGCCATTGTACTGGGCTGGCCAGAGGGGAAGAGCACCCATCTCACATCTCTTCTGACCCCCTGAAAGATTGGGTTTTCAAAGCAGAGTTTCTGAGATGGGTTCATTAACTTGTGGTCACAACGACGCTATTGTCCCACAACTTGATTAAGCAGATAAACAAGATTTGGATAGAAACACTTTGTTCAGGAGTCGAATGGGATAAATTTCAAAAATGTTCAGGGATGTTTCCTTTCTTTCCTCCCCTGAAAGTTGAAGGGCACATCAGAAGGAGAAATTGCTTCTAATAACACATACATCTAGAGATCTTCAGAGGTGGGACCTTCACTTAATGGAGAGAAAAATGCTGAAAGCAGCATCACCGGGTACAAGTAGTTCTCCTGATTGGCACACTTTGCCTTTTTGCAAAGGCAAAGCCAGCAGGTCCAGAGAGGTGATTCTGCCACTTTGCTCTGGTGAGACCTCACCTGGAGTATTGTGTGAGTATTTCCTCAGTATAGGAAAGATATGGACGTGATGGAGAGGGTCCAGAGGAGGGCCACAAGGATGATCAGGGGGATGGAGCACCTCTGCTACGAGGACAGGCTGAGGGAGCTGGGGTTGTTCAGCCTGGAGAAGAGGAGGCTCTGGGGAGACCTAATAGCAGCCTTTCAGTACCTGAAGGGGCCTACAGGAAGGCTGGGGAGAGCCTGTTTAGAAAGGCCTGTAGTGACAGGACGAGGGGCAATGGCTTCAAGCTGGAGGGGAACAGATTTAGACTGGAGATGAGGAGAGGGTTCTTCACTGTGAGGGTGGTGGAGCACTGGAACAGGTTGCCCAGGGGGGTGGTTGAGGCCCCTTCCCTGGAGATATTCAAGGTGAGGCTTGATGAGGCCCTGGGCAACCTGGTCTAGTTGGGGGTGTCCCTGCTGACTGCGGGGGGGGTTGGACTAGATGACCTTTGGAGGTCCCTTCCGGCCTGGGCAATTCTATGATGATTCTGTGATTCTATGACTTCATGCCAGTCTGCCTAAATCCTGTCTGAGGGATGCCCAAGGACTGATCAATATCAAAGCAGCTCCTTATCCTCTCCCACCCTCCTTTCTCTGGTCTGTTCAGCAAAGCAAATGGCAAAGAAATGCAGGTTTGGCTTCATGTGAACCACAGGGCCACACGCAGCACCAGAGCCGACCCAGTGCAGGAACAGAGGTGGAGCCACAGAGTAATTTGAGTGATCAAAGAGCCCAATAAGATGAAAAATGTATTTAATTGCCTTCCCCCACCTCCTTCAGTTTAACAAGGTGTTTGAGTTGGCCATTTATTTTGTGCAGCTGGGGACGGGGAAGGACATGAGGAAGACCTGGAGAGGGCAGACCAACCACAGCATCAATTTCTACTACATTTTGCTGTGCTGGGAGGAAAGGCTCGATGTGAGAGGGGCAGAGTGTCTATCTAGATGGGTCCTTTGCGGGCAGACCTGGGCTTGCCCTGCCTGTTTTCTGACTTACCTGCAGGACTCATGGGTCCTGAGTCTCAGCCAAGGCACGTGATGGACTCTGGGAGAGCGAGAGCTGCAAGCTTAATCACCATGGGTCTGTTGCCTCCCCAAGCCCTGCTTAAAGCATCCAATCTCAAGCTTTACTAAAAAAATGGTGTTGCTTCACCAGCCGAGCTGTGACTGCAGGAAAATAGTGGCAAAGTTTGGTTTACAAGGAGAGGTAATACCATTAATTAGCCCAGATGAGGTAGCAAGAGAAAAAGGAAAGGCAGAAAAGCCCTCAGGAACAAGATCCCATCTTTATGTCTGAAGCAGAAGCAGCCAAAACCACGTCACAAGTGAAGAGCAGAGCTGCTCCAGATTTAGCTTAATTATGTGAGTCAATGACATCGTTACAAGAAAGGTAGGTCTGTCCATCTGGAAAAGATGATGTTAGTCTGGGGGGACAGTGCATGAGAAATGCCACAATGCATGATGAAGCCATCATCTCCACTGGGAATTCTGGAGGGGACAAAGAACTAACATGTTCCTGCTGCCTTGCAGGGGGATCGTGGGAAGGATGGCTTGAAAGGCGAAAGAGGTCCTCCAGGCCCAAAGGTAGGTCCTGAATGCGTGGAGGGGTCTTTGTGTTGGTGCCATTGTACTGGGCTGGCCAGAGGGGAAGAGCACCCATCTCACATCTCTTCTGACCCCCTGAAAGATTGGGTTTTCAAAGCAGAGTTTCTGAGATGGGTTCATTAACTTGTGGTCACAACGACGCTATTGTCCCACAACTTGATTAAGCAGATAAACAAGATTTGGATAGAAACACTTTGTTCAGGAGTCGAATGGGATAAATTTCAAAAATGTTCAGGGATGTTTCCTTTCTTTCCTCCCCTGAAAGTTGAAGGGCACATCAGAAGGAGAAATTGCTTCTAATAACACATACATCTAGAGATCTTCAGAGGTGGGACCTTCACTTAATGGAGAGAAAAATGCTGAAAGCAGCATCACCGGGTACAAGTAGTTCTCCTGAGGGGACAGTGCATGAGAAATGCCACAATGCATGATGAAGCTATCATCTCCACTGGGAATTCTGGAGGGGACAAAGAACTAACATGTTCCTGCTGCCTTGCAGGGGGATCGTGGGAAGGATGGCTTGAAAGGCGAAAGAGGTCCTCCAGGCCCAAAGGTAGGTCCTGAATGCATGGAGGGGTCTTTGTGTTGGTGCCATTGTACTGGGCTGGCCAGAGGGGAAGAGCACCCATCTCACATCTCTTCTGACCCCCTGAAAGGTTGGGTTTTCAAAGCAGTTTCTCAGATAGGTTCATAAACTTGTGGTCACAACGACACCATTGTCCTACAACTTGATTAAGCAGATAAACAACATTTGGATAGAAACATTTTGTTCAGGAGTCGAATGGGATAAATTTCTAAAATGTTCAGGGATGTTTCCTTCCTTTCCTCCCCTGCAAGTTGAAGGGCACGTCAGAAAGGAATGGAAGGAGAAATTGCTTCTAATAGCACACACATCTAGAGATGTTTAGAGGTGGGACCTTCACTTAACGGAGAGGAAAATGTTGCAGAAAGCAGCATTACCGGGTACAAGTAGTTCTCCTGATTGGCACAAGATATGGGTTTTTGCAAAGGCAAGGACTTATCCAGGCTGTGCCTCAGAAGTACCCAGTTCAACCAGTGCACCCCCCACATTGCAGCTCTTCCGCCCCTCCACACCTTGCCATGGAGATGCAGCAACGTTGGAGCCTTTCTGGTGCCCTTCATTCCACCGGAATCTGTCGATACAGAAACCAGATTTCAGTGAAATGAAGCCCGTCAGAGAGGCAGGTCAGCTCCCACCACACTAGGTGTTCCTGTCCCAGCACTGGTCCTCCCAAGCCATTGCAGCTCATCTGTAGTTTCATCTGTGGCAGTGGCCCAGGATCAGTCACCTGGAGAGCATCGCCATGCCAGGCAAGGAGAGATGGACAGCCTGTCTATGCAATTTGCTGTTGACAGTCCAACCCATTTGAGATACTTGACCCCGACCACATGTGGCAGTAGGGAGGGCCACCAACTCCATGGCCACTTCCAGAAGGGACCACCAACTGTGAAGGCACCTTGGCCATCCTCCTTCTTGCTGCTACCTCTACGCAGCTGCCAGAGTATTGTTGGCATTAAGGGACCTCAAAAACCTTTGCTTTTTCATGCATTGTGCATGGCCAAGAAATGGAGAAGGGGATGGCGAAAAGCTCTGGTCCAAACCTCACTTTGACAATGCTCATCTCTGGCTCTGGTCCAGGCCTGCCCTACAAAATGCAGCCCACAGCTGTGTTCAATGGAGGAGTGAAGGAGCTCATTGAGCAGGGTGGGATTCAAACCCACTCTCTGAGATGGTGGGGATTTGCCTGGGGAGGGGACAGTGCATGAGAAATGCCACAATGCATGATGAAGCTATCATCTCCACTGGGAATTCTGGAGGGGACAAAGAACTAACATGTTCCTGCTGCCTTGCAGGGGGATCGTGGGAAGGATGGCTTGAAAGGCGAAAGAGGTCCTCCAGGCCCAAAGGTAGGTCCTGAATGCATGGAGGGGTCTTTGTGTTGGTGCCATTGTACTGGGCTGGCCAGAGGGGAAGAGCACCCATCTCACATCTCTTCTGACCCCCTGAAAGGTTGGGTTTTCAAAGCAGTTTCTCAGATAGGTTCATAAACTTGTGGTCACAACGACACCATTGTCCTACAACTTGATTAAGCAGATAAACAACATTTGGATAGAAACATTTTGTTCAGGAGTCGAATGGGATAAATTTCTAAAATGTTCAGGGATGTTTCCTTCCTTTCCTCCCCTGCAAGTTGAAGGGCACGTCAGAAAGGAATGGAAGGAGAAATTGCTTCTAATAGCACACACATCTAGAGATGTTTAGAGGTGGGACCTTCACTTAACGGAGAGGAAAATGTTGCAGAAAGCAGCATTACCGGGTACAAGTAGTTCTCCTGATTGGCACAAGATATGGGTTTTTGCAAAGGCAAGGACTTATCCAGGCTGTGCCTCAGAAGTACCCAGTTCAACCAGTGCACCCCCCACATTGCAGCTCTTCCGCCCCTCCACACCTTGCCATGGAGATGCAGCAACGTTGGAGCCTTTCTGGTGCCCTTCATTCCACCGGAATCTGTCGATACAGAAACCAGATTTCAGTGAAATGAAGCCCGTCAGAGAGGCAGGTCAGCTCCCACCACACTAGGTGTTCCTGTCCCAGCACTGGTCCTCCCAAGCCATTGCAGCTCATCTGTAGTTTCATCTGTGGCAGTGGCCCAGGATCAGTCACCTGGAGAGCATCGCCATGCCAGGCAAGGAGAGATGGACAGCCTGTCTATGCAATTTGCTGTTGACAGTCCAACCCATTTGAGATACTTGACCCCGACCACATGTGGCAGTAGGGAGGGCCACCAACTCCATGGCCACTTCCAGAAGGGACCACCAACTGTGAAGGCACCTTGGCCATCCTCCTTCTTGCTGCTACCTCTACGCAGCTGCCAGAGTATTGTTGGCATTAAGGGACCTCAAAAACCTTTGCTTTTTCATGCATTGTGCATGGCCAAGAAATGGAGAAGGGGATGGCGAAAAGCTCTGGTCCAAACCTCACTTTGACAATGCTCATGTCTGGCTCTGGTCCAGGCCTGCCCTACAAAATGCAGCCCACAGCTGTGTTCAATGGAGGAGTGAAGGAGCTCATTGAGCAGGGTGGGATTCAAACCCACTCTCTGAGATGGTGGGGATTTGCCTGGGGTCATGGTATGGGCTGGTAGCAGAGTGAGGAACCAGATATGTGACTCTTGCTCCTCTTCTTGCTGCTCATCGGGATAATGACTTGATTAATGAGTTGTTCTTGTTCATCTGAAGGGAGAACCCGGTCCACCAGGCAAAGGAGTGGAAATGAAGGTAAATAAAATAAAAACTATAGAGCATATTAATGTTGGAAACACCTCTCTTTCTGTCTGGGGTTGGGATGGCAGAGGGGACCCAGTATGTGCCCCTCTACTTAGCCATCAGCCACCTGCCGGACTAGCTTCCTCGGCTGGAGGAGAGAGGAGGAGAAGTTCTGACCTTTCTTTCCTCTTGCAGGATCTGGAGAGGCTTTTTGAAGCAAATGGTATCAAGGTAGGTAACACTTTGACCTTCCTTCAGCTCCTTTCTTGTAAGCTCTGGAGATGTGACCAAGGGAGGTTGAGGGACTGACTGGTCTGGACAAATGTAAGGGTTTTATTTAGAATCATAGAATGGTTTGGGTTGGAAGAGACCTTAAAGATTATCGAGTTCCAACCCCCTGCCCTGGGCAGGGACACCTCCCACCAGGTTGCTCAAAGCCCCATCCAGCCTGGTCTTGATTTAGGATAGGAAGAGCTACCATGTAAGCACCATCAATCAGCTCCTAGATGCCCAAACTGTAGACCCCTGTATTTAAATCACCTGTTGGCTGCCAAGACACATTTCTTCACCAGGTGCCCCATGAACCCCACTAGAAATGCAACAGTTGTTTTGGGGGGGCTACACTTGCATTATCATGTTTTAGGAGGGTAGCATTGGACTACTACTACTGCCTTAATGGTCTCCACTGGTTGCAGCTGGCACTGCTGAAGGACCTCTCCAATGCACTCCTGCAGGATGGGCTGGATGGGCTGGTGTGGCAGCTGGGTGGCTCCAGGACAAGCAAGACCTCCAGGAGAAAGCAAGCAGTTCTTCATGCTACTGAGCATGGCGTGAGTGTTGTCATCTATCATCCTCAGGGGGCAGAGAGACCTGGAAGGAAATGAGAGAGAGAGAAATGAATCATTGAAGGCTTCAGGGTCACCTCTGTCATCACGCAGGTTACGGTGACTTGCAGCAACTGTAAGAAGCAGTTAAGCTGGAAGAGGCTAATGGCTCGCACCGGGATCTTGGATCTTGGTTAAACCCATGGGATTGCAAAGCACGCTTTTTTTTCAGTGGAAATAAAGAAATTGATGGAGGTAGCTAGAAGCCATCCTCCAAAGCCATCAGCCTTCTTGTGCCCTTTTGAGGGCTGGGGGTTGCTGGAGTGGTGGGTGTGCGAATGGAGCAAAGCAGCTGAAAGTATGAGAAGTGATGATGAGAGCAGCCTCAAAAGCAAGAAGGGTTCCAGGGAGGTAGGACTAGCTTAGAAGGAAGGCTTGGAGATGGCCAGTAGGGAATTGCTGACTACTCACTCCATCCTGATTTGGAAGGGCCACCAGGTGGGACAGAGCATGCTGGAGGGATGGGGCAGTGGGCAGAAATAAGCCATCAGGATCCAGCTCTTCACATGTATGGATCCTGAGAGCTTGGGTTTGCCATCTCCACACCAACTCACTTTTTTTGATGTTGCAGGATTCACTGGTGTTTGATACTTCTCCTGGTGCCCTGGCCAGCACTGAGGTGACAGAAGAAGCACAGAGCCTGGAGGTGGAGGCTCAGTTTAGGGTGCCGGTGTCTGGAGGACTCCTTAAGGTGAAAATAAGCAGCAGAGCAGAGGAAGTGTAGTTACGTGGGTCTGTGCTTCTGTCCATCTGATCTGCTGCATCAATAATATTCAGAGATTGCACGTCAAATGTGAACCAGCTGCCTGTGATCTCCCAGTCCATGCTCTCAGTGATGCCTCCTGCTGATCCTCATCCTCCCTCCCTTCATTCCTGCCCAACCACAACTCCTCCTTGTCTTCTGTGCAAAAAAAACCAGTACAGGTTGGGCTGGATTCAAGCCATCCCCATGCTGGTTATCTCTTGAACTTGCCCTGCAGCTTCTCCTCACTTGGAGGCTGTAATCTTGGTGTATCTCCCCTGCCCTGGCAGGGATGGATCCAGTCCTGCTGTCAGGTTAGATTGAGATTGCCCAAGAGAGGAGTCCCTGCCATGGCTCCCCAGCCCTCATTTGCTTGAGCCAACCAGGCTAATTGCTAGAGGTAATTATGACACCTGCATCTTCTGCAATTGCAAGTAACAGATAGTTTGTGGTTATGGGAATTAGAAATTTATTAGCAATATTAAGGCTTCAATTCCATACTGGACCGTGTTCCAATATGGTAGAGTACACCTCCAGGAATAACATCAGAGGGCTGTATCCAGGTCACCTCTCATAGCTGCTGGAGGAGTCATGGATCTTAATTTGCCTTTACCAGACAGTCCTGATAAGGAATGGTCCAGGAAATAGTGCCTGCAGCTGCAGTGGGGCTTTTCCAGTCCTGTTTTTGGCAGCCAAGAAGTGACTGGATCTCTGTGAACCCTCGTTGGTCACTGGTAGGAGATGTCTCCAATTGGAGCACAAACTGTGTGGGGACTTCTGGAGCCAGCTCTTGATGATTTTATCTTCCCCCATGGTTGCTTTCGTGGTGACCCAGTTGCCCAGGCACTTAGGGTGAGACAAGCTTATCCACTCTTAGCTCCAGGATCCTGCTGTGACCTCAGGTGAACCATGTTGCTTTTCCAGATCATTGCAACCTGGATGATAGCATTTTAGGGGCTCAGGAGTGGATGAAGTGCTCACCAGTAGATGCATTTGCACCAGGAGGCCCAAACTGGATGTGTACCAGCAACCCTGGGGCCAGCAATGCTGGGATTTGGGGTACAGAGACACCAAAGCTCTTTCTGTTGGGCTTTGGGAGCACAACCCGATCTGGCAAGAGAGGGTTGGACTCCTCTCTGCTCATCTGGGCCAGCCTGTCTAGCTTGGACTTCAACCAGAGAGTTGGGGGTGAAGGTGTCAAAGCAGTCCTCTGACCCGGTAGGGATCCTTGCAGTCTGCCCCAGCCCATCCTTGTTGACACTCCCCAAGCAAGGAGCAAGAGAGGCCTTGGCCCTTTGGCTCTCTGGCCTTGTCTTGCTGTCTCTGAGCATGCTATTGAATAAATGGCAGTGTTGATCATTGTGGATGATGTCTTGACTTACCAAGAACCATCATTTTCTTTGGTCTCCACAGGGTCCATCTGCTGGTGGTTCTGAACCTGAGTACCAGCCCCTAGGAAACCCTCCTGAGTCCTTGGAGAGAACATCTGAGGAAGGAAAGGAGGAGAGAGACCCAAGATGGACAATCACTTCTCTCAGTGGTGTATGTAAATGCCTGTTCAGTGACTTTTAATTACTTTTCCATTGAGCTGACTTAATAGATGCAAAGTGGCTACATTTCTCAAAGCTTGATTGGACAAATCCTTGCAATTCTGTTGGTTTTCCCCCCATTTTGCTGAAGCTAAATTAGCGAAGGGATAAGGATGTCTGCATGAATCTATGTCAGAGCCCAGAAAAGGGTCTTGCTTTCCATCTTTCACCTTGGTAATTAGTAAGACTGTGTTGTCGCTCATTTACCACCCTCTGCAGAGCTTGGCTTTGCCCCCACTGCACCCAGAAGATGATCTGCAAGGAAACCAGTCCATGGAGCTTCTTGAGTCCCTGGAGGGGAGAGTGGAAGGACAACCACAGCAGGACACTAGCCACGTATGTCTTCCCCAGCAATGCTGGGCAGTAGACCAGTGTGGAGATAAATGATAGACTGGAAGGGACTGGGATGCACACCTCACACCCAGTGCTCTGAGTCCTGGAGCAGCTCCCTCCACGTTCCTGGAGGACACCACTGCTTGGACATGGGATGTGGGTGGGAGGCTGATGGCTGGCCTTGTCCTCTGCGTATAGACAGGGAAGTGAGAACCCCCAGAGCCCTTGGCAAATTTTTTGTTGGTTAATTACCCACTTTTTTGGGGAAAAAAGGACAATATTTTACTAGTCTGAATCCAGCTGGTCTCAGCATCCACTCTGTTCTTTGGGGCTTGGTTGATTCAATCGGTGGTGATTCTCAATAGGTTTTTTTAATCAGAGTTGTAATACTCCAGGAACAGTGCGGACCACAGACAGTGAATTTAAGATATATCCCCAACAAGATATTTCCCTTTCCTTCTTACTTTTCATAGATGTCTCAGAATAGTCCACAGACTAGACCCTGGTGTATGCACCCTCCTGAGCCCAGCTCTGGAGTGCTCCCTAAAAGAGGAGGATTTGGGGGTCCGAGCAGGAATCTGGGGACTTTCTCCTCCTTAAGGACTTGCCAACAAGAGCAAATTGTAATTTAACAAGCTTTTGTGGATCAGCTGAGCCAAGGGGAGTGTCCTAGAGCAAATGTGATAGAATCATAGAATCATCTAGGTTGGAAGGGACCTTAAAGATCATCTAGTCCAACCATCAACCTAATGATGCAGGGTGACTCAACTTACCTCTTCCTTCAAGATCTCCCTCCTCAAAAATGGCAGTGGTTTGTTACTGCACTTCAGCTGAAGGATGGTAGCAAAGTAGAGATTTCTTCCATAGCCAGGAGGGAGTTAGAACTGCTCTACAAGCACATGTGGACGTACCCTCTAAGACACGTTATATCGTTTTCAACAAAGTTGGAGGCTGCATCCAGGCTGGGAGCAGTAGTTATCACAGCTCAGCTGATGGGCAATAAGTTGGGGTGTGGTTGCAGTGTGGTTGTCTGAGCCCAAACATCCTATATTTCATCCCCTCTTCCCTGTTCCCTTCTTTTCCCTTTCCCTTTCCCTCTTTTCTTTCCCTCTTTTCTTTCCCTCTTTTCTTTCCCTCTTTTCTTTCCCTCTTTTCTTTCCCTCTTTTCTTTCCCTCTTTTCTTTCCCTCTTTTCTTTCCCTCTTTTCTTTCCCTCTTTTCTTTCCCTCTTTTCTTTCCCTCTTCCCTTTTTTTCCCCTTTTCCTCTCTTCTCCTGCCCTCCTGCGCGTGCGTTTTCTTCTGACAGCCCAAACCATGCTCCACTGCCATGTTCCAAACCCAGCACCCTCTGGTTTGAACATCACTGTCACCACTCTTTTCTTTCCCTCTTTTCTTTCCCTCTTTTTTTTTTCCTCTTTACTTTTCCCTTTTTTTTCCCTTTTCCCTTTTTTTCCCTTTTCCCTTTTTTTCCCTTTTTTTCCCCTTTTCCCTTTTTTTCCCCTTTTCCCTTTTTTTCCCCTTTTCCCTTTTTTTCCCCTTTTCCCTTTTTTTCCCCTTTTCCCTTTTTTTCCCCTTTTCCCTTTTTTTCCCCTTTTCCCTTTTTTTCCCCTTTTCCCTTTTTTTCCCCTTTTCCCTTTTTTTCCCCTTTTCCTCTCTTCTCCTGCCCTCCTGCGCGTGCGTTTTCTTCTGACAGCCCAAACCATGCTCCACTGCCATGTTCCAAACCCAGCACCCTCTGGTTTGAACATCACTGTCACCAGAAGCTGGGAGACCCTACCCCAACACCACGCATCGAGTGACACCAGCCTCTGTGATGGAGAGAGGGGAAAATGCATTCATCTAGTCCTGGTTTAACACCTTTGGACATTGACCTGCTCCTGTGTGATGGGGGGAATGCTCTGTTTGAAAATACTCTGAGACAGGATGCCCACAGCCTTAAAAAGTGAAACAACAGAAAAGTCCCTCAGATGTTTTCTTGCAGCTACAGGCACAATTACTGCTAGGAACAGTGTTAGCAAGGATATTTCTAGGAATAGCAATGGGAAGAGCAGCTCAAAGACCCTGTTGGAGAAAAATCTCGCTCTGATTTAGGTGGTTTGCTGAATGCTTGCTTCTTCTCCCATCGCTTTAGCCGTCTCCCTGCTGGCTCTGCAAATTAACACCACACTGAATCGACGAAGCTGGAACAATCTTTGTTGCAGCAGCCACGAGAGGGCTCCCGGCACAAACACACGCACACACACGCGTGTATGTGTGTAAGCTACAGCTCTGGAGAGGGTGGCCTGTGCCATGAGCATCCATCAGCTTGGTTTCTTCTCCTGGATGCACCGTTTGCCTTTACTGGCCGTGATTAAACTGGAGAGAGACCTGGAAGCATAGAGGACAGAGCCCAAACTTCTGTCGGATGGAATTTCTTGTGGGATGGGGCTGCAGGATGCTGGCTGAGGTGGGGGCTTCTTGGTGTAGACCTTAGTCTGATGAACCTGAACCCAGAGACCATGAAACTGGGGGAGACCCGAATCTGTGGCTCCGTCTGAGCCACTCTGGATGCTCTTTGTGAGCAGACTCCTCAAAGCTTCACACATGCCCCTGCATGGAGTCGTGTAATAAATCAGAGCCACCACAGACACAGCATCTTCTTCCTCCACGAAATGGGAGTGACACCTGTTTGTTCAGTGGCTGGGAGCTGGGGGCATCTGTGTGCCCAGACACTGTGGCCATGACACCAGGAAGGAAAAAGGGACTGTGTGGCCATGCCAAATGTGACATTTGGACAGAAAGAAATGTCCTCAGTCATCAGGGATGTAAAGAATTTGTAGAATCATAGAATGGTTAGAATTAGAAGGGTCCTTAAAGATAATCTAATTCCAATCTCTCCCTGCCACCTCCCACCAGACCAGGTTGCTCAAAGCTCCATCCAACCTGGCCTTGAACCCCTCCAGGGATGGGGCAGCCACAGCTTCTCTGGGCAACCTGGGCCAGGCTCTCACCACCCTCACAGCAAAGAAGTTCTTCCCCAGATCTCATCTAAATCTCCCCTCTTTCAGTGTCAAACCCTTCCCCCTCCTCCTGTGGCTCCCCTCCCTCATCAAGAGTCCCTCCCCAGCTTTCCTGGAGCCCCTTTAGGGACTGGAAGGGGCTCTAAAGTCTCCCTGGAGCCTTCTCTTCTCCAGGCTGAACCCCACCAACTCTCTCAGCCTGTCCTCACAGCAGAGGGGCCCCAGCCCTTGGGTCATCACCGGGGCCTCCACTGGCCCCACTCCAACAGGTCCACATCCATTAAATTAATTAATGTAATCCCTGCATCCCAAGGAACTAAAAGGTCCAACAGGACTCTAGTTGCATCCTGTTTGGGATGCCACTTTTTTATTTTTAAGCCCCATGGGAAGTGCAGAGCTGAGTCACAAACCTGATTTGCAGGTGGCTGGAGACTCATTTATCACGAGAGACCTAAAACTGGACATTTTTTTGCCGAACTCAGGGGGCTCGAGCTGGCTGGATTTCTGCATGGAAGACTTTTCGCGGGGAGGAGATACTGAATATTAAAGGGCTCTTTAATCTTGCAGTGAAAGGCAGGAGGGGAGCCGGAGGGAGGAAACAGAAGGTTTATAATCCAAATGGGAAATCAGAGCTCGAGCTGATTAACCCCAGGAGCAGGCTACAGGGAGATGGGACAAGGCAGTGATTCCCTGCCTGTCGCTGCCCGAGTTACCAGGAGCAGAGCACAGAGGGTTTGAGGGGGAAAGTTTACACTTTGGGTTTATGGAGATGATCTTCTACCCTGTTGGGGCTGATGTTCAAGAGTCCTGTGGATTAACTCGTGCAATACGGCATGAGTTGTGAGCTGATGTTCAAGAGTCCTGTGGATTAACTCATGCAATATGGCATGAGTTGTGATGATGAGTGATGCTGCATCTAGGTGTTTGGCAATAATCATAGAATGGTTTGGGTTGGAAGGAACCTTAAAGATCATCCAGTTCCAACCCCCTGCCATGGGCAGGGACACCTTCCACCAGACCAGGTTGCTCAAAGCCCCATCCAGCCTGGCCTTAAACACTTCCAGGGATGGGGCATCCACAGCTTCTCTGGGCAACCTGTTCCAGTGCCTCACCACCCTCCCAGGAATCATGGGTGTAACCAGCAACCTGGTATTGCCAGACAATGAATCTCCCCCAGATCCCCTTTTTCTGAATCCCAGCCCAAAGGATTCCCCATTAAATGAAGAGTTGTTTGAAAGACGGGCAGATGCCACCACCCTTCCTGCCCTCGTGTCCGATGGTCCTCATTCTGGTAGGGGAAATCGGAACAGCGGCCACAAGTTTTTTAGGGCACGATGGGATCTGCACCCCAAGGGTGTTTTCCTCCTCAGGAAGAGGAAAAAGTGGGGTCCAAAGGTAGGGAAGCAGCAGCAGCCCCTCTCTTCCTGCAGCTCCTGTGTCCTCTCATCCCTGAGCCCAGCTGAACCCAGCAGAGGGTGATGCGAAGGGAGCGAAATGGAGCCGGCTGTTTCCCCGTCAGCAGCAGTAATCACAAATTTTACCTGTTAAAAGGTTCATGGGGCCCGAGAGAGCAGCAGCCCATAATAGCCCAAGAGCTTCATCTCAGAGGTGCAATTTCTGGCTGGCAGGAGTTAATGGGGGAAGCAAATTAAAGGACAGAGAGAGGCAGGATGAGCCCAGGCACACGTGCCCGCGCAAAAAGCGGTGGCTGGTTACTCCTTCCATGGATGAGCCACTTCTTTGGTGTTTGGGGACCGTACCAGCCAATTCCTGCCTCCTCCATCTCCCAGCTCCCCTGCAGCTAAGTTTACTCATTTCCAGAGTTAATTTAGGTAAGTGCCCCTGGTTGTCTCCGTGTGGATAAACCCATAGTCACTTAATTTTCCTACCTGTTATCTCCTTGCCCTTTTCTGTTTCTTTCTTTCCTGTACCTCTTTCCTTGCAGGAATATTTCATTTTACTCCCCCTTTTATTTCTATTTTTCTCTTTCCTGTCCCAATTTTATCTATTCCTTTCCTCTTTTTCTTCCTTTTCCCCTTTCCTCTCTTTTTCACGTTGCTACCTGCCATCAGTAAGTCATTCCTTTAGAAAGCAGCAGCCTCTCTATTTTTCCTTGAGGTGCCTTATTGCTGGCGTCTCGGAGCAGGAAACTGCTAAAATTGCAGAGGAATTACAGACTGAAGGAGAGTTATTACCCCCTGCAATTTCCCACCACCCCAGTAAATGGCAGCTTTATGAGATCACCTGCCTACGGGTCACCTTCTAGACCTCACTGAGGTCTTGCCAACCCATGGGCTTGCCTCCAGTGATGCTATTCATACCTCTGCGAGTGGAACATGGACCCGTGCTAAAGTGAAGCAGCGTTTTATAGCTGGTCCACACGCAGATGAGCTGTCATCCAGGGCAGGATGGACAGGAACATCCACGTGGTCTCATCTGATGGTGCCATTTGACCCACCCAGGTCACCTCTACGTAAGCCTGGGAGATGTTTCTCTAGCTTGTCCCACAAAAGCCCACCTGAGATGGGCGCTCCCCTGAACAAGGTCTTGCCAACCCATGGGCTTGCCTCCAGTGATGCTATTCATACCTCTGCGAGTGGAACATGGACCCGTGCTAAAGTGAAGCAGCGTTTTATAGCTGGTCCACACGCAGATGAGCTGTCATCCAGGGCAGGATGGACAGGAACATCCACGTGGTCTCATCTGATGGTGCCATTTGACCCACCCAGGTCACCTCTACGTAAGCCTGGGAGATGTTTCTCTAGCTTGTCCCACAAAAACCCACCTGAGATGGGTGCTCCCATGAATAATCTCTTCACTGACCTGTCTTTTGTTCCTCATTCTGTCATCCTTGCCATCTTTCAGCAACGAATTTCGATTTTAATTGGACCAAAATAATTTATTTTTTTTTTTCCCTTTACGTATTTTGGTGAGTCAGAAGCTTCCTGCGTTTATTAGCCACTAGGTGAAATTATCATCTGACTGGTTAAAATCCAGCAAAAAAGGACAATCATCCCTGAAACCTGACAGCATAATGTCCAGGGCTGGACAAACCAGAGTTTCTTGGAAGCTCTTCATTCAGGATATACTTTCCCTTAACTTTAACTATGTAAAAGACTCAACTCATACTTCTAGGTAAAATTAATTGAGGTGAACCCAGGTCTTCATTTCAGCAACAAAACAAAAAAAAAGTGGGAATAGTGCTAAATAACTGCACCCCATCCTGATTCTTCCCTCTCCTTCGTGTGCTCCTGCAGGTTCTCAGGGTCGGGGTTTGGGTGTGAGGAGTTGGCCAGCTTTTTTAATTATAAATAAATTCACTGCTTTTTTGCTTTGATATCAAAATACCAAGTCTACACTGCAGTGCTTCCACTGTGTGGTTCAGGGAATAATTGCTGGACACGGAGATATCCAGCAGCTAGGAATGTTATAATTTTTACAGTAGCAAGAAGGTAATTTCCCATGGCTAATATGGAAAAGAACAAACAATTTATGAGCCAGGCTGGTAACTATTTGTACAAGCTTTACTCTGTGTGCCTTAAATATATATCAGCCAAAATCACGAGCACTGCAAACATCACCAAGTGGCAGATTAACATGTAGGCATTAATAGGCATTAATAGTCATTTTATTGCAGTTGGATACACTGGGCACACTAAATGCTTAGCAGGCGTGTTGTTCAGGCACAGCTGGTGTGGGGACAGCCAAAATCACGAGCACTGCAAACATCACCAAGTGGCAGATTAACATGTAGGCATTAATAGGCATTAATAGTCATTTTATTGCAGTTGGATACACTGGGCACACTAAATGTGGAGCAGGCGTGGTGTGGGGTGGCATTGAAAGTTCAAAGTTGTACTATTTTAAGTGGGTTTTATTCGTCTGAAATGGCAGTAAATTAATTGCACAGTGCTAAATTATATATATATTGTTATTATAATATATCGTTATTATATAATATATAGTATTAGGTGCTCAGCAGGATGCTGTTCCCCTTCCCACAGGAAAATGAGAATTTAGACGACGGCTCTGCGCTCCCAAGGCACGTTAGAGCCCAGAGATCTGCTGAGGACCAGAGACACGTGGTAAAGACCCCATTTCACCACGACAGCTTCGGGCTGGCCTTTGTGCAAGAGCAGAGCCATCCGTGTGACCCAGGAGGAAACGGCGACCTTTCCTTGTTGGCTCCATCACAGGTTCATCCCCCTGGTGCTCCAGGAGCTCGGAAATCCCCATCTGGATCCACGGTGAGTGAAGACCTCATAGAAAGGTGTCTTCAAACACATGGACGCAAGGGCAATCCCATTTCCCTCCTCTCACTTGTGCAAAGTCACGATGAACGTAGAGGGGGGGGTATGTGAAAGGTTAGTGATAAATATGAATAAATAAAGCAAGAAACAGCTGCAGAAGAAGCTGTTTTTTCTTGGCAGAGCAGATTGTTCTCCCTGTATCTGGCAAGGGAAACGTGCTGCTCGGAAAACAGAAGTGGGGAAAATCAGACTTAATCAGTGAGGGAACATAATAACCTGGTTTGTGGGGAAAGCAGTGTAACTGAGGGGTGTTTTGTGTCCTGAGAGTATTTGTATGTGTGTGTAAATGTGTAAATATATGTGTGTGTTTACAAACACAAACATCTCTGACCTACCTGCACAATTACACTGCCGACTTTAAGGCAATATGCCAGAAATGGAAAGTGCAAAGAGTTGATTTCCACAAAATTTAAGAGAGGAAGACCTATTGCCAGGAATTAAGGGTGAAAAATTCTGAAGCACAGGTTTCCCCTAAGTTTGACTTAATTTCTTTGAAAGTGGCGAATCACCCTTGCCCCACCTTCCCAGGAGGGATGGCAGCACTGGGCTGAGCTCATCCACATCATGAGAAAACATGACTCTTCTCATAGCTCTCTTTAAAGGGTTAAAGTGGGACACCTCTGCCATTGCCAAAAGCCCAGTTCTAAGTTCTCTTGGTTCACAAACCATCTCTTGGTTCGCAAACCCTGGCAGCCCATATGCAATGGGCAGCACCAGCTCTCAGATGTCCCATCTGGGCTGGAGCAGATCAGGAGGAGCCTGGAGGCCACCCCATATCCAACCAGGAGCCCTTCAAGGGGATTCTTCTCATCCCTGGTGACACATGACTTCCCCATGAGATGCCTCCAGCCTCCCCACTTGCTGCCTAACATCTTGGAGGTGTCTTTTCCATGGCTCAAGCGTGAAAAGCTTCTCCAACTGCTCTCACACTTTCCTCTTTTCTTCTTCAATTCAAGGCATACCCAGGCCCTCATCACCCAAGGAGAATTAAGGTACAGCATTCATGTTGTCCTCCTCTTATGGCACCTGCATGAGGTGCTGGTGGAGCTGGTCCCAGCTTCCCAGATGCATCCCAGCCCCACTCCATACGTGCTTTTTTTTTTTTTCTTATAGAAGGAGGAAGCTGGTCCACCAGATCCACCATCCCATGGCCAAAAGGTCAGTGGTTTTGCTTCAGATGCAGATGCCCAACAGCACCTGGGGAGAACCAGGACAGTGATCCATCTCCCAGAGTAGTCTCATTTGGATGCTGAGGAATCACGGGTGAAAACTGGCCAAGCCAGTAGGTTCAAGAGGCAGTAATCAACAATTTTGGCCATTGATAATGAGCAGAGATTCCAAGGTTGAACCTTTCACAGCTGATCCAAGCAAGGGTTTTGTGGTTTTGGGATCCTCAATAGTTTTGTCCTCTGTGGACCTCTCCTGGCTCCCTCAAACTCATGGCATCCTTTAACATCTGCTGTGTCCTGGGGCAGGGAGATCCTCAGTTTGCCACTCACATCTGACCCTTATCCTGCAATTTATGTTTCCTCTCTCTGCATTTCCACTGCACAAGATAGAAGGGATGGAGTTAGGGACATCCCCAGTCTGGTCTGGGACCACAAGTGGTGGAAATGAGGGGTTCCTCCATACATGTTTTCCAAAAGCTGATGCAGGAACGAGGGCAGCACCCAGTTGGTCCAAAAAGGGAAGGAAAAATTCCTTGTAGCGATGCGTGTTTGCAATTGAAGGGGTTGCCTGTTGTTTTCCAGGGAGAAATGGGAGCTCCGGGAGTCCGTGGAGACAAAGGAGAAAAGGTAATGATATTGTTCTTCTGGACTGAGCCTTTGAGACCAGAAGAAGGCTCTCTGAGCTAAGAGGGTCTGAAAGGGGAGAGGCAACTGGGACTGGATGTGCTAGTGGAGAGGACATTCAGGGTCTATGGGAGACTGTGATGATGTAAATTGGGATTGCTAAGAATTTGGGGCCTACAGGAGAGGTGGGGAGGGTCTCTTGATCAGGGAGTGTAGCAATAGGATGAGGGGTAATGGTTTTAAACTGAAAGAGGGGAAGTTTAGTGAGATATTGGGAAGAAATTCTTTCCTGTGAGGGTGGTGAGAGCCTGGCCCAGGTTGGCCAGAGAAGCTGTGACTGCCCCATCCCTGGAGGGGTTCAAGGTCAGGTTGGAGGGGGCTTTGAGCAACCTGGTCTGGTGGGAGGTGTCCCTGCCCATGGCAGGGGGGTTGGAACTGGATGATCTTTAAGGTCCCTTCCAACCCAAACCATCCTATGATTCTAAGATGCATCTGCCATGCACTCAGGAGTAAATGCAAAAACTCAGGGGGGTTTCCTGATGTTCATCTTCTGCTGGATCAGTGAACTGAACCAGGTGATAGACAGACAAAAGCCAACCCTGGCACGAGGACGGGGATGGAGGAAGGGCTGCCCAAAACACTGTTTCACCAACACTTTTGGCAACAAAGGCTGAGTGGCAGACCCAAGGTGGTGGGACTCAGATATTCAGGAGAAAGATAGATGAGGCAAGGTGGTTGTTAAAAGGCAGAGCCCAGTGGGGAAGGGACACTTTGCATGGGCAAGGGTTTATACACCCGGTGTGGTGCAGCATCCTGGGGACACAGGCATGAGAAGGAAGGGAGGAAGAAGAGGTGGCTGGAAGGTGGACGGTTTTTTTTCTTGCAGGGGCAGCCTGGGGAGATGGGGGAACCTGGAGAAAAGGTGAGCTGTGGAGTCGGTATCAGCAGCTGGAGCTGCTGAGGGTGTTACCAGCTGAGTGGCCCAAATCCAGCACTGGAGATTGGAGATTGACTGGAAAGTCAAACTCTACTGGGTCAGCCCAGTACTCCATGTCCTTCCTGGGAGTGGTGTGGCTCTGTGTTAGAGCATTTGGCTCTTCCCTGGTCACACAGCCACTGCCCACCTCCTCTAGGAAAAAGAGGTGGAGGACGGAAGAGTCAGTTGCTATGAGCACAACTGGAAACCTTTGCTCTTGCTCAGGGTTGCACTGTGGTGGTATTTTACCTTGATCTCTTGCACAGGCTTGGTAACTCTCTCTCTATTTCACAGGGCATCAAAGGAGACAGAGGTGAAAATGGTCAAAAGGTAAAGAACACCATTGGTACCACAGTCAGGGGGGTCTCTTCTTACACTGTGAGAGTTGCCTCCTGCTCTTCCTTCTCCTTTTGCCATATCTAACCTCTCCATCTCGGTGGGAAGTGTCTAGGTAACCTCCTGAGGTATGGGCTCAGTGTGACCAGTCACTTGTTGGGGACCCAGTGTCTCTCTGTTGACTAGGAAGGAACTCCAGATGGCTCACATCGACAGGACACCAGCCTTATAAATGAGGAATGTCAGAATATATGAGTCTTCTGACACCATCTCCTGCAACTAAACTGCCTCTCTTCTAAAGTTGTTTAAATGCTCTTGGCAGCTTTGTCTCTCCAGGTCAGATAAGGCTTCCCACCACCTAGAGGAGATGTAATGAGGGCTCTGTAGAAACCCTAAATGTAGGATCAGCTCTGAAGGACTTCAGCTGGATGTCCAAGGAGCAGCATGAAGCAGGCTCTCATTTTGTTCAGCCCCCAGTGGAAGGAGTGATCTTGTTTTTCCTGACTTCCTTCTCTTCACAGGGAGAACCAGGAATTGGGTTCAGAGGCCCTGTTGGTCAGGCTGGACCACCTGGATTTAAAGTAAGCCTTGTTTTGTCTGGGTCTTGCTCTTTGTAATCCTTACTGATCTTTCCACTAATGGTTGTGGAGCACAGAGCTGGCTGGGACTTCAAGGATAAAGCACCAAAACCAGTCCTGGCCCATGAAGGCAGGGACACCATCATGTGGGTATGGGACAGAGGCAGCGCTCTATGTCCTCCAAAGGGCCATTTCAACACAGGTGGGGTCCAGAGAATAAATATGGCTCTGAAAAAAATCCAGGGAATTGTGGTCTCAGCAGAGATGCGTTTCTGCAATGCCTTGGGCCGTTGCAGGTCTGCGGGGTTTGAATTCACTACAGAGCTCTGAAGGTCTGCAGGTCAGGGCTTCTCACTTAGAAAGCCATGGTACACCCCCTTCTGCAGGGGTGTCTCTTATGGACCTGGGCTGGAGGGGGTGGTCCCAATTCTGTGTACTCATGATGTCAATTCAAGGATATACCCCAGGCTTTCTCCAGGGCCTTTGCAGGGGGGTTGGGGGTGTGATGGACAGTTAATCCCACCCAAGAGCCAAATTCCTTGTGATTCACTCAACAGGGTGAGCCAGGGGCCCCAGGGCCTCCAGGAGCTCAGGGAGTCCAGGGAATTCGTGGCAATGCCGGCACCCCTGGGTCACAAGGGGAAAGAGGGGCTCCAGGTCTGCCTGGGATGCCAGGACAAAAGGTAGGTGATGTGTGGTGAGGGGACTGTGTGGGGGTTGGGGGTGTGATGGACAGTTAATCCCACCCAAGAGCCAAATTCCTTGTGATTCACTCAACAGGGTGAGCCAGGGGCTCCAGGGCCTCCAGGAGCTCAGGGAGTCCAGGGAATTCGTGGCAATGCCGGCACCCCCGGGTCACAAGGGGAAAGAGGGGCTCCAGGTCTGCCTGGGATGCCAGGACAAAAGGTAGGTGATGTGTGGTGAGGGGACCTGCATATGTTGTGTTAGCTACCTCAAGATGAGAACAACGATGGTCCTACTGAGACTGTCTACACCAGGTGTCTGCTGTGGGTCAAGACCCCACCTATGCAGGTCTCCAGACCTTGAGCCTATATATAAGCAGTGAAGAGGAGGAGGAACAAAGCCTGGTTGCAAAAGGAGAGATACCAGCTTTTATTAGACCAACTGGTGTAGATGGGGAAGAAAATGGGGCAAAAGGTTTGGTGCAGGGAGATGTTGTTCAAGTTGAAAAAAGAAAGCCAACAGTGGAGCTCCAAGCAAGGTGGAGATCTGTTGTTCTTCTTTAAATTTAGTGACATGACTTGATGAGATGACAAGGAAGAAAAGGGGTTGCAGTAGCACAGGGGATGTGAACAAGGGGCTTTGGGATCCTTAGCCTCCAGGAACAGAGGGAGCAATTCATAAGTCTCATTGCAAGGACATGGAGGCTGAGCTGGCAGTGGGATGGGGGACAGCAATGGGCTTAAATTCAGGATCTCAATGTGGTTGGAGTCCCTTCTCCTCAAGGAGAAGAGGCCCACATGGGGAGCACCCCAATGGCTATTCCTCCTGCTTGCAGCCACTGCAGGGAACACTTAGGGCCACTAGCTCCTGCTTTCTGGCTGGGTGGGGAAAAATGGGACATTTCCATCAGGGTGTTCTCCTCCTTAAAGGATTTTGTTTTGAAGGGAGAGCGTGGGAAGAGAGGACGGAATGGATTTGCTGGGCCCTCAGGACCATCAGGATCCCCAGGAAAAGAGGTGACTTTTGTACATCGCCCCAATGTCTTTTGAGCAGCAGAGGGATGGCTGGGGAGAGAAGCTGAGGGCCTGGTACCTGGGCAGGGTGTGCTTTCACCCTCTTGGAGCACTGGGACAGGAGGGCATCAAGGGTGTGCTAAGCAAAGTCCGCCCTTCTATTTTGTTTTCCTTGCCCTACAGGGGATTTCTGGGACACCTGGACCCAAAGGCAACAAGGTCAGTGCCAACCTGCCAGGCAGGTCACAAGTAGCTGAGATCCTGGTGTGGGAATGGGACAACCCACTGCCCTTCCCTGGGCTCCTTATCCCTGACCCAGTCCAGCCACTTCATCCCTCTTTCACCCTCAAGCCCTTCTTCCCCGTGGTTTCTGGAGCATCCTCCAGAGAGAGCAGCAGAAAGTCAATGGAAGTGAGTCTCCTGCCCCTTTCTGTGATTTTTAAACCATGGCCAAACACATCAACAATCATGTGACGTGGTGTCCTTGCTCCGAGTGAGACCTCTGGGGTTCTCTGTTCTTCAGGGAGAAATCGGCGTTGGAGCAGCTGGCCCAAGAGGTCCTCGTGGACTGCCTGGCCCTCGGGTAGGTCCCTCCATAAATATTCCTGGCTTGGCTTCCTGCAGTCTGACCTCTTTTGGAGGCAACTTTATACAGTCACCTCCCACTCACCCCTCTTAGAAGGTGCCTAAAGGGCTGATTTCAGAGCCCTCCTTGTTTTTTCACCAGCCAGATTTGGAGGTGATGGACATTCCTATGCCCAGCTAGCACTGGCACTGACCACAATCTGTCCACAGGTTGCAATTAGCATCTCCTTCATAATTAGACGACCAGGTCGCACCAGCCAACTGCATGGCCAAGTGAATCCTGCTCCACCAACTGTGCTGTCACTGGTTAGATGGGAGTGTGAGTGAACTGTGCTGTCACTGGTTAGATGGGAGTGTTGAAGGCAACATCTACACCCCCTATACCTGTGTGTTTTGATCCTAGCAACTTGGTGAGGAACCTCCCAAGTTTTGTATGCTCTGGGAATGCTACCTGCAAGCTCGTTCCTTCAGAAATCTGACTCCAGCTTTTTTTATTCCCTTCTTCCCTCCTGTTGTCCTGGCAGAGGGCAACCAGCCCCCATCATCCTTGGGCCAGCAACGTTCGCTTTTCCTCATGCTGCTGAGAAGTTTTTGGTCTCCTTCTGGCAAAGACCCCAGGGAGACTCTCTTTGAGTCGTAATCAGAGGCCATGTTTCAATTTGCTGCTTCTGTGGCTGTTCCACGAATAAACTGATTTTATGCTGCAATCCATTTAGACAAGCTCCCCATCTGCCAGCAGAACCGTTCGATGAGGCCCCTGAGACAAAACACTTAATGAGAATGTCAACAGCTGTGAAAGGTCTGGGGTAAACCTTGCTCAAGCTTCATTATCTGAAGGAAATGATGAAATAATGTTTCTGCTCTTCTGACTCCAGCATAAATCTAAAGTGAATCACAGAACCTCAAATTGCATTGGCTTTAAATGAGAGATCTAAATTTGGCCTCAAAGGACAATGCCTAAGCCTAGGCATCTTGAAGACAGGTAAGTCTTGTAGGATCTACCAAGGGAGGTCATACAAGGACTTCGTAGACCCACCAGCATGTCTGTCCCTCGTAGCAAGGTTTATAAGGAGCCAACAGCACGCTTAAAGGGAGGCTCAGAACAAGGTCTGCAGCCTCTGGAAGCCACAGCTAGGAGTGAAGTTCTTCACTGTGAGGGTGGTGGAGCACTGGAACAGGTTGCCCAGGGAGGTGGTTGAGGCCCCTTCCCTGGAGATATTCAAGGAGAGGCTCGATGCGGCCCTGGCCAACATGGTCTCGTTGCGGGTGTTCCTGCTGACTGCGGGGAGGTCGGACTAGATGATCTTTGGAGGGCCCTTCCGGCCTGGGCAATTCTATGATTCTATGAAGATAAGCCTCACATTGGTTTACAAAGGCGCAAGTTACTGTTGAGCAGTTGACTGGTGGCATCTTCCTTCTGAAAGTCAGTGGTATGAGTTCCAGGTGAATTCCTGGCTGCCTTATTTATTGTGGTGAGTCCTGCTGAACTCATCTTCTGGGGGAAGAAATCTCTCTGTCCCAGAAACATCTCAGACCTCTGTTGCGTGTCCCTTTGTCGGTGAGTCCTGCTGAAATCATGTTCTGGAGGAAGAAATCTCTCTGTCCCAGGAACATCTCAGACCTCTGTTGCATGTCCTTTTGTCAGATGCAAATACATCTTGGGGAGGGCACACCAGGTCGTTCAGAAGCCTTAGGTGGCTTCTTCTGAACTAGTCCTGCCAGGGCATCTCTGTAACCAACAAAGAGGAAGAGACACCTTTTGGGAATGATGTATATCATGCTAAATCAGGTGCAGATCATCTTTCAAATGCCTGTTTCTCTCAGAGACTGAGGAGAAGCTGAAGCTTGAAGCTTCAATCTGACCAAAGCACTATTCTCTAAACACTGCAGCGTCTACCTGCAGTGACTTGTGGTTTATCTCAAGCCCGTTGAGCTCTTTGATCCAGATCAATAGGATTATTAAGGCACCTAATCCTGATGGAGGTGTAAGTGTAGAGGTTGGACAAGTCCTTGGAAGATCTGGGCTTCTGCATGCTGAGCAATTCTTGGTGTCCCCAGTGGGATGGTTTGTGGAGTTGGTACTGTGCACGGTGTAATTGTCTTTAGTGATGACCATCACCATCCCCTCTCCATCCCAACAGGGTGACGAGGGCATCGTGGGAGTCCGTGGCCCCACCGGCATGACGGTGAGTGTCAAAATAGCAACAAGGGCTGATTTTACAGCACGGACAATGGTGGGCCCCAAGAGCAAGGAAAAAAACTAAAATAGGTCGATGTTTTCAGTGGGAAATAGAGACTTTGGGAACCTGAATGCCGATGTTGTGTTGGTATGAGTGAGTGTAAAACCTGCAGGCAGCTGTGAGAGACAAGGTGTCCTGCAGAGCACAATTGCTTTATGATCTTGTCCATTTGGCTGAGTCATCTACGGGTTGCCTTTGAAGTCCTCCCGAAATATCACTCCCTCTCCGTTCTTCTTTGTCGGGCCTGCTTGCCTGCAGCAATTTCAGGGTCTTGTTCTGTTGTTAAATTCCCTTTTCATTGATAGGGGCCTGAGTCAGAGGAGACACAGATCACAGCCGGCATTTCGACAAACACCTTTTTATTTATTAGGCTGTTACCTGTAATGGAATTAATCTGTTATTACGAGCACGATGGGCCTCTGTGAAGTTCTTCAGAAGGCCAAGGGTGGTTGCAGTACCAGGTTTCACCCTGAGATCTCATTCCTAAAGGGCTCATTCTCGGCAAGACTGGCCTTTAACACCACAAGGGCTTGTGAGGTGATGTGTCCCAGTGGTCAGAGCAACAGTGCAGAGCACAGGGGGATGGAAAAACCCAGGTTTTGTGGCCTTTGAGAAATGTCTGTGCTTTGTCTCTTCCCCGTCCATCCTGCCCATGCCCACCCCTGTGATGAGCTGCCAGTTCTGCAGGTGGAAAGTGCCACCTTTCTGCATATTGATGGGAGGTCATGGGTCCCTGGTTTTGCAAATGTTTTACATCTGGGGTGACCACCATGGGTTTTCAGCTCACCAGGTGTGGTTCTCATCCTAAGTCTGTCTCAAGGGGCTTCCACCTTCCCTGGAGGACACCTGGGATCCCCATAACCCCCATCTAGGAGAAGCTGTCTGGGAGCAACCCTTCCCCTATGGTCTCTGAGAGGTGGGGGCTGCATCTCACTAATGTTACAAGTACAAAAAGCACAGTTCATGGCTTACAAAGTGGGGGAGGTTGGTTAAATTTATAAATCTGCCAAGAGATCCTGAGTTGTGCCCGAGACTCAGTGGTGGGCAGAAGCTTAAGGCTAAATTTTCTCTTTGCACACCTATGATATATTTCTCCTCAAATTGCTCTTTGGAAGAAGGAAAAGGGAGTAGAGGCTTCTGTGTTGGTCCCACCAGCAGCTTCTCTGAGCTGGACCCCATCCTTGGAGGCACCTCTGCGTTCCAGTGGAGGATGCTCTTTCCTGACACCTTCCCCCCACTGGTATTTATCTTCACTTGTTGTTTTATGTTCTTGCAGGGTCTAAAAGGCTTCCCGGGTGTGAAGGGCGAAAGAGTAAGCAACAGTCATCTTATCTACACAGAGCTGTGTGGAGGAAGGCATCATTGTGGGGAGCCTTTCTCTGCAGCAGCCCACGCTGCTGATGCTCCTGTTAAAACAGTGGGAATAATCCCAGTGTCTTCTGGGGGTGGACTGGGAGGGGACTTCATTCAGTGTGTAGAAGTGCGAAGTGGAGTTAGCGGCCTCCTGTAATGGCTGGGCTGTGATAAAGGTGGACAGTCTTTATTCATGCCTAGTTCTATTTGGAAGAAAATTTGGGAGTTTGGCCAGAAGGAGATCCCTAGTATGCTCTGGTTGATCCCCAAATGCACAGGGTTGGGGGGAAGAGGGTAAAGGAGCAGATGACCTACAGCATCAGCAGGACAATGACTGCCCACCAGGAGACACATACCCTTGAATTTCTGTCAGTGAGCAGGAGTCCCCTCAGTGTCCTGCTACATCCCACTTACAACCCTTGGAAAGTGTACTACTGAGAAGGGCAGATTTTGTTCCAAATGTCAGGGGTGGCAATGGGACATCAGAGGAGGGATCCACATACAGCTCTGCCACTCAGAAGCTGTTCAAGTGCAGTCTTAAAACCTGTCTCTGCTCTGCTGTCACCTCACAGTCCTTGCAGACTCCCCGTTCTCCTGCTGTCACCACACCACCACACAGTCTTGAGCACTGGAGAAGCTTAAGAGTTGGAGTTGTTCAGCCTGGAGAAGAGAAGGCTCTGGGAAGACCTCAAAGCCCCTTCCAGTCCCTCAAGGGGCCTACAGGAGAGATGGGGAGGGACTCTTGATGAGAGTGTGTAGCAACAGGATGAGGGGGAATGGTTTTAAACTGAAAGAGGGGAGATTAGATATTAGGAAGAAATTCTTTCCTGTGAGGGTGGTGAGACACTGGCCCAGGTTGCCCAGAGAAGCTGTGGATGCTTCATCCCTGGAGGGGTTCAGGGCCAGGTTGGATGGGGCTTTGAGCAACCTGGTCTAATGGAAGGTGTCCCTGCCCAGGGCAGGGGAGTTGGAAGTGGGTGATCTTTAAGGTCCCTTCCAACTCTAACCATTCTATGCCATCAGGAACGGGTCCTGCCCTTCAGCCTCATGTCCCATGCCCGTTGTAAAAGACTTCCAGGAACAGCTAATATTTCATACACTCTCAGTAAAGCATGCCAGATTTGAGGTCGAAATTTGGGAAATCCTGTATTATTTAGGTTGCCTTCCCACCGTAGATGTATAGCATAGGCACATCTCTGCACTGTGGAGACTCTACACTAACCATTCTATGCCATCAGGAACGGGTCCTGCCCTTCAGCCTCATGTCCCATGCCCGTTGTAAAAGACTTCCAGGAACAGCTAATATTTCATACACTCTCAGTAAAGCATGCCAGATTTGAGGTCGAAATTTGGGAAATCCTGTATTATTTAGGTTGCCTTCCCACCGTAGATGTATAGCATAGGCACATCTCTGCACTGTGGAGACTCTACATCCTGTTGGGAGGTCAAAATCATCCAGCAATATCTCCACATCATGGATGTGCTGATTGTGGCGTCAGGCAAACCACTTCAGTCCTCTGGGTTTCTACTTTTTTTGGTCAATGCAATAAATTCTAGTACACAATCTCTTCTGGGAATCTAATCATTTTGCAAAGTGCCCAGAGGAACTGACTTCCAGCCGTGATAGATCTTAGTGGCTTGGCGTGCGAATGAGTGGACTGAGCAACACAAGAAGAGTGAGGAACAAGGGAATCGCTCACTGTCTTTTTTTTTTTTCTCTCCTTTCCTGTGTTCAGGGTGATCGGGGACTTCTGGGACCCAAAGGAGAAAGAGTAAGGAAATTCCAGATTGTGACTTTCTGGGGCAGATGGGATAAAAGGCTTTCAGGATTTTATAGTTACCAGTGAGCAGATGGACAATTATTTAAATGAGTCAGTGATCTTACAAGGTAGAGGCATAAATGATAAAAAATATTTATATGTGTTTTCAAATATGCGGGTTCTTAGTGATTTTTACAGGATTCGTCTCATTACACATGGGTGAGCAGGGAGCACTGAGCACGGGGCACAAACTTGAACGTAGAAAGTTCCATCCAAACACAAGGAAGAACTTCTTTCCTGTGAGGGTGGCAGAGCCCTGGAACAGGCTGCCCAGAGGGGTGGTGGAGTCTCCTTCTCTGGAGCCATTAAGACCCCCCTGGATACGTTGCTGTGGGGCCTGCTCTGGGTGACCCTGCTCTGGTAGGGGGTTGGACTAGATGATCTCCAGAGGTCCCTTCCAATCCCATATCATTCTGTGATTCTGTGATGATGGGGTTCAAATGCCTTTCAGCAAAGAGGACTTTAAACACCTTCGATACCCGGTGTTGTGTGCAGTGCTGTCCATCTGCCTGGATCAAGATCCCATTGCCAATGAAATCTTCAGGAACTGAGGCTCAGGGCCTCCTGTGTGCTTCTCCATGTCCCCGTTCAAGCATCTGGCCACCCCCAGGCTGAAGAAGTTTTTCCTTCTGTCTAACAGGAGTTTCCCTTGTTGCAACTTGTCCTTTCACTGTGTGCCTCCAAGAAGAGCCTGGATCCATCCTCTTTATGTTGTACACCCATGTAGGTTGTGGAAGACAACACATAGATGCTCCCATCCTTCTTGGGGATCTCCACCAGGTTCAATCCACTTTGTCGATACCATCCATGCACTGGACACTCAGCTCCAGGTTGAGCTTATGTGATAGTTTTGACGGGATCCTACATGATAACAAAAAGTCATTTTGGCAGGTATTTGCTGGGGCACAAAAATGCCTCCTGTGAATTAAGGGAGGAAGACAATTTTGCACTGATTTTGGTGTAACCAGCTCACCCCAAAAGCGCACTGCAATCTTAAAAAGCCCGAGCTGGCTCATAGCAGGTAATGGGAAAATAACTCCCCAGGCGTTTCTGGAAAATGTACAGAAAATGCTGAACTTCTGCCCAGTGTTTTGTTAACTTCCTTCCTGGCTGAAATGGCTTGTCAGAAAATGAGTTTTAGAAAACCTACATGACGATTCTGCCTTTGAGTCATGCGGTATTAAATGATTAAGGCCGATTTGTCTCCGAGGAAGCTACTTTCAAAGGGGACTCGCTCCAGAGACGAATCAATTCTTAATCTGCTTTGTGAAGAGGCCCTAAAACACTTTCCAAGCTGAAGGAATGTGTAATGCATTTTCCAAAGAATACCTTAATAAAATATATGGTAGAGTGCGAGATAAAACAGGAGGCGGGGGGGATAATTGGCTTGGGTTTGTTCCACATGATTGCAGCTTAACTTTCTCTCTAACTCTCCCTTGGTCAATACAGAAGTAACTGTGTGGATCCCAGGGCCTGTGCTATGTATTGGATCAAACCACAGGATCTCTATTCTCCCTTTTGTCCCCCAAAATTGATCGAGCCCTATCATGTCTTCATTAGAGACCCTCCAGAGCAGGGAAGCGAGAGCGTGTATTAAGCTAGAATTTGATCACGGTCCTATGGTGACGGTGATGGTTGGATAAACTGCAAAAGATTGTCAAAGTTTGACAATCTTTGACAAAGTTTGACAATATTGAGGAATATTGATTGATGTGTGGTTGTTAAGACTCCAGCAGCAAGGCACTCTGAACTGAAAAGAGCTGGTGTAAAGGAAGTCCTCCTCAAGTAGGCTACAGTTGCCCATTAGAAGATGACTTCAGCCCTCCTCCCTCTGAACTATGGACAGCATCACTACTTTGGAGACACAACCAGAGCAGAGCCATTTCTTGCATGGGAATAGCCTTGTTGCAGCTTCTTCAACCTTTAAGGAGCAAAATGTCCCTCCTCAGCTGCTGAGCTGATAAGTAGACTTGGCATAGATGTGTCCATGGGGTTATTGTGTGCTTGTAGCTACTGGCTCTCTCGGAAGGACAGTTTGGGGGGTCTGAGCCTCCAAAAACTACCTTTGAGGGGTGCCTTAAGTGCCACTCCCTTTCCCTAGCTCCAACTCTGTGTCCATAAATCAGGACACCATGAGTAGACCCATCACCCACACAACAAACAAGAAGCATCACCATCACTAAACCATACCTCCCAGCACTACATCAACCTGTCTTTTGAACACCTCCAGGGATGGTGCCTCAACCACCTCCCTGGGCATTTCTCTGTATGTCTGGTGTCACATGCTTTTGAAATTCTAAGTCTTGTACAGACTTTTGAAAATCGTGCCCCTCTTACGGTCGTTGAAAGGTCCAAATCCTGCACGGAGATAAAGTCAAGTGTCCTTGGCATCCTGAGTGACATACGGCAACAAAAGAGCCAATTGACCGTGTCAGATATGAACCCATCCCACCACTGACAGCTTCAGATCAGGAGCTGAACCTCAGGGTCATGCTGTGCACAGCTCCATTTCCAGCCATGACATCTTCACTAGGGTAATGCCAGTGGGCCCCCACGTTTTTTGGAGCAAGAGATCACCGTGAAACCTCAGGACTTCTTGAAGTCTTCTGTGCTTGTTCATTATCCAGCTTTTAGTTAAGAGCTTTAACAATTAATGTTGTGCTATGGAGCCTTCGTGCCTTCCCCAACATAGGGACTACAGTTTGGGAAATGCTTAGCTTCATTGTAGATGTGTGTCTTACCATTTTGCTCATCATAACAACTGTGGTTCCATCCAACGGGACACATGAGTTCATATGTCACAGGGTGTCTACATCTCTCTGTTTCTTCTTTCTCCAGGGTGAGCCCATGACTATTTTTGGACCCCAAGGCTATAAAGGCAGTAAAGGAGATCCTGTAAGTTTGACTTTTATTGATGAATTAAGCTGTCCCTTTCCTGCTGTTGGTGGCCTCAGCACCAAGCACAGCTTGGGATAAGCACTGAGAACTAGGACTTTGCTCCAGAGCCAGTGGCTGAGAGCTGGGTCCTTCCAGGAGAGAGGAACAATCTACTAATTGCCATCTTACCTTTCAGGGTGAACGGGGCCTGCCAGGTTTTGACGGAGACAAAGGCGAGAAAGGAGAGGATGGGCCTATAGGAGAAAAGGTATGAACCTTCCCATGGGGATAAGAGAGGCAGCAAAAGGTCACTGGTTGCACAAGGAAGTGATTGATATCTCTACATCCTCCCTTCCCATGTGCCTGCTGGAAAAAGCAGTGCAAGAACACACTTTCCTAGCTCTTACCACAGAAAGGGAGAGGAGGATGCTGGGCTGAGGCTTGGGAATGTGACACGCATCCAGTTTTTACCAGGTATCAAGTCTGTAGTTTTGGGACCATGTCTGCAGTACAGGATAAGAGGAGATGGAGAAGAGAAGGCTCCAGGAAGACCTTATAGCAGCCTTCCAGTACTTCAAAGGAGCCTAGAGGAAAGCTGGGGAGGGACTCTTGATCAGGGAGTGGAGCAATAGGACAAGGGGCAATGGTTTAAAAAGGAAAGAGAGGAGATTCAGATGAGATCTCAGGATGAAATTCTTTACTCTGAGGGTGGTGAGAGCCTGGCCCAAGTTGCCCAGAGAAGCTGTGGCTGCCCCATCCCTGGAGGTCTAACCATTCTGAGCCTAGAGGAAAGCTGGGGAGGGACTCTTGATCAGGGAGTGGAGCAATAGGACAAGGGGCAATGGTTTAAAAAGGAAAGAGAGGAGATTCAGATGAGATCTCAGGATGAAATTCTTTACTCTGAGGGTGGTGAGAGCCTGGCCCAAGTTGCCCAGAGAAGCTGTGGCTGCCCCATCCCTGGAGGTCTAACCATTCTGTGTTCAAGGCCAGGCTGGATGGGTCTTTGAGCAACCTGGTCTGGTGGGAGGTGTCCCTGCCCATGTCAGAGGGGTTGGCACTGGATGGTTTTTAAGGTCCCTTCCAACCCAAACCATTCTATTACTGCAGCACTATAAGAGTCCCACACTCTTTCAAACTCTGTAGCTCCTGTGACATTCTTGTTAAGGTTTGGTTGGTTGCTCTCTTCCTGTTTGTCACACAGGGCTGTCCCCTGGGTGGTAGCAGAGCAAGTCGCCTGCTCCTCCCTCTGCCTTTGCTCTTTGAGAGCACCTTATGGAGGTCTTGGGTCTCAACCCATCACCACTCCACTGGGAGGAACCACATAATTCTCCCACTCTCAGACCGAGTCACGGATAAATCTCCATGTACTTATCATACCTATTTGAGGGACTTATGATCAGGGAGTGGAGCAATAGGTCAAGGGGTAATGGTTTAAAAAGGAAAGAGGAGATTCGGATGAGATCTCAGGATGAAATTCTTTACTCTGAGGGTGGTGAGACAGTGACAGGACAAGAGGTAACGGGCACAAACTTGAACATAAGAAGTTCCATCTAAATGTGAGGAGGAACTTCTTTCCTGTGAGGGTGGCAGAGCCCTGGCAGAGGCTGCCCAGAGAGATGGTGGAGTCTCCTTTTCTGAGACATTCAAACCCATCTGGACACGTTCCTGTGGGACCTGCTCTGGGTGACCCTGCTCTGGCAGGGGGTTGGACTAGATGTTCTTCAGAGGTCCCTTCCAACCCCATATCATTCTGTGATTCTGTGTTTTTCATATTATGTTAATACTTTTTGCTCCAGAAGGGGAGGATGGGGACTCTGCTGAATAAATATAAGTATCTACAACAGCAGCACCCCTTTCTGAGCTCGACATCTAACTCCTGTTTTTTCCCTTGGGGACCTGTACAATCAGTATAGCTCAAGGTGGGAACTGTCTGATCCAGTGTGGACATCTCCCTTGCAAAGAGGCAAATTGTATCCTTCCATATTATGTTAATACTTTTTGCTCCAGAAGTCTGACCCAGGATGGGGACTCTGCTGAATAAATATAAGTATCTACAACAGCAGCACCCCTTTCTGAGCTCGACATCTAACTCCTGTTTTTTCCCTTGGGGACCTGTACAATCAGTATAGCTCAAGGTGGGAACTGTCTGATCCAGTGTGGACATCTCCCTTGCAAAAAGGCCTATTGTGTCCTTACCATGACTGACTGCACAGATTAGGTCCCCAGGGACTGTAAAGAAAAGCCGTGGAGATGCTCTCATGGGTGGTACCTGTTTTTTTAAGTCAGGTCGAAGTCCATACATGATATCTGTCACATTTCTTTCTAATCAAACAATAATACATAAGCAAAAATAGTCTCCTAAAGCAAGAACACCTCTTGGCTTAATATCTGAGTGACTTTGGACAAACCCCCAGAATAGTAACTCACGTATCTCAAGTATTCTCAAGGAGGCAGCTCATCCAGAGGCATTGAGACCCTTTTCTGCTTGTTTTTCTTCAATCCCCATCACTGGGTACCAGCTCTTTTACAGGACAGTTCACTGAGGTTAATGCCAAGCCATTCCACAGCTGGTGGCTTTCTTCTCTGGCGCTGGCCACCATCAGACCTTTGGGCTCCCTGGGGCTGAAGTCTGCTATAGAAATGGTGCTTTTTGTCATTCCTTCTGCCATTGCCATGGATCTACTGGTCTCTCTCGGGGAGAGTGATTTTAAGAGCAATAGGTACTCAAAATGTATTTGACAGGGATTTTAAAATTTTAGGGAGTCAAAGGTGAAGCTGGCTCCAAGGGAGTGATGGGGCTTTTTGGAACAAGAGGACCAGTGGGACAGAAGGTGAGTACAGTGAGCACCTTGTTAAGGCATCTCCTGTAAGAACCAACGTGTAAAACCACACAAGAAAAATGTAAGCATGTAAAAACCCATCACAGTTTTCTTACAGAATATAATTCTACTTAAAATTTTAGGGAGTCAAAGGTGAAGCTGGCTCCAAGGGAGTGATGGGGCTTTTTGGAACAAGAGGACCAGTGGGACAGAAGGTGAGTACAGTGAGCACCTTGTTAAGGCATCTCCTGTAAGAACCAACGTGTAAAACCACAGTGGGACAGAAGGTGAGTACAGTGAGCACCTATCTATGTTAAGGCATGTCCTCTAAGAAACAATGTGTAAAACCACCGTTGGAACTGTGTGATCTTTAAGGTGCCTTCCAACCTAAACCATTCTATGATTCCCACTCCAAAATTGCTGCAGAGGGGTCCCCAAAGGTCCCCTTGTCTCTTCTTCCACAACTGTAGGCATCTCCTGCAGCAACCCCCTTTTCCAGAGGAAGTGCAGCTCTTCACCATGGTAATTTGTCACCTCTTTCCTTGCAGGGGGAGCCAGGAGAACCAGGCTTGCCGGGCTCTGCTGTGAGTTGGAGCATTTTTCTCTCCTTTGCAAGTGTTGGGTGTGGAGCTGGGCTTGTTTGGCTGATCCTCTCCCCATAGCCAGATGTGTGGGTTGTGGGGTGGGATGCGGGTGATGCTGGCTCCATTGCTGCTCCCCAAAGTCCACGTTCAAAGAGGTTTTGCTGGAAAACCAGCTGTGGGCAGAGAGGACCACAGCCAGAGGTACATTTTAATAGGATCTTATATTTTGCATCAAAGAACATGTGAAATACACATTTATTTATTATTTTAATGCCTTTAGTATATTAGGGGGTCTTGCCAGACATGAACAGATGATGTTTCATGTTCAAATGGCTTAAGAATTGTGACTATAGGTTGTATATCCCATAAGAAATGCATACATCCTTCAGAGATGGGGCTACAAGTGGCTACTCTCAGCACTTAGTGGGTGTGTGTTGCTGGCCAGAGGGAAAACAGTTTTGCTGGAGGACCTGGATAATCTCTGAGTTCACCTTGTTTCCTGAAAAATCGCAATTGGGAAAAAAAAAAGAAGGAAAAAAAAAGCCATTTTGGCTTGCAAAAATGTTTACATGCCTTTGAACTCCACTGTTTCACCTGGAAGACATTCAAGACATTTCCTTCTCTGGAGAGAATAGGCTGCCCAGGGAGGTCTCTGGAGACATTGAAAACCCACCAGGACACATTCCTGTGGGACCTGCTCTGGGTGGACCTGCTCTGGCAGGGGGTTGGACTACATGATTTCCAGAGGTCCCTTCCAACCCCATATCAATCTGTGATTCTGTGAAGAAACCACCAAGTGAAAAAATGGTCTCCAAGGTTGTCCAAAGTGGGAAAAAAAAAGTCCCTGCTCATTTCTTTTCATCTGGGAAAGGAAGAAATAGGAAGGGAAGGAACACAGAAAGGTTGCTGGGACTTTTTCTCAGGCCGTGAAAATACGAGCTTGTTTAATTGTTTTATTACAGTAATAAATATCAGTGTTTCCTTAACCTATTCCCCAATTAAGCCTCTTTGTGTGTGAGAGGGCGATTCTCAGCAACTATCTGTTGCTGTGAAGGCTCCACAGCTGCTCAGCATTGCCCACTGATTGCTGGTCATGGCTGCGTAACCATTTACGAGCCTGGTAATTGCTCACTGAGAAAACAGCCCTCATTCAATTAAGTATTTCCACCCCTGCCTAATTGTTAACAACCTTCTGAGCGCTTTGCCGAAGCGATGAGGCTGCAACGTGCTGTAAGACCTCAGCATCTGGGATCACCCACCACACATAGACATGGGATTGAGCACATTTTTTGAAATTGCTTCCTAGTGAACACCTGAATCCACAGGTGGCAACCAGTAGTAGCGAAGGAATAAAGCAGAGACATTTTGCCTATAGAAGAGCTGGGGAGGGACTCTTTGCCAGGAAGGGTAATGATAGGACAAGGGGAAACGGTTTTAAATTGGAAGAAAAAAGATTCAGATTAGATCTCAGGAAGAAATTTTTTACTATGAGGGTGGTGAGACACTGGAACAGGTTGCCCAGGGAAGTTGTGGCTGCCCCATCCCTGGAGGGGTTCAAGGCCAGGCTGGATGGGGCCTTGAGCAACCTGCTCTAGTGGGAGGTGTCCCTGCCCAGGGCAGGGGGGTTGGAACTGGATGGTCTTTGAGGTCCCTTCCAACCCAAACCATTCTGTGATTCTATGATTCTATGATTTTTTGAGGCTGCTGAGTGCAAAGGAAGCACAGATGGATGCCACCATCCCAGCCAGAAACCATCCCATCGTGGCTGGATGATGTGCAGTTTTCTACTGGCACCCACAGGGATGGGCACTTAATAGAGTTAAGTACCAGAAAATGGTATTTTGTCAATCAGTATGTGAAGAAAACCAAGTAATCCTTCTTTACAAAATATTTAGGGATTCTGCTGGTGCAGTTTAGTAGTAACTGTGCTGTGCTTGAAGCGAGACTGAGATAATAGAGCTTGGGTTTGGCCCTTCATTGAATTTCTAAAATTGCAAAAGTCAGATCAGAGCTGGGGCCTCGTTGGAAGAGCTGTGATATACGACATCCTGGATGAAATTCATCTGACATCAGGTTAGGTGTCTGTTCACTTCCCACATCTGAGTGAGCCATGCTCGGACTTGTTTTATTGGCAGCTTCAGGCTACTCTTAGCCCATGAGTCACATCATCTATTTCAGACACCTGTGTTAGGACACAACATCCTGATGTGACTTGTTCTCCACAAGCCTGGGTCTCAGTTTATCTTCTAAGTGCTCACAGATGATACTTTGATTATTTTTTCCGCAAGTTACTCTGGAGAGCCAGGCTAGGCTGTCTCATCTGTCATTCCCCAAGTCCTCTTCTCCCCTTTTCTTGAAGGCAAACACTACTTGGTCTAGTGTACCAGTACCAAATCTGGCTAGCAGTTCCCATTTTCCTTCAGCTCTCTCTAATTCCATCTTTCATAGCCACAAATTGCCACTAACTCACTGCAAAAAAAAATGTGCTGGCCCCTTTCTGTCCTGCTGAATTCACTCTGAGTAATTTAACCAGCTTGTAAGAAATGTCATCCATTTACTCTTTTGATTTGGGGATCTGTGGGAGTTCCCAGCCAAGTGACAGCATTTATACCTTCTTCTTTTAATCATTGCCTGGAGAATTTCAATGGATCTAACTTCACAACTGGACCTCAAGGCAAATGAGTAAATTCTTGATATTCAAGACACCTCTTTCTCCTTTTTCCTCTTTTCTAAAAGCACTACGTGCTTTTACATTGATATTCCTGCCATGATTTACCCTTTCATATTCATATTGCAGCCTGTGTTATGCCTATTAAGTTGCAATCTTGATCATGCATTAAGGCTTCCAGCTCCTCTTCTTTATCTCCTGTGCTTTGTGCATTAAAATACTGGTAGGTTAACCTGTTATTATCCCTAAATCTCTATTCTGGTTACTCCTCTCTTGCCATTATGCCCTATTTTGGGTTTCCAGGGTCTACAATTACCCATGTGCCTTGGTCCTCACCATCCTGGTTTGCAGTCCTCCTCACTAGGGGTACAAGTTGGAGCTCAGAGGTGTTCTTCACCTCCTCTTGTGAGGTGGGCTCTATAGTTGACCAGCAGCTCATGGATCCTTGCCCTATAACTGAGGAAGCCAGGGTCTGTGTGGTAACATCATTCTCACAGCCACGTGCTTATTCCCTGGGTGTCCTGCTTAAGTTTGCTTGGAGAGCAGGAGACCCACCAGCTCCCTGGACCTTCTGCTTTTGCTTCCAGAATCATGTCTAATGTGCTGCATTCTTTAGTGCTTCCCAGAGCACATCTGCCAAAGCCTGCATTGGAACAGAGCCACCAGCACGTGAGTGAGAGGAAGGATGGGAGAAATCAAGGAGTTTTTTAAAGACTGAGAGCAATGGAGTTCACAAGGGGTGAAAGCAAAGCCGTAACACCTGAAGACAAAGCAAGAAGTGAGAGCAAGTCAGGGGATTCTGCTGAACACTGGGACAATCAGATGCTAAGTGTGGCCAGTCCAGGAAGGCTAACAGAAGGCTGAAGGACACTCTTTTGCCACCGTTACACAACACAGTGTGTCAAAACCAGACAGCACTCTGCAGGGTCTGAAGACTTAAGTGATAACCAAGGCCCTGTAACTCAGAGTGTGTTAGGTGTGAGAATGGTTATAAGCAGAAGTTTAACTTTACCATACATGTTAAAAGCACAAGAGCTCTTGATATAGATAACACCATGGGGCAGACAACTATTAAGGGCTCTTCAGGGTCCCAACAAGAGAGCTCTACCTCCTTTCATTGGTTTCGTGGGGAGTTCAGTGAACCCACGTAGCATCTCAGTTCTCCTGCCTGCAGAGCAGGGGGCCACTTCAAGCCAAAGAAGAGGAAAGGTGGGGTGTAGGGGTCTGTCTTGAGCTTTACAAGTAGGGGTCTGTCCTGAGCTTTACAAGTCTTGGCCACTCAGAGTGGAAAAAGCCATCTCCTAAGAAGTTCTTGCCCTCAGAGGGTGCCCTGATGAGTTGCTGAGCACTGAGATGAGTCTCAGGGCTCTGAGAGAAATGCCTTGAGCACTTCTGATGAGTCCAGGCTGGTCAAAGGAAAGTTAGTCAGCCAGATCTTCCGGCCATGGGTGGAAATCTCTGGCCAGATAGGGTTGGAGGCTTTGGAGCAGGCTGACCCACCTCTGAGATCTAGTGCCTGAGAACAAACATTCTTTACATCTGTGAGGACCAGTGGCAGCTCCCACTGGTCCAGAAACCCAAGAATTTGGGGACTTTTTAGGGAGTATGCTCAGAACTGCCGCAAATAATTGCGGGCAGGACAGTCTAGACAGAAGACACAGCGGGGAAGGGATAAAAGCAGAGATGAAACTCTCAGGTTGAGACTCCCAGCTGCTTCATATGCATCATCCCATCAAATATTGAGCACTGAAGCCCGGGAGGTGGGAAACCTTTTAGCAGAGGTTGCGGCCTACACCGCGGTTTGGAAATGCATGAGCCCTTTGATGTGTTGTCTTCAAACAGATCGATCCTTTCGGGGCGCACCCGTTGGGGGGCAACGTTTCTGCTGATGGGTTTCACGCTTTCCCAGGGTGACCCAGCTTCTTCATCCGAGCATAAACCATAAGCCTGGAGACAAGGCAGGCTCCTCCCTGGCTCCAAGCCCAAGGCTTCGCAGGAATTTGTGCCCAGGAGCAGAGATCCTTGGCTCCTCAAAGACGTCTTTGCGTCACAGCCAGCGCTCAGGACTTATGACTAAGCCCTCTGCGTTGCCGTGTCTTGGTGGTACCTGGTGTCTTCACAGTTAAATGAAGCCTGTTCCAGCAACGCTTTAATAACAGAACCAAATAGCAAGAGCCATTTCCAGTACTCCACCAGTAATTGCCTTTAAACTGTCATTTTACTAGCTTTTATTGCCCGGCCTTTATTTGCCAGGCAGAACACAGGATGTAAATCTGAGGGAACAAATTTCCATTCGGCTTTTTCCCATTGCCTGTTGCTCAGATGTTTTCCTCTTCTTCTCTCTTTTTTTCTTTTTTTCATTTTCCTCTTCTTCTCTCTTTTTTTCTTTTCTTCTTTTGTTCCTTTTCTTTTTTCTCCTGTTCCATCTTTTTCTTGTCCTGGGTGCAGATGAACCTTTAAAAGCACCACCTGCTGACCTCCTTCTCTTCCCCTAGCTGAAGCAGGGACAGACCTGCTGTCATGTCCAAGCTTTATTAAATACCTTCTAGTCCTTATGACAAAGTTTCTTCAGCCCCTGATGAGTAGGAGTCCGTCTACAGTGAGATAAGACCCAGGTCAAAATCTTACTTGTGCTTACCAGATCAAGGCTTAGACCCAGCTGCCTTTGAACCCACCAGCACAATTTGTGAGCTTAACTCTTCCTTAAGCCATTTGGGCTCCTTTCAGGTCAAGAGCAGGCAAGAAACATCTCATGATCTAAGAGAGAAAGAAGAGATGAAGGTGGGGAAGAGACGGGCAGGTGGGGAAGAACAGGAAAACAAGGAAAGGTCTATCCTTGTCATAGGAGACACTGGGGACAACTAAGAGAAATATTAAAGCTAATTCAGAAATCTCTTAACTAGTGCCAGGTTCTTGAGCAGTGCTCAGGAATAATTTTTAACCCATCTCTTTGGATACAGGTGTATAAATCCCTGTCCAGATGGATCTGTACCCAGCTCAAAGCTACCTCAAAAACACCAGGCACTTGAAGGTATCCTAGGCTTGTGAGATTTAACCACCAAACCAAAAGGTTTATTGCCCTCCAAGCAGGCAATCTGTCCTAGCAAACAGAGAAACTAGCTAGCTGGGGGTTTTATGGTCCATTTGCTTCCTCAGATGGAACTTTGTATTGATTGTGTCAATAAATAGCTAGTAAATAAAGGGTTTGCATGAGATGTTTGTGCCTGATCATGTAGGCAGAGCTTGAGGAGCACAGACTTTACCTGATCCAGACATGACCAGCAAGAGCCGTGGAGCCAAGCATCTCGTTGGCTCCCAAATGCTCCTCTTACTCTGAAATGTAAAATCTGCTGAGGACTGGGGAGGGGTTTGAAGAAGGAACACGTTCCCAGCTGAATTTTTATATCTGGGTGATGGATCTGTCCTTGCAGTTTGACCCCACTATCAGGGACAGCACCATCCTGCCCGTGTGTGTCTGGGATGTTTGCTTGTCCCTGCCATCGTGTTTGAAATCTCTGTTCATCACTGAGAGGAGGAGGAATTGGAAAGGTGATGAGTCTGCTTGGCATACAGATCTGGTGGCTGGTGTATTTTTTTTTTTCATATTTCTTTTAAATAAATGTGTTTCCTCTCAACAACATACTGCAAATTAATTCCGAGTAGGGAATGCCACTTGTTCATCTCCTGATCTGCTTAAACAGCCAATTCATTCTCCCCTGGGTGAGCTGAGCCCTGTGCAATCAGTGGCTCAAGTGGGGATAAATCCAATTTCATCTCACATCCAGGTTCTGAAAACTGCCATCGAAATTGGCCAGAATGGATGAGTAGACTGCGGCAGCCTTGTAAAAAAAAAAAAAAAAAAAGAAAAAAGAGAAAAAAAAAGGGCATTTCCAGTAGCTTTTAGTTTGCTACCAAAACAGTGGGAAATACCATGCAAAGAGGCCCCAATGCTGGAGGTGGCTCCAATGTCCCACATTGAGCTGAGCTGCAAAGTGGCTCCACAAGCCAAGAACCTCCAAAGTGTGGCAAAAATTTGTTGTCTTGGAGGAGCACCTCTTTCTGGGCTGGATGAGGATCTCTATTTTGGCTCTCAACTCCCCAGCTGGGAGATCTCCTCTGAACTGCTGCTGTGAGCAATCCCATGCTTGGATCTCCTCATTCACCAAACCAAGTTTCACCACCCAGTGCTGCTTTCCTCAACTGGATCTGAAGCTGCAGACCCAGTGCCTAGGACTGTTGTCCCTCTATGTCACCCTAGACCCCACTAGGACTATGTCCTTCTGTGTGATGCTGCCTGCTTAATGCCCTTTCTCCTCTTTTTAACCTCAGCCATCACCACCTAAATTTTCTTGGCCCAAGACTACTCTTTAGCTGCTGTGTGCCTCTGTTTCCCAAGCTGTAATTATAATTATAAATAAATCAACTTCCAGGTTGCATTCACCAGTGGCTTACAAGCCCATGAGGAACGGGTGCAAAATCCCAATCTCGGGTCTTGGTGCTAGAAGTAGGGTATCTTCTGACCTTCCACTGCAGGAACGTGCAACCCAGGCTCTTATTATTGAGTTTCCACCCTGATGACTTTCTTCACCCACCTTCCCTGCAAGAGCTGATGCAGAAATGACTTTTTCTCCTCTTTCTGGCAGGGTGCAGCAGGTCTTAATGGGAAGAACCTCTGTTTCCCAAGCTGTAATTATAATTATAAATATAAATAAATCAACTTCCAGGTTGCATTCACCAGTGGCTTACAAGCCCATGAGGAACGGGTGCAAAATCCCAATCTCGGGTCTTGGTGCTAGAAGTAGGGTATCTTCTGACCTTCCACTGCAGGAACGTGCAACCCAGGCTCTTATTATTGAGTTTCCACCCTGATGACTGTCCTCACCCACCTTCCCTGCAAGAGCTGATGCAGAAATGACTTTTTCTTCTCTTTCTGGCAGGGTGCGGCAGGTCTTAACGGGAAGAATGGAAACAAGGGAGCCAAAGGTGACAGAGGTCTTCAGGGGCAGAAGGGGAAGCCGGTGAGTAGCAGGAAAGGACGTGGTTCATTTGGTAGTAGAAAGAGGCTCTGTGTCTTTCTCAACCCTGAGTTCATTTCTCCTTCCATACCCTACATGCCTCATTACTGGAGTCAGGTTCTTGCTCAGGATGAGACTTTCCAAAAAGGAGAAGAAATTGTGTTCTAAACTTCCTGGAGAAGTCTCTAATGCATGTCCTGGCCTGATTTTTAGGAAGAGGCATTCTCTGGATGCCAGCAGAGAATCTGTCTATGTCTCTACCGATAGACTTCTAAATTTTCCCATGTTTTCCAGCATGAGTTTTCCTTTGTTACTTACCAAAGGCCAAATTTCTAGTTCCTTCATGTACCAAGTCTGGTTTTGCTTGATGCTGAAACTGCCTGATGGAGAGAGCAGGGAACAAAGCTCTTATGGACCTCATTTTCCTGAGACAAGCTGGTTCTCTGTCATGACAGGATGCCTTCCTTGCCCCCAGATAAATTCTTGCACATGGATGGGACTTCAGTCCTTTATTACTGAAAACACATCTCTAAAGTGATGCTCAGTGAGAAGATGTCTTCACTTTACTTTCTGGAAACAAGCTGAAATCTGGTGGTGGTTTTTCTCTTTTGTTTTCCCATGAGAGAAAAAAAAAAGATGGAAACCAGTAGAAGATTTTGGGAGGGAGCAGGAAAGGAAGATCTCACTGAAACTAATGAACATCCTCTAGATCATTCAGGTAGTGCCAGACTTCTAGACTTTGAATGACAGACCCAATTTCCAGTGGCAGTGACCAACACAAGAGCTGAGGGAGACCATCTAACATCTCCACGGTGCAGGTCCTCATGATTTTTGCCACTCCATTAGCTCCCAAGCTTCAGTAACATTCACTCCAACACATAGGTCCTCAAGGGTTACTTTCCAAACATTGCATAGCATAAGCTACACAGCCTGTCTCAGTCACCCATTTTCTACAAGGTCATTCCCTGTCCCACTCCAGAGATGGCAGTAGGGGACCATAATCTGCAAATTTTCAAGGAGCCCCTGGTGGTTAAAAGCACAATATAAACACGAGGTGATGCTATTCTTTACCTTTCAGGCTATGTGTGATTTGTTTGTCTGTATTTTTTTTAATTTAGGGAGGAAAAGGTGATCCTGGGGCCACTGGTGACATTGGACAGAAAGGAACAAAGGTAAGAGATGGGTGAGATCTCCATCCTTGTAGATATTCGAAAGCTGCCTGGACATGGTCCTGGTCAAACAGCTTTAGGTGACCCTAGCTCAACCCTCTTCCAATATCAACCTCTGCATGATTCTGTGAAATAAAGGTTGGGATAAGCAAGGAGGAGAGCTCCAGGCTGGAGTCAGGGTGGTGGAGAAGGATGCTGTGAGCAAGGAACGAGCTTGCAGCACCAGATCAGGGGTTAGCCCTGTGCACACACAGAGTTCCTCCCTCCTGCCCTCACCTTGGTTTAACATCACCACCTGTGATCTGCTTTCTCCTCAGGGCTTACGAGGGCTTCCAGGACGCATCGGTGCTCCTGGAGCTGAAGGCATGAAGGTGAGCTAAGCCTTGTTTTCTGTCCTGCTCTATCTGTCCTATTTCCAGCAGTGTTTCCCACTCAACCCCAGGGTAACATCATCCATGAAGAAGCCACGCTAAATCTGGCAGGAGAAGTCCTTCTTGGTGGCATGGGGCTGCAGCCTGCAGTACAGGGGGACATGGCCACACAGGGAGCCATGGATGAGGAAGTTTTGAGGCTTGCAGAGAATTCTTTTATTATCTGGGGTTAAAAAAAAATCCCAGCCCCAGCCCAAATCCCCTCCTGGTCTGTGGCTTAGCAACTGCCTGGACTCAATTCGCAATTACTGCTGGGCACATTGCTCCAATTGTCAACACCATTGGTCCTCCCTCCATAAACAGGGATAATGACCCTTAATGGTCTCTTTTATGAAGGGTTTTGAAAAGCTTGATAAGAAGTAAGGGAGCTGTTGGTAGCTGAGCCAATGGGATATGTTGTTATTGTTGTTGTTGTTATTATTGATATTTCCCTTCATCAGCCTTGGCCTATTGGGTAAATGAAGTGCTGTTCAGTGAATTTCCCACCTACTTTCATGTAGGTGGACTTGAAATCAGGGCAGCCTAAAATTTATACTGGTCTGAAGTAGGACTCTACCTATACTTAGGCTTTCTGTTACCAGGAGTGTCATGTTCCCCCTCAAGCACCACTTACCTTGCCATTTCAGAGCCACTTTTCCCAATGTTTTAGGGGCTGTGTGCACTTACAGCCCACCCAGTGCTTTTTCCATCCACAGGGAGAAATTGGCAGTCCTGGAAAACCAGGAATCCCAGGATCAGATGGACCACACGGACAAAAGGTGAATATCTAAATTATGTGTCTGCCTACAAGTAGGAGGTTTCCTAAAAGTTTTGTAGATGCTGCAAATCCACCTCTGCAACATCATTCTTTGTTTCAAAGGGCACAAATGGGGGTTTTCTGAATCTGTTCCTATAAACCAGCATAGACCTGGGTGAAGATGCTTGGACATCTGGGGTGGGGACTTCTTCACTTGCCTCTGCAAGACCCAACTGGGTCCATCCACCCCAGCCCTGAAGCTCCACAAGCACTATGGGTTGTGTCAAGTAATGGGGCTTTTTAATGAAATCTCTTTCAGTCTCCTTGAGTACCACCAATGTGTGAGCTGAGAGACCCTGCTGGGTCCCACTCACTAAATAATACTGTAATCTGAAGAAGAGTCCATTCATTCATCCAGCAAATTACAACCTTACCAAGTCCCTGATTTTATCTTGGCTCCTTCCAGGGTGAAAAGGGAACATCAGGAGACGATGGTGCCTCGGGGATTCCTGGGGAGAAAGGAGAAAAGGTTAGTGCTGACCAGACTGCATGGAGCTGCCATTTATAAAGGAATAAATCCCACATCCATCAGGTCAAGTTAACAAAATTATACACTTTCTACATCACAGGTACCCTTTCCAGTGGGCAAATGTCAACTGTCTGAAGCATTAAGGCTGGGACCGCAGTTGGAAAGGGCAGGAGACAGAGGTCTCCTTAAATTCACCCTCTGCTGATGTGCAAAACCCCAGGAGGGTGCCTGATTAGTATGAGGAAAAGCCATCCAAACCCTTAATTGTCAGAGTTTATTCAACACCACCATGCCCAGGGTAGAGGGTGCCTGGGGTGCTGTGGGGCAGAAACAGTGGGTAACGCTGCTACCTCCTGGGCACATTGGCCATGGGAGTGGGAAAGGTCTCCAAAGGGATCTGCTCCTGGACTCAGCTCCCTGAAGAGACCCCACTTTGGTCACTCCCCACTGATTTTGCCTCTCTGCATTGCCTAATTTCTCATTTTCTTCTCCAAAAGAAAAAGTCTCAAATTTTGTACCTTCCTATGGGGATAATTCTCATTTTCTTCTCCAAAAGAAAAAGTCTAAAATTTCGTACCTTCCTATGTGGATTAAAAATGGGTTTTCAGTTAAAACAGAAGCTGTTTTGAAAAACACACAGTAATCCCAGCAGTTTCCATCAAGTCATTTGGAATTTTCCAGCCCCTCTGGCCCTTCTCACATACAGTTCCACCATTTAGTCCCCAGCTGATCTGGGATCTTAAAGAATTTGTTGCTTTTATTGATAACAGCTTTCGTGGTCCTCATCCCCTGGTGGTCATCTGTGTCAAACACTAAGAGTCCTCTTGTCAAGCAACACCCCTGGCTCACTAAGTCTCTGAGCTGTGAATTGTTGGAGGCTGGGAGATTATTTTGGGGGAAATATCATCCCTTCCTCTCTTTTTCTTCTCCTCTCCCACAAACATCTGCTTTTGGCCACTGCTGAAGGTTGGGTGTTGAGCTGACTGGAGGTCTTTCCTTCTGCTGTGTTTCATGGGAGCCTTTTCTGTTCACAGCAGCTCCAGGAGAAAGCTCAACAGTGCAGTTAAGTAGGAATCATTATTTTTTCTTCCAGGGTTGTAGACTAAAGGACTCTGCTTATATATTCAAGGAGAGTTGGGCATTAGAAATTATTGGGCATCGTCCCAGAGAGGAGAGTATCCATGTCACCAAGCAGTGAGGTGCCTTCTGGACAAGTAAAGGTGGAGAGCAAAGCTAAAGTGATCTCTGCCATCCTACTGATGCTCTGTTGATAGCCCAACAGCAGACAAAGTGGAATGTAAAGAGTGTCCCCTTATTGCCAGTGCCATGAAAGTGTCTGGGTAATGTTTACTGGCCCATCTCTAAACCAACCTGTGCTAGATAGGAGCTCTGAACTGCTCTCTGTTGGTGATTCCTAGGGAGCCAAAGGAGTTCCTGGCTTGGGAGGCTTCAAAGGACAAATGGGATGGCCTGGGAGGACTGGAGTTGCTGGACCAGATGGCCCTCAAGGGCCACAGGGTGAACCAGGGCCCCAGGTGAGTAGCAAGTTCTCGACAGCATGCCCTAAACCCTACTGAGATCTGCATCTCACATCCTCATGTGACATAGCACCCCAGATGTGTTGCTGTATGTCACCATGTGCACATACATCTCCCCACCTCTTACAAGCTGGCACCTGAGGTGTCCCACCTTGAGGTGGCTCCAAAGTCTGCTGTCTTTCTGTGGGATCTTGGTCAACTTACTTCATCTCTTGGTGCATTTAGCACCGAAGATTTTTTTTTTCACTTTCCTCTCTTCTTTTCATATCTGCAGTATAAGATGTGACCTCTCAGTGAAGAAAGGAAGGCTGATAATTTCAATTTATCAGGGCATCAAGTGCACCCCTCCTGTTGCTAATTATCTGGGGAGCAGGATGCCAAGGTTTCGGAAGGAGCTGGTGGCTTTCAGACCCCATTTGTGGGCCATACTTAATAAGTGTCTTTGCATGCAAGACATGCTGAGCACCTTTTGAAATCTAACAAAAAGGCTTGGAAATGAGACATGCTAATACTGTTTATGAGCAGGAACATGCTGCCCCCAGATTCTATGGTAATGAAGAGTGTCTTGCTGCTGCCAACACAATGCAGAGGGCCAGATACTAGAGATTAATGTTAATCACCCACCCTTAGACAGCATCCATTAAGTAATGAAGAACTTTTCAACTGAAAGAAAACTGGAAATTAAAATACCCTTCTCAGTTGTTTTGGTGGGACTGGCTGAGTTTTGGGCTCGGACAAGAGAATACATAAATTAACATGAAAGAACCGAGAACAAAAGAGAAGCTAAAGTTGGGTGACTACCTGGAAGACCAACTGTTTCCCATAGCTGTCTCAGGGATAGCTCTGTTTTAACTCCTGACAGCCCGTGAGTCTGGCAAACATCTGGTGTGCCCTGTTTCACCCTTGAGTGATGTGTCCTTATACCACTATGTGTAAGGATTTCATCTGCGTGTGTGTTCCTACATATATGTAAAGTCTGCATGTACACACGTCCATACATATGGCTTGTAAAATACTTGAGTTTTCTGCTAAATGGGAATTAAATTGGGCTGCTGCTTTGCAAACAAGGAAAGGAGGCAGAGATTCTGGCAAGATTTTCTTCTGTAAACTGCTGAATTAAAGCCAGATAATCCAAACTCCGATCACCGATGATTATCCTTCACCAAGTGAGAAGCATGTTCAATATCATGGAGAATTTAGCAGATGAGTAGCTGCATCTGACAGATCAGGGCTGTGCTGGTAAAGATACACTGCTGAAAATTGCTTTGGCTTTTGAAGATAGAAGTTGGACCAATTCAAACCCAATTTTGTGTGGAAGCCTCATTAGATCAGCTCTCCTGGGTCTCAGAGATCTCCCTGTCTTAGAACCCCTTGCAGGACTTCTGATTTGGATGGTATAAAGGTGGCTATGCAGGTTTATCCTGGGTCTCAGAGATCTCCCTGTCTTAGAGCCCCTTGCAGGAGACTTCTGACTTGGATGGTATAAAGGTGTCTATGTAGGTTTTAATGATTTTTAACCTGGTTTTCCCCCATATAGAGGAAGAGTATCACATGTTGGGAAAGTCTGTACCTTGCTCTTCGGAGCTGCAAGACAAAAAATACCCAATGCTGAGTATTAAGTCTTAGAGAAGATGTGATTTAGGAAAGAAAAATGCAGGTGGTGCAGCAAGGTCGGCATTGCAGTGATGGCCAGATGGAACATCTGTATTGTGTTCTGAGATGTCATCAAATAAAAGCTTGACCTAGAGCTGGTCCACAGTGCAAGGGCACAGAGGATGCTCTGGGCCTTCAGCTGCAGCTGAATCCTACCCAGTTCTTCACCACTGGCAGGGTCATTATAGGAAGGACTGCCCCAAACCTTTCCCTAAAAGGGTGCAGGTGTAGAAAGACCCTTCCAGAACAATAAAAAACGGACTAGATCCAGCTTCAGACCACAGCAGCAATATTATTCTTCTTTCCCTGGCTCCCCAGGCTGTGCCTTGCAATTCAAAATATATCAAAAAGAATCACAGAAGGGAGGAAGGAGCTGAAAGTACAAGGCCCCCTCATGTATGTTTAAAGAGGCTGAAAGTTTTTGCATTAGCCACAAGCACTACATGCTTAGAAAGCCATGTATGAGATAATGAATGGCTTTTGTTTGGACGCTGATTAAAGAGAGACTGTGAGGTGCCACTTTCTACACCCACACTGCTAACTTGTTTTTTCCCTAAATTAAAAGAGAAAGTCCCTGGGTCTGAACAGCAGCAGCAAGGCTCCCCTCATTTCTAACGTGGGAGGGTATTATCTCCAGCTGCAAGACCTTCTCCCCCTGCTGAGACTCCATTTCTTAAATTAGTGCCAGGACAGGCAGGGTGTCAGGGAGAGAAACAGCCTTCCACCCGCGCAACATCCGTCCTTTCTGCAGGGAGGGACCATAGGAAAATCCTCATGATTTCCCAGGGCGAAGAGGGCAAAGCCCAGGGCTCTGACCCATCAGGTCTGATCTGTCTGTGGAGCATCTGAAATCCAGAGGGCTCTGAATATCTTGTCCTACTGATGCCCAGGTTGGGTTTTAGTGGGAAAACCCCAACTGGTGGTGTGGGATATCTCTGGAGGGTACTTGGGCACTGCTGACTGGGCTGCACTCTTCTTCTCTAGGGTCCACGAGGGAAAAGAGGGAGACCTCAGCTCTGCCTCAGGGGACCCCCAGGCATGGATGGGAGAAAAGGAGAAATGGTCAGTATGGGGATCACAGAATCACAGTATCACAGGGGTTCGAAGGGACCTCTGGAGATCATCTAGTCCAACCCCCCTGCCAAAGTAGGTCCACCCACGTCCAGGTGGGTTTTGAATGTCTCCAGAGAAGGAGACTCCACCACCTCTCTGGGCAGCCTCTTCCAGGGCTCTGCCTCGCTCAAAGTGAAGAAGTTCCTCCTCACATTTAGATGGAACTTCCTGTGTTCCAGTTTGTGCCCATTTCCTCTTGTCCTGTCACTGGGCACCCCAGGAAAAAGCCTGGCCCCATCCTCCTGACACCCACCCTTTAAGTATTTATAGGCATTGATGAGATCCTCCCTCAGTGTTCTCTTCTCCAAACTAAGAAGACCCAATTCCCTCAGCCTTTCCTCATCAGTTAGATGTTCTAGTCCACTCATCATCTTCGTAGCCCTTTCCTGTACCCTCTCCAGTAGTACCCTGGATGAGCCAGCCTCGACTCCCAGTGGCATTCCTCACCATCCTGCAGCAGTGCAAAGCTCTGCACTGGGACTGGATGAACTCTGGCTCTTCTAGGTTGCATTTCTTGGCTCTCCAAATTTTGCAACAGCAAAAGCACAGGGAGAATTTTACCCCCACGTGCCAGGCATTGGACATCAGCAATGCTGCCTATGCTTCTGCCTGAAGATCTCACCCACTGGGACAACTGTGGTGAGCTCTGTAGTCTGCCAGTTGATTTATATAAGACTTCTTTGAGAAAACGTCATATTTTGGGGCCAGCACATCCTCAGCTGTGCTTGGCACGGCAGACCAGGAGTAAAACCAGTACTCAGTGCAGTGCTTCAGTAACGCTCAGCCTTTTAATGCACATCAGAATATCTAAATAAGAGCTTAATCTCAAGATCCCAACCTGCAACCCATGTTCTGGATCGATCCCTACACGCTGCAGGTCCTGCCAACACTGACTCATGGGCTTTTTGCAGCAGGAGGTGGCTTTGCATTAGCTCCATGTGTCCGTGCTGGGTAATGCAATTTGTCCCTTGTGCTCCAACCCCTGTAAGTGAACATGGATTGAGAAGAATGACCATCGCAGTTTTAATTCGGGTCATTCTTCCTGTGCTCCTTTTCCTTTAATATTTTTAAGTATTTTTAATCAACAAATCCAGTTTTCGCCAGTTTTGGTCGGAAAACTTTTCAAGGTATTTTCTCCTAGGAGGCAGAAAGCCCTGTTGGCCAACCTCAGCATCTCCCTGTGTTTTGCCTTTTCAGCACTGGGTTTGCAATCCCAGTTACAATCTTCTGCTCTGTCTGGTTCCCAGAGGTTCTCTGGAGGCCAGATCCCTTTCACACCTCCATCTCAGCTCTTGTGGTCCCTTACAAATTGTGAAACTGTAGGTTATTGTTTGGATAGAGCAGCATTCCCCCCAAAATTTGGGAACTTGCACCCAGCTCTCTGATACACATTTTTGTTCTTGCTTCCTTGCGTGTGGATGAGTCCGTTCCTTCCTGCTCAGTGAGCTACTCACAGATATCCCTAGAATTTAAGGGAAAACACGTGAGCCTTTTTTTTTTTTTTCCCCCATCTCCCTTCCTGGTGCATCCTTTCCTCTCTAAGGTGCAACTTATTCTTGGAGCGTTTAATGGTCAATCTACTGAGCTTTTGTAATGACTTAAGTGTTTTTAACAGGGTGAAAATGGTCCAGCCGGCCAGAAAGGAGAGAAGGGAGATCCTGGTCTTTCTGTGAGTACTTTAGACCAAGATCACATCCTATTACACAAGCCTGAATAGAGAAAATAGGGCAAACTACTCCTAAGAGGTGTAGAAGAGGAGGGAAATGCTGAGAAACAGATTCATTCAGCGAATATCCGGGAAATGAGAGTGTTGGCCATTACCCAGAGACGTCAAACATGCACAGGCTGGAGTGGGAGAGGTGCTGGGCTGTATGATGCCAAGCCCAAAAAAAAGACCCAGAGCCCAAGGCACATTTTCCCTCTCTCATCCTCCCTGGGATGCTTCAGACTCATACTTGGCAGATAGGATCAGTGCCAATGCCACAGGGCTGATCAAAGACAAAGAAAGAACAAGAGAGAGCAATTCGTCCTGTTTTCAAAGTGATTAGGGAGCTGGCATTGGTGCAAAAGCTGCTTGCTCTGGGTCTACAAAGCCTGAAGAAGGAGTGGTCGACCCACAGGGGTTGGGGAAAAAATTCCTTTTGTAGGTCCCCTAACATTAGGGTCTCCATCCTGTTGGCTGAGCAAATGTGTTTTGTGTCACTTGACTGATAGGACAGGGTACTTCCACCTTTCCAATGTGTGGAGGACAGGCAGGATGAGTTTTAGCATGAGTGCTATAGGCAAGAGTGCCCTATGTGTGGGCCACTAAAGATCCCACCTCCTTGCATAGTAATTGCCCCAAAATTTGTCATCCCTAGAAGGAATAAAAGGTAGTGACTGTGTGAAGTGCAGTAGGATACCAACTGTCACACATGGAAGATGCTCAACTGAAGCACAGTTGGCTGTCCCGAGGGTCAGGGATACATTCAAAATCCCTAAGACCAGATGTCTCCCTTGGTGGGGAACATCATTAGCCTGGAAAAAGACAGAGGAGAAGAACAAAATGTGGTGCAGCTACATCTTGTCGAGATCTAGTGCGACAGCCCATCTCCATGGGTCAACCCTGCAGTGTGATTTGAGCAGCCCCTTTGCATGGGTGCAGGTGGCTTGATGAAGCTTCTCAGAGGTGAGGGACATCTGCAAGACCATGGCTTCAGGGAAAGTGCCAAAAGGTTGTGGAGACTCACTGGAAAGCCAACCCAGACTTGAGGTGTGCCATGGTCCTCACATTGGGCTTGGGGGTCTCAGCTTCTTAGGGCAAGAGGAGCCAGATACAGGATGTCCATGAATTTGCAAAGGGAATCATTTCCCCGATGAGCCACAAAACTTGAACCAAGGTCCCTGTGACACCAAATGTACATCTGTGATCTCGACCATACCCAAGCTGAGATGGCTTCAGTTGTGATCCTAAAAGCCACTTCCAGCTCACAGAGTAGAGGGAGATGGTGCCAGGGTAGAAAATCACCACTAACCTCTGCTTTCCCCCCACGGCACAGGAGGAAGAGGTGAAGGAGGTGGTCAGGAGCGAAATGAGAGGCAGATGCGGTAAGTCGGCCGGCGAGACGTGCTTGGGGCCACCACTCTGACACCTGCCAGTGACTAAATTGGAGCAATTTGAGTGCCAGCACATGCTGGCTCGGCAGAGCAAATATCACCCCATTAGCAGCAAGCGGAGACGCGTCCCCTTCTCCACGCTCGGAGATGAGTGCGGGCTTCTGGGCCACGAGGTCTCTGCCATAGTCCTGACCTTCTACTCAAACTCTTAATTTTTTCCCTTTAAACCCTCTCTCTTCCCATTTCTTCCCCCGTGGTTTTGTCAGCAAAGACATCTCCATTTCCCCGCTGATTGACTAAAGGCGCTGGGTCACGGGGGGGGGAAGTCTGGAGCTGCGTTTTGCTTAATAACAACCTTTTAATTCCTGTCTACTTCGTGGCACTTCTTGACACACAGACCTCTCTCCTCTGCGGTGGTGAATAACTCACAACCAGTGCCACACCAGTAACAAAACCCACTGTGTTTGGGGATGGTTTTACCCCAGAATCCAAATATCACAAGGGTGTCAGGCTTTTGGGGTCTTGCTTTCCTTGCCCTGCAGAGGTCCAGATACACAGAGATGCCCCATTCCTGCCCCGCTCCCTGGGGTCAGCACAGGAAGGACATGGACCTGTTGGAGTGGGGCCAGAGGAGGCCACGGAGATGCTGGGAGGGCTGGAACCCCTCTGCTGGGAGTGGGGGCTGAGAGAGTTGGGGGGGTTCAGCCTGGAGAAGAGAAGGCTCCAGGGAGACCTTAGAGCCCCTTCCAGTCCCTAAAGGGGCTCCAGGAGAGATGGGGAGGGACTCCTGATGAGGGAGGGGAGCCATAGGATGAGGGGGAAGGGTTTGACACCGAAAGAGGGGAGATTGAGATGGGATCTGGGGAAGAAATTTTTCACTCTTGAGGGTTGGTGAGACCCTGGCTGAGGTTGCCCAGAGAAGCTGTGGCTGCCCCATCCCTGGAGGGGTTCAAGGCCAGGCTGGAGGGGGCTTGGAGCAACCTGGTCTGGTGGGAGGTGTCCCTGCCCATGGCAGGGGGTTGGAACTGGATGATCTTGAAGGTCCCTTCCAACTCTAGCCATTCCATGGCTCTATGGCCAAGGAGTGTTTGGGTTCACCACCACTTGCCAAGATGCTTTAGCCATTAAGCTGGACTTGCACTCATTTCTGCCTGGAGATGTTAGGGGGCATTAAAATGCCTTGAAGCGGGAAGGAAAAGGATGAAAAATATTCCATAAAATCAGGTACTGCCTGTAATAATAATGATTTTGTTGAAAAATCTTATTTACATGGGGGAAAAGGATGAAAAATATTCCATAAAATCATGTACTGCCTGTAAAAATACTGATTTTGTTGAAAAATCTTGTTTACATGGAAAAAAAAAAGAAGTAGCAAACAAACTATGCCCTGTCTGTCTTACGTTTGCAGATTGTGGAGGCGAGTTGGGAAGGACACTCATGGAAAGGGGTAAGGGTAGCAAACAAACTATGCCCTGTCTGTCTTATGTTTGCAGATTGTGGAGGTGAGTCGGGAAGGACACTCATGGAAAGGGGTAAGACTGCTAATATGACTGTGTACCTCAGTGATCTGTGGGCTTTGGCCAACAAAACATCGTGTTGTGACTTGTCTTCCACATTGTGTTGTGCAGTGACAGTAATTTTCTTGAGCTGCAACTGTTTTTCAAAGCATGGTGGCTTTCAAACTGGGCCACCAGATTTCATCATCGCTAACCCAGCAATTAAATCCACAGGCCTGGAGGCAACTGAAATCAACAGGCAGCTCCAAGGGTTCCAAAAGTTCCAGCTTTGGGAACGCACCAGAAGGGATGGTGAAAGCCAGGAAGAAATGCTGAACAAAACCCAGGGGATGACCATGTTGATGACAATGGTGAAGCCCGTCATGGAGCCACCTTCACTTATTGCAGGTAAGTGCAGCTGCATGCTTTCCATCTTTCCAGCCATGTCAGATGGTGTCTTCTGGAATACCCCATGAACCCAGTGCTATATCCTCTTCCCTAGGACTGGGCAGAAAGGAGGTAGTGGTGGGATTTCCAATGAGGGCTCCCATGCTGAGATCCCCTGTGCCCAAAAGGGCTGGTCTGTGGCCTCGAGACGAGGTGAGCTGGTGCTCCTAGAAGGGTTGGCAGCAGAGAAAAAAGCCAATGATGATCACCTCCTACAAACAGATGTTCTTTGAAAGGCTGGAAGGAGACAGCCATTTTCAGGCTGATTTTGGTCCCTTCTCCCCACCATGTCCATTGTAACTTTTACTAAAGCTTTCTACCAGCCAGAAATTACATCTCTGAGACCAAACACTTGAGCTATTACAGACTACTTTTGCTCGGGGCCTCAGGAACCCTTTAATGGGTAAAGCTACTGATTACAGCTAATGGGAAAACAACCGGCTCTATTTCTGTCCCTTTGTGTTGCCCAAGAGAGAGAGGGAGAGAGAAGGGCCAAGGACAGGACAAATGCAATACAGACCTGCCTGTACACAAACACCAGTGGGTTTGTGGCACTTTCTCACACTGCATCTACCTCTATACTAGGCAACTGAACAGGGCAAGAGGCATGATCCAAGACTGGACACACTTTTAGGTATTATCAAGCTCCCAGTAAGATCTTGAGCATCACCAGGCACCCAAGGTGCAACCATCATTCTTGGGGGTGAAGGCTGCTCAGCCATAGGGAGGTGATCAATGTCGTGCTACTTGCCCATGGGCTGGAGGGAGGTTTGTGGTCCACTCTGTAGGCACAGCTAATGGGGTGGTTCCCCAGGAGGCTCCAGGACCACCTTGGCGTGCATCAGGACACACTGTCCCAGTGGAAAAGACCAGGATTTGAGCCTGAGGGATACAAGGAAATTTATTAATGCTTGGCTGAGAACAGTCATCTTTCCAGGGAGAGGACAGGATGGGGCTGGTTTAGCTGCATTTCAGATTGTCTACCCTTTCTTCTGACCAAGAACCACTGTAGTGAGCCTTATGGAGAGGGAATGCTTGGCTCAACTTCTTGCAGACTTGATGAACAATATGGTCCTCTTGACACAGAAGAGTTGCTTTCTGCAGACTGACCATGGAGCAGACCTCCATTTTTCCCCTGTGTAATCTCCTAAGGACCAGACAAATCCCCCAAAATCCTAGCTAAGCCTGGAACCAGACCCCAACCACCACTGCCTTCCTCCTGGCCACTCCCAGAATCACAGAATCTTCATGGTTGGAAAGGACCTCTGAGATCACCAAGCCCAACCATACACACACAAAAGACCCCCACTATCTCAGCCACTAGGGCATGCCCTGAAGTGCCACATCTATGTGCCTCTTAAATACCTCCAGGGATGGTGACTCCACCACCTCCCTGGGCAGGCTGTTCCAGTGCCTGACCACTCTCTCAGTAAAGTCATTCTTTCTAATATCTAATCTAAATCTCCCTTGCCGCAACTTCAGACCATTTCCTCTGGTCTTGTCGTTCGTCCTTTGGGAGAAGAGGCCAACACCTGCCTCTCTACACCCTCCTTTCAGGGAGTTGTAGAGGGCAATGAGGTCTCCCCTCAGCCTCCTCTTCTCCGAACTAAACATGCCCAGTTCCCTCAGCCTCTCCTCGTAGGACTTGTTCTCCAGACCCCTCACCAGCTTGGTGGCTCTCCTCTGGACATGCTCCAGCCCCTCAATGTCCTTCTTGCAGTGAGGAGCCCAGAACTGGACACAGCCCTCAAGGTGAGGCCTCACCAGTGCCCAGTCCAGAGGCACCATCACTGCCCTACTCCTGCTGGCCACACTGTTCCTGATACAGGCCAGGATGCTGGTGGCCTTCTTGGCCACCTGGGCACACTGCTGGCTCATGTTCAGCCAGCTGTCCACCAACACCCCCAGGTCCTTTTCTGCTGGGAAGCTTTCCAGCCACTCTTCCCCAAACCTGTAGCTTTTCTTGGGGTGGTTGTGACCGAAACGCCGGACCTGGCAGTAGGCCTTATTGAACCCTTCCCCCAAGTGCTCTCCTGACGTCTGTGTCATGCCTCGACAGACATCATCCGTCTGGGTTTAAACTCACTTTACATCCAGGCAGCCTTGGGGATCGGGGCGGTTTTCAGATCGATGGGGCCTACCACACGTTATTGAATCGCCGCCGCCGCCGTCGCCAGCCGACAATCCCATTACGGCCCGGGTCTGAGGCAGGAGGGCTCATAAATCGCCCCGCTAAGCGATGAGTGCGGATGGGTGCCCGAAATGTTAACAGGATTCTGCAATCGGAGGGTTGTTACTGCCAGATTACAATCGCTCCTGGCTTTTCAGAGCTTTGCAGATTTACAAAACTCCGGCCTGACATTTATCTCCTGCAAACAACCACAAATACTTCCATTTTCTCTGACTAACACCCAACCTTTCGGACTGAGTTGTTTAACGCCATTAAGAATTTTATTGCCGCCGGTTCCTCCCTCCCCTCGCCGATTGCTCTGTGACATTTATTAAGAGAACTTGTTAGCCAGCGGAAAGCCATGCAAGGCTCCAATGATCTATATTTAAATGGTGGCTAATTTGTTTGCGTGCCCTCGTTACGTGTGATTTCCATTTGCTTCCCCAGCGGCTCCCCGGGCGCAGCAGATAACAGGTCCCTCTCAGCGCAAGCGGCGAGAAGCCCACAGTCAATTACCAGGTGAAACGCACTGAATTAAGTGACATTTAAGGAAGTCACTTCCCCGGGTGGGAAGGGCTTTTTGGCACCGAGATCGAGGGGGACACGGCACTGAAAGATTTCCACGTGCCAACCAGAAAAGCCTTGAATCTCAGTTTTGGACTGGGCTTAAAACGGCTTCTTTTGCCCCAGGAGATTGAGTTGGTGGTGAACAAACTGGAGGGTGTTTCCACCCGATCCCGTGTTGTCCACCATCACCAGTGAGAGTCCCCCAGGCAACACCCTGAATGCACCCACCCCTGCAAAGACCCCCCCCTTCCCAGGACCCAGGGGTTAATTTCCCCTTTGCAAAGGTCAGAGGCCACCATGATGGGCACCACAGGGGTGGATGGTGCCACAGAGCAACAAGGACCCTTGTGCTCATCCCACTATGGAAATCCCTTGCTGGATGCCCCTTCCTTGGTTCTTTGCTGCCCCTTTTGCTCTGACAGTCCCATTGCTCTGGAGTAAGGTTCCCACTATGGAAATCCCTTGCTGGATGCCCTCCCACCTTGGTTCTTTGCTGCCCCTTTTGCTCTGACAGTCCCATTGCTCTGGAGTAAGGTGCTGACTGTGGGGCCGGACCAGCCCCACACATTCACCCAGGGGGGGAATCAGGGGTGGCAGAGCGTGGCCTTTTCCCACCTGGTTCCAAGAGACGAGTGGGTGGGGGGGTTGTTTCCCTGCAGCCCCCTGCCTGCAGCCGATGGATGAAGGCTCCTGCCAGCACTATGCCCTGCTCTGGTATTACCACCTGGAGGCAAACACCTGCCGGCCCTTCATCTTTGGGGGATGCCGAGGGAACAGCAACCGCTTCGAAACCAAGTGGAAGTGTGAGCAGAAGTGCAAAACCTCAGCAGGTAAGGCATCCCCTGAGCCCTCCAACCCTCACTGAATTTCACTGAATTTTTAGAGTTGGAAGGGACCATAGAGATCATCTAGTCCAACTCCCCTGCTAAAGCAGGACCACCCAGAGCTTGTCAGAGCATGTTACTCAGGACTGCATCCAGGCGGGTCTTGAAAATCTCCAAAGAAGGGGACTCCACACCCTCCCTGGGCAGCCTCTTTCTCCAACCAGGAGTGAGGGCAAAGCAGGAAAAAACCCCATCCAGAACCCTTCCACCTCCATTGCCTTATGGTGCCCCACCAGGATCAAGCAAGCACTTGGAGGGATGCCTCTAGTTTGTAAGGTCCCTCCCACTTTCAACTTACTTTGGTCCCTCCCAGCCCCTCCTAGGAGCTCCTGGACATCTCCTCCCTTGGGCCACATCTGCTTATGGGATACAGGTGGATCTGTGGGTGATGAGGAAGGTCCCTGTGGGCACCAGCATTGGGTTCTGATGGTTTCCATGCCCTGAGTTCATTCACTTCATGCATTCTGAGGGCTGAGGTTTGCAGGGCTTAGGAAGGTCCCTGTGGGCACCAGCATTGGGTCCTGATGGTTTGCATGCCCTGAGTTCATTCACTTCAAGCATTCTGAGGGCTGAGGTTTGCAGGTATTTGGAGGCTGGTGCCCTCTGAACCATGGATTGGTCCATCCAAACACCTCTTCCAAGCTTCAGGCAGAACCTGAAGCTGCTGGAGCTCTCCAGATCTAGACCACAAGCAGTTCCAAACACCCATGCATTGGGGCCACACCTCATCCAGGGTTTCAATGGGCAAAACTCACTCCTGGAAGCCCATCTGGGCTCCTGTTGCCTGATCGAGGGTTTGTGTGGTCAGCCTGTGTGGCTCTTCCTCCTCTCCAGGCATGTGGTAGCTCACTACAGGGGAAATGAGCTCCTAGTGGCCCTGAGGGTAATGCCAACACTGCTGCTGCCGAGCAGTGCACGAGCTGTGGCTGAAACCAGCCTTCCTAGAAAGATACTTCTCTCTCAGCCTTTCCTCTGCATGGAGACAATCCCTCTGGGCATGAGAAGAAATGCATTAGTTCTCAACAATGTATGAAAAAAACCCAACAAACCCGGTGAGATTCACCTGCTCTGTCTTCAAAGGCATTTTAAAAAAGAGAAAGAAATTCAAGGCAGAGATCTATAAGCTGAGGTTCATTCCAGAGTTTTCAGGTGTTCTGTGTTTTGTTGGTTGTGTTTAAGGCTGGCACCCAGTATGTATAAACTCAAGACCATTGCACAGTCTTTTGTCATCCACTTGAATCTCTCTGATACGCAATGGACTTTGCACAGCCTGGGCTTCCTGTTCTGCACTGCAAACATTGATGGCTCTCAGCCCAGGTTAGGACAGACAGGGACATCCTGGAGAGCTGAAGTGCTCTTTGGGGAGAAGAAGTATGTTTTTACTGGCCAGGAAGGAGGGATTTGGGGCTCTAGTGCAGCTAGCCCAGACTGAGTGCCCTCTACTGTCGTCCCCACCACAAGGGTTAGCATCACTCCTTCATCGTTGTTGATCTTAAGGGCAGTCAAGGTAGACCAGTTGGCCCATTTGGCCTGGTCAGTGCCCATGTTTGGTGGCCCGCTTTTTTGCAATGTACTGTGTGGGGGAAAGCCACTCTCAGTGCTTTAAGTCCAGTCCCAGCAGAACCAGGTAATAAATAAACCTCTTCCCAGCCAATGCTTTACCCCCAGGACATAAGCATTAAGAGATAGTGTGGATTTCACAAAGCAGCTGTAGATACCTCCAGCGCTGTGTCTGCACTCCCTTTGTGGGGAGATGCAACCACTGGGGAGTGGGACTCATCCAAAACTAAGTCAGGTCCACATGTCCTCTACATGCCTGTTTCTCCTGGATGACTCTAAATGGTGCCTGGAGCTGGCCCAGATCGGGATGTCTGCTTTATGGATGTCTGATGTGTTGTGACATGACCTGGCATAGGCAATCCCATCATGTCAGGGACCTCCCAAGCTACTGTGAGCATGGGAGGTCCAGGAAGAAGCCCAAGCTGTAGCCAACCTCCAATATCCCTTTGTTTTCTATTTCCTCACTTTCGAAAACCAGCCAGAGGGAGGTGATCAGCTGCGATCATCGTGTTTAAATACAAAAGAAGTGGAGCTGCGAGAAGTGTCTCCAGGGCATCTCGGAGACTGGACAAGCAAGAAAAGCCATTTAATGTGAAGAGGCAAAGGAAGTTTGAAAAAAAGATGTTGGAAAACGGTAATTATGAGCAGGAAATGAAGTGGTATGAGGAGAGGGAAACACCTGATTTCTTAGGAACGCAGAGTTGTCCAGAGGCTCATGACTGCACCACTCACCCCGTAGGACTACTGTGCAAAGCTGGGAGACACATACTCCTGAGTTTATTTTTGTAAAATAAAAGTGTGTTAATGCTGCTCTGCGTAATTCTAGTTCGTAATTCACCTGGAAGCAGTAACCCGTTGTGAAGGGCAGAGAGAAAACTGGGAATTTCCATTCCCCTGTGTCCAACCGGGTGTGCAGGTTGAGCACCATCCCATAGCAGGTAACCTTTCAGCTCTTCCCTATAACCTTTAGCAAGTCCCACCTTCTCCTTCACTTGACCATTCCATGGGCAGGTGAAGAGGAGCCGTCCCAAACTGTATGGTAAATAAAAAAACAGGGTTCAAAGCCAGACACAGCTTCTCCCTGAAAAATGCCACCCCCAAGTCTTCAAGGCATTTGCAGCTGCTGCCCAGAGAGGTGTGAAAGATAAACCTCTGGGTTTTGGGGGCCACATGGATCCCACTGAGAGGTCCTATCTGATAGCATCTCCTCCGAGCACACATCATCAATGTGAGCATCCATGGGTGTAAGCCTCCATTCTTTTTCTCCACAACAGGTTCCCAATACGTGTGCTCCTGACTTCTATAAATGGTCACTTTTCTGCCCCATATTGGCAAAAAAATGTTTTCATCAAAGAATGCACATTGCATTGTGTCTTCGAAGCCTGCACTGGGAATTGGCTTTCCTCCCCCAAACGCCTTTGGTGGGAACATAATGGCTAAATGAGAACTCATGCTGGAGTGGGACTTGGGGGAGATGGTTAGGAAATCAGTGGGGTTTATTAAAAGTTTGGCTGCACAATTTAATAAGATTGAGCTCAAATTTCCCTGGCCCATCAGGGTTGCCTCATTAGTCCTGGTAGCAGAGGCAGAAGAAGGATTCCCCATATCCACAATATCCCAAGCCCCAAGGAGGGACCAGCAGATTTTTCTGGAATTCTTATTCCCGCCAAGAGCTAAAATCTTTTTTACTCAAAAAAAAAAAAAAGAAAAAAGAATTTGGTAAATGTTGACAAGGAGACAAGTGCCATTTTCAGACTGACATTTCCAGCCTCTCCTCTTGAAATGCTGTTCTGTATCGAAATGTACTTTGGCAAGAAAAACATTCAGGTATTGTATCGTGGCAAGAAAAATATCCCCTCGGAAAAGAAACGAAATGTTCCCATCTAAGCAAGACAGCGGGTACAGCATCACCAAGAAGAAAGCATTTCTGCATTTCCAGGTGAGGCCACAGCGTTGAGGAACTGGTGTTTTTTTCTGAGGAAACACCCCACATTTTCACATTTTCCCAGCATCACAGCGATGAGGGACAATTTGTAAGGGAGGCAGAAGGATGCCAATGTCTGCAGAGCCATGGATGGGCTGGGGACCTCACAGGTGTTGCAGCCTCTGGCCCTCAGCACCCCAGGAGACATGGGGTGACCTGAACTCCGGCTCCTCCATCAGCCAAGTCAAGAAGACTTGAGACCATCCAGGGGAGCAAAGCATTTGCAACCAGCAGGAAAGAAAAAAACCCCTTCGTTCTTAAATCACATTGACAAAAATAACCACCATGCACAAGATAACGGGGACCTAACAGAGTGTACAACCCACGGGTTCATTTGGCACCTTGGTATGAAGGTATTTAATTAAGGTGGGACCTTGCCAAGGGGCACAATTCATTGAACTGCCACAATTGTGCAGAGAAAACAACATTTCAGAGCTTTAAAAGAGGGGGAGGAGGGGGAAAGGAACTCAGACATACAAAGGGCTGGGGATTCACCTCCAGAAAGGTTCACCCACGTTGATCTAATTTTGGATATCTCTACTTTCAAACCCCTGTTCCCCAAATGATCCTTCTTGATGCAAACCAGCCCACAGCTGGACTGGAACAAAAATATCTGTATGGGTAAAAGGGGACCCACTGTCAACAGTTCTCACTCTTTAATTAACACATAAAAAGCTCATGAATACTATTTATTATTACAAGCAAAAAAAGCCTCCTACCATCTCCCTTTTCTCTGGTGCGGTGCTCACCTTGCCAGCATCCCTCCAGTGAAGGCACCAGTGGCCTCCAGCAGAAATATGGGGTTGCCATACTCAAGTGGCTGCCACCACTTGACCCAGGGTGTCAGGTAAGTGCAAAGCCTGTGGTGTTTTACTAGCAATGGCCAAAACTTGTATTTATGGGGCTGCAGTAGCTTTGGACCAGCTCAATTCTGACCCGGTTCTGGGTGTCTCCCCACAAATCAGCATCCCTGCTTGTGGCTCCTCTTGGGCTGCCCAAGACTGTATGTTTCCCCAAGTCCAGCATTTGGCCACCCTACCCAGGACTGTGGAGTTTGGCCCAGCAAGGTAGGGAGGTTTTTCCCAAGGAAGGGGATTTGAGATGAAAGGCTTCAGGTTGGCCATCAGAGGAAATGCTGGACTGCTCATTCCTGCCTCATCCTACCAAGCCAGCCCACGTGTGGCTACACCATCTCTGGTGGTACGTGGGGCATATCTGTGCCCTACAGACCAGCTGGTTTTGTGGCTTTGGGGTGCAAATCACCCCACGTCCCCATGGCTTAGGGTCACCAGGTTGCCTGTCCCTATCCTGCAGCTGGGTTCTCATTGCAGTGCCCTGCAGAGTGCATGCTCCCCATGTCTCCTTTGGCTCCCCAAACCCTCCCAGGACATCTCTTGGGCATCTGTCCCCATGTCCTGTCTCTACCCTCCCTGTGTGCTGCGATGTTGGGTTTCCACCAAGACAATTGGGATGCTCCCAGGAGACTTTTTTCCAATTCAGGCTGCAACAGCATCCCACCTGGGGACCATTGCCACCAGACACCTCATGAATAACTCAAAGCAGCACTTACTTTACTAAAACCCAGAGGAGAAAGCTTTCCTCCATCCCGTGGTTACTCTCCCAGGGACCCCAGACCTGCATTTCACTCTCTTCCTCCAACTGTCAATTGCACCAGGGCATTAGAGAAGAGGAGGGTGCTTTGCTGTGGGCTAGGATCCCTTGGCAGGCATATTAAGTTGACATCCAGCCTGAAGACATAATAGTAATTGCGTGAAGATCATTTTTATAGCTGTGAATCAGAAGGACAGTGAGGGTCTGGAGGCAGCAGTAGGTGAGCAAATGATCTGGGGGACCTGGGACCTCCTGGAGAACATGAAGATTTTCTCTTTCTGTCTCATTAATCCCAGATACCAAAACGGGACAGCACCTTCATTTTTCCTTTTAAGTCCGGTGCCATCACTTAAAATAGGGCTTCACCTCCCCATGTGCAGAATTTCTTGGCAGCTTTTGGCTCCAAAGCTTGGCGAGGAGCACACGTATCCCAAAGCCAAGTCTGGGAGACAAATTTGGCCACCTGGTTTCGTGGTCAAAGTGTAGCCAAGGGAGGAGGGGGGGGGCAGAAGCTCTTGGCGGGGGGGTGGATTTGGATCCAAACTCTTCACCATAAATCATGCTTATGGCACAGGCCAAAGCAGCATCTCACCAGGGAACCAGGTGACTTAATTCAGATTTTCAAAGCGACTGGAAGACCTGAGAAGTGAAAACCGATATTGCGGGCAAGTATATAAGATCAAGCTGTTCAGTCCTCTGCTGGGTGTATTAAATGCAGCTTGAATTTCCCATCAGTGCTCTGGGAGCTTAGACGTAATGGGAAATTGATAACTTGATTTTTTTTTTTTTTTTTTAATTTTTTTTTAATACATCTAGGCTTAAATGTTTACTATCGATTTGCCATCTGAACCGCTTTGGCAGGGCCAAAATATTACCGGAATGCATCCTCGGTGTTTCCTTGGAAATGTCAGGTCACTCTAATTGAGTTTCTTGAAATT